GCGAATATAATGTCATGTGATCCCTTCTTTCCTTAGTTAGCTTCAATGTAGCTCCATTTGATGGTTTAAAACAATTTGCAGGTTCTCCTTGGTTAAGTGACAACTTGTATTGAACCAGGAGTGGTTTAGAAGGCTTCTTAGCTTCAGTAGATGATGAAAGTTGGTCGCATGATATGTTAATATAACATATAAGCTGAGTTTCCATAAACGGCTCTAATGTAGATATGAAATGGTTTGGCGGTTCTCCTTGGTTAATTGGCGAATTGTATTGAACCAGCTTGTCTTTGGCTTGATCAGAATGCTCCTTTTGATCATCAGAATGATGGTGTTTAGAGATTAAGTCTTTAGCATCTCCAAATACAGTTACAAAGCTTCCAAGCCCCGCAGCTACAAGTTTTGCATAAGCTCCAATGTCCTATCCCTTGACTGGTTCAGCTAGGTATGACTTGAGGGTTACATCACTTAACATATTCACAATCCGAGTTTTCAATATGCTTAATTAATTCAGCTTTATACAATATTAAATTTTTTCTAATTTAATCACCAGAAGCCAAGCTTTTTTTTTTTTTTTTTAAAAAGGGAAGTTATAAGATAACAACTTTTTGTTGATCCTACGCAGCAATAAACACATTCCCAGGAAGACAAAAAAAAAACAAAATAGATCACACTAAAACCAAATGAATAAAAAGAAAAACCCGAACTTGCAAAATTACAACACCAATAAAAAAAATGGCCATACACACCCATATACAACATGAACAATAATAATGAATCTTAACCCCAAAGACACGACGAGAGAAAACACGAGCACAAGTGGCTCGTTAGGTGTTTGTGTCGACTGTTGATAGGAGCACCGGTTCTAGCCTGTGAGATCCGGTTTGCGTAGATGGTCACTAGGCGAACCTGTGTGCTGTTTAGACCTTCCAAATGCGGCAAAAATGCTTTCCCAAGCATTATATATATATATATGTCTACCAAGCAAGAATGTGGAATATGGTAAGGTTCTTTTCCTAAAACATTGTCTTCTTTTCTATTCAAAACATAAGAAGAGAGCTAATGAAGATCTTGTTTTCTCTAACAGCCTGTTCACAAATGGATGGTTCGACATATATACTTTCCGTGCCTGCACAGCAAGATACCAAAAGTGAGTAAGATATATGTATATTAGTGATTTGGGATGGTCGAGATTATATTCCATTTTTTACAACTTTAATCATCCACTTATTTTCCTTTTCTCACTCTATTTTATCCATTTATTTTTTAGAGTGTTGGTGTATATATGGAACAAAAATTTAGATTGAATGCATATAAGGGAATTTTTCAAATATATATTTTAAAACAAATCTACGCGTAGTGCGGAGCATACCCTAGTTAAATATTAAAACAAATGAAAAAGTATGAGAAATGATTTACAATCGTTCCTTATATAATGACTTATATATACGTTTTTTAGCATTTGATAGTACTTGATTGGTTGAGTTTCTTTTTTATAACTAAAATTAAATGTGAAAATTAATTATTTAAAAATATTAGTATAATATTGTTAAGATACTCATTTTAAAAAACTTACCGATGCTTAGAGCATCAGCATTGAACAGTTTCAGTAAGGTTCTAAAAAAAAAAAAAAACTGACGTGGCCAGACTAAAAGATAAAGTCGACTCTCTGCTCAGGGGCGAAAGAGCCGCGTCTCTCGTGACGTGGACATGACATGATTAGTCAAATTTTTTTTTTTTTTTAAAAGTCGATAATTTTTAATAATAAAAAAATGTTAAGAGCTTTAATCATCATACTCTTACATTCAAAAGTGTCTAGGGGTTCCTATCTCCATCTGGTTCTTGTTCAGTCAAAGCTTTTCCATTTGGGAGAGCCATTTTTGTTTCAGACAGATGCTGTCTTTCTTGTATCCTCTCTGTCGTCTTCTTTGCTGTTTGGTGTGGAAAAATGTTGTGCTTTCATGTTACTTTCTTTCCTTGTAGGCTAATTTTGCCATTTGAAAACTCAAGCGTTAATCTTGAATTCTGTAAATATGAAGAGGGCTTGATTGCAATTTTGTGGGGAAAATATCTGAAACGCATAAAATCTTTGAATATGTATTGGAACTTGTCAGACACTTCTTTATATGGTAGAGAGAAATGGTTGAGTAGACTAAACCGGAATGAATCTAATCCAATATATATAAACCGACATCTCAATTATTCTAATAGAGCCACGATTGCTTGATACCAAAGCATTGCCAAACAAAACAAAGACACACAAGAACACTTTTGTAGTATACGTACATTTTCACTTCTACCAAAATGACCTAATACTAAGAATATAAAAACATTAAAATATTTTTCAGATCTCTAGCTTTTATATGATTCTAATTATTATTTGAGAAGCATGTTTACTAAAAAAATCTTATGTGTCAACATCTAATGAAAAGTTAGTGTAAAACAATACTATGTCATAAATGTAACATGACAAATTTCCTAAAATAAACGAAATGTTTTGATTGGTTAAGTTAAAACTAAATAAATCTCAGTTTTAAATAAGAAAGTTTTTTATATCATATGTAAATGAATTTTCATTATATAGCAAGCATTCGAAACTATAAATAAAACAAAAAAATAAACAAAGAGAAAAACAAATTATAAACATCCACTTAGCAAATTTTTTTATTATAATATTATATATATGAATAAAAAGTAGAAGTAAAAGTAAAAATGAATCTTTACTACTTTGGTTTAATATAAAAATCTCAGGTTATATTTTTGATTTAAAGCATCTCCAACTCACTTTTATTTTAAATGTTCTAATTAAGAGAAAAAAGAAAGGTTGTTACTTTTTTCAACTATAGAGGAAAAAATAATAATCTTTCTTTTTTCTATAAAATAGAAATAAGTTGGAGAGAAGTCCACTTATATTTTAGAGAAAAAAATAAAAAAATGCGTTTGATATGATCTTAATGTTAAATATGTTATTAAATGTTAAAAAAATATGACTCAAAGAAGAGAAGAAAAAATAAGAATAGTTTTGATCGATTTTATGTTTTTATTTCAAATACTTAAAAATATTATCTTACACATATTAATTATTTCATGCATATATTTTATCCAATATATTAAAACATTATTTCATGAATCAAACTTTTTGTATATGTTTTGTTCCATTATATTTTGTATTAACAAATATATTAAAGTTAGGAACAGATCAACTCTTAATTTTTAATATAAAAATCAAATATTAAATATATTATTTTACACCTTAAATCATACATTAATAAGTTTAGATTTGATTGGCTAAAATGATTATGTTACAGAGAGTTTGTGGAGGCGAGCGACTGCAGATTATTAAAAATTTTGACGAAGAGATGAGCAGAGAGCTACCAGAGAATTTTATTAAATATGATTTCACAAATTTTATAATAAATATTTATAATATTTTTATTGAGAAACCATATATCTTAAAACGCTGAAAATAATAAATTTTGATTAAATACAAAATGATAGAAACGGTTTTCGTGATTGTTCTGAAACGCCAATAACTGCATCGTATAAAACCATAACGTTTGAGGAAAATATAAAAAAAAACTTACCAACACCTAAATATTACAATTCACTTATTTCTAACTCATACCTAAATGCATAAATATACTTATTATTTTTTTAAAGAAAATCAACCATACGTTATAAAAATATGTATTATAAAACATATACTTTGTTATTTTCTTTTAACACATAGAAGCTATACTTCGATTTTTTTACAAATGTGCATATAGATATAAATATTAATTGTGTAAAAGTCAAACTTGCATGCAAATTTGTCGTGCATACATTTTGTTAACCTCAATTACACTCTAATTTTAATTTTAGTTGTTAGACAATTTATCTTTTTTTTTAAATCTTTATATGTCTTAAGAGCGGTGAGGTGGTTGGTTCGCACGAATGTGCAGACCAACCATCTACCCGCTCTTAGGGTAAGTAAATATGGTAAAATTCATTTTGGTTTAATTAGTAAGAGGTCAAAGAAAAAAATATTTAATATATATATATATATTGGCAAGATTATATTGTGTAAGGAGAAAAAGAAAGTATAGTATAGATAATATTCAAAACATATTATAAAAATTTAATTATTATTTAATATAATTTTTATATTAGCAATTATTTGTTAATATAAAAGCTAGAAAAAATAAAAAATTTCAAAAGACACAAAGAGATAGGAAACATTTGTGTGATTGTTGTTGAACACTAAAATTGTATATGTATATAAACATAACATTTACATAAAGTATAAGAAAATTAATCAATATTTAAATATTACAACTAATTATGTCTAAAAAAAATTATACATGCACATGCGTGCGAGGCAAAAATAAAAATTAAACAAATAATTATAGATTTTTATGTTTTCCTATTTATTTAGTTATTATGTTTACAGTTTTTGATCTAAGGAAATATGTTAAAAAAAATTATATTCAATTTCTTTTAAAATTTTTAACATTTTATATTTCATTTTATATTTTATTATTATTAATACATAATTAATTATATATAAATAGAATATTTTTAATATTATACTAATAATAATAAATCTGTACACTGTGCAGATCACCTAGTTTACTATTAAAATAAGAAACCTCTACCAACTACTCTTAACGAAATCTGAAACAAAATCGGTAGAACTTATGTACGGCTGAAACAATTTTTTCTTTTTTTCTTAACTTAATTTTTCAATATGCTTGAAGCCAAGTTTTTTTTTTTTTAAAAAAGGGGAAGTTATAAGATAACATCTTTTTGTTGGTCCTACGTAGCAATAAACACATTCCCAGTAAGACAAAAAAAAAAAAAAACAAAATAGATCACACTGAGACCAAATGAATAAAAAGAGAAACCCCAACTTGCAAAATTACAACACCAACAAAAAAATGGCCACACACCCATATACAACATGAACAATAATAATGAATCTTAACCCCAAAGACACGACGAGAGAAAACACGAGCACAAGTGGCTCGTTAGGTGTCTGTGTCGATAGGAGTACCGGTTCTAGCCTGTGAGATCCGGTTTGCGTAGATGGTCACTAGGCGAACCTGTGTGCTGTTTAGACCTTCCAAATGCGGCAAGAATGCTTTCCCAAGCATTATATATATGTCTACCAGACAGAACACCACTGTCTGCAACAACACACAAAACCCAAAAGAGCTCAGAGAGAGAGAGAGAGAGAGAGAGACATATAATAACCTGTATCCGATTTTCATAAAATCTCAGGGTTCCAAAAACACACGAGGATAAGTTATTGGTCGAAAAGTCAAAGTTTCTGAAGCTTCTTTCGGGGTTTTGTTTTACCTTGCGGACATCTGCGCTTTGGCTCCCAAATGCTTCAAAAACCGCAGGCAGAAAAGAAGACAATTGATCCATTAATTCCTCTTGCGAGAGCCTACCCACAAGCTGTACACAAGAAGCAATGTCTCTGTTTCAGCGAGATATGATGACACAGTATGTATCCGGAAAAGAAGAAGAAAAAAAAAACATGAATATACAGTAAAATAAAGATTTTTTTTACCTTAGTTAAACAATTGATGCAAGCGACGAGAGTTTTCTCATCCTCTGTTACCAATAATGGGACAATAACCTGAAACAAAGACATCACTTAGATTAAATAAACTAGCAATCAAATGAAGCATATAGCCAAATCAGGCCATGAGGAAGAGGAGAACTCATAACTACATACACTTAAGCATCTGAAAGGATCGTATTGAGACAAAACTGTGGTCAAGCATTGCTCCGCTTCACTGGAAACCTGAAAGGATATTATCATATACGAGGTCATGAAAATTACAAGAATGGGGTCGATGCACAAGAATTAGGGTTTAACATGCAATCTGTTACTTTCGGAACAGAGTCCTTCGAGACATGAAGCAGCCTCTCAATCACTATCTCAACCGAATCTTCCATGGCATCTTTCTGAAATTATCAAGCGAGACATATATTTACACGTAAGAAAAGGTATTCGTAATTACCATAGAGCTGGAAACATAACACCATGCATTAACGAGGCTGAGTGAGTAACAAACCTGGCTCTTTAGCATCTCGGAAATCAGCGAAAGAGCAACTTCTCTGACTGAAAAATCTTCGTCTTCATCGAGCACTTCAAGAACAACCGTCAGTATCTGATTGAAGTACTGCGAACCCACAAAAAAAGAGAGAATATCCATTAGGATTGATAAGCGAATGTATAATTCTAATCTATGAGTCCAATTTACTCCTACTAGTGGAGACAGAGTTCATCAGGTATACCTTGGTCCAAACTGACTCCTCGTTAGCTACAGAGGCTTCAATTAATTGATGGAGTCCAGATTTCTTGCTCGAAGAAGGGGTATCATCACTCCCGTTGATCTGTGAAAGCATAATCATCCAACATGCTTTTTAAGTAGCAGAGAGAAAAAGATACGACTTTTAGCAGATGTGACAAGCGTTACTTACCATATGTAGGATCTGAGGAATGCTAGGTCCAGATTCCGTTGTTGGGTTAACCTTAATAGATGAGAGCATGTAGTGACTCAAATCTAATTCGCGGGAGACCTCATTTTCATGCCTTTCTTCCAAGGAATCAGATTTGGTCATATACAGACCATTTTTCTCCAAATGTGGTGGAGATAAGCCATCCAAGTTTTCAACGTTGTCTGAGCTTCCATTAGGGCTAGTTCTTGATATCAAATTCTGGGCAGCTGAAGTAAATGTGTGATCAGAACCCTTTTGGTTCAACACATCACTAGCAGCAGCACTTATCCCACGATACACCTTCTCCTGAGTTCCACTGGAAACACTTTGACCAACACCACCAATGATCGTTGTCGGCTCTTGGGAAGAACTCCACTTCCTGCCGCTATCACTGTCAACAGAACCCCCAGAATACCTGCCAAGGAATATGTTCTTCTTGGAAGCACCACCGGCATGTCCTTCTTCAGATGATGTCCCAATGGCATCAGACGGGTCATAAGACTTTATTCTCTGTTTCTCCTTCTTACTCTGCACATAATTTAATAGGTCTACCTCGATGCGGGGAGTATATTGCTTGAGGGCTCTTCTCAGGGAGTTTTGCTCCTCAACCGACAAACTAAGGATGTAATTTAGAAGTCCCGCAGAATCGTAATGATTGTAAACAGATATTATACAAGTAACGGAAGCTTCTTTTAGCTTGGTATTTTTGTCGCGGGTTAATGGTGTCAACTTTGCCAGCCACAACTTTAGGATGCCACTGTTACCCGAAATCTCAGGGTTGCCAGCGTACCTGTTGAAGGAATTGATGGCAAATTCGATCACAGCTAATTTAGCCTTTGGTGATCTCTGCTCATCCAGCGAACGAAGCAATGCGGGTAAAAGGGAATCTACACTGTAGGTTTTGCTGACAATTTCCAAGGTTGACGAGCAAGGTTGTCTAACTACCTCTTTAGGATCGATTAGCCGTGAAAACACATGGGGTAAGACTCTTTCCATGTAGCTCTCAAAGGGCTTTCGGCAAGATGGAATCAGATCCGCGAGTGTCGACAGTGCTGCTTGTGCAACCTTGTGGTGAGGATCATCCAAGTGCCGGAGAAATAGTTTCATCACTTTCTCGAAACTTTGGATTACTTCTTGCGCACCTTTCGGGCCTTGTTGCAGCAAAGTTTGGAGAAAATTAAAAGCTGCAACTCTCGCACACCAATCGGAACTTGAATTTAGTCCATCGTTTAGGGCCTCGTTCAGAGAAGCTGGACCATCAGCATAATTTGACATGTCACCAACTTGCAGTTGGCTATCATCAAAACTCCTCCTCCTGCCTGCCGACATTCTTCCCCCAACATTTTTCCTCAAAAGTGGCCTCTGGAAATTGGGAACATGGCTAGCGTTTGAATCCCTAAATGCCAAATCTCTGTAAGCGGTATCCATCTGCTGTCTGTCAAAATGACCCGCCATAAACCGCCTCGCCTCCCTGGCATCGTTGTTTTCCTCAAAAGAACTTCTCTCATTTCTCTCTGATGAGACCCGTTTAGCTGTCAAGGATGAAAAGCTAGGATGAGACTCGGACAACAGATTGCCACGGTATGATTGTCTTCCTGAGTCCTTTGAAGCTTGAATTTGGGTGATGATATCCGACAAACCAAGGCCACCACTGCGATTACTTCCTCTGTTGATACTAGGCATTGATTCAGCAGTTGTGCTGGATGCTGGAACAGAGGCATGGAACTGAGGATCACGAGAGGATGGAGGGTCAACTCCTGCACTAGGGGAGGAAAAAGACAATTTAGCTGTGCAAGGACGATTTAGCTCATGTCAAAGAACGCTTCGAACAAAAAAATTATACTCTCACAAGGAAAGAAGCTCAATACCTAGATCCAAACTACTCGAACGAAGAGCTGCAGGATTCTGTCTATCGGATACATGCAGTCCTCGGAGCATACTCTCAATTGCACTGACCTTCTGCTTGCTTGATTGTAACACACTTTCCAGACTACGTTCAGAACCTACTTTATTGAGATCCTTTGATTGGGATAGGAGTAGCCCAGAAGAAAGAGATCCTCCCGAAGCTAAATTTGAACTTCTATCCATAGCGACTATGGCTGATATTCCATAGCCAGGTAAATTAGATGGAGCAGACGTCTGAGAAAATGAAGGCTGGGAGTGTCTCTCACGGACAGATGGAGAGGCGTGTCTCCTATGAATTCCACCTTCTTCTTCATTTATTAGCTAAGAACATATGGGATGCGTTATTAAGCCTGGTCAATGCTAATAAGCAGAATTTAGAGAGTTGAGAAGCCTTACCCTCTGAATGACAGGGTCAAAGGAGGAAAACAAACGACGAGAACGATCCGGCCAAGTTTTTGCAAACATCCTGTAGCACATTCTAGCAGTTGCCCGTACCTGTTATTCAATATATTAACAGCTTTCAATAATACATGGGAGAATGATAGATACAAATCATCTGATACTACTAATGCATTGAACCCTAATCACTGCCTTGTCACATAGATGACACAAGGAACCACAAACCTACTTCACTCATAGAATCTGCAGCATAACATCTAGTACTGTAGAAAATGGTATCACAAACCTACCTCACTCATAGCATCTGCAACACAGCATCTGATCAAATCTTCGTATAAATCAACTGACCGCTGAATTTCTGGAGCATCAGGCCAATGTTCAAGTGTTAACAGTGCATATTCACAACACCTGTATTAAAAAATCTGGGATCAACTTCCATAAAATCAATCTGGGATCAACTTCCATAAAATCAAAAATCTTATGGCTGATACGAAGGCTCCAGTATACCTTGCTCGCAAAATTGCATTGCGGTCATGTTTTGCTGATTCAGCTATGCGAGGAAGTACACGGGCAGCTTTGCAGTTACGCAGCATCTGGAATAGCAAGAAAGCATCTGTGTAAGCGCAAAACTCAGACGAGCAGGCAACCTTCTAGAGCCAAAAACAGAAAAGCTAATATTTTACCGTTTTTATGCAGTTGTCAGCAGATTCGGCAATTACAAGCACAGTGATCACAACCAGCTTGAAAAGCACCTTATAACCAAATAATAAATTTAACAAGAAAATATATGCATTGAAGGTTATAACAGTAAAAGACAGGGGTTTAAGCTTACTGGAATAAACATCTCAGCGCATGCTTCGAAATCGCCCAGTAGCTCTTTTGATAAGAGACACAAGAGATGGCAAGCCTATGCACACGAGAAACAGCATATGAAGGAAAGGCAATGGTAGAAATACAAAACTACATACCAACTCATCAATTTGTCTCCATTGCTGGGAAAAGAAGAATCACACCCTAAATCCTAATAATACAAGTATAAAATCGACAATTTAGCTAACCTGCTTAACAATGGTAGACCTCCGATCAGATAATTGCGTACTTAAGGGACCAACAAGTTGCTTCAGGAGACCTCGAAAACAGGAGTAATCAGTTGCACCTTCAACAGAGAAAGATTTCATGAGATGGGATACAAGAAAAGTCCTCCACTGATTAGCAGAAAATATCATGGATAGCAATCAAAGCAAAAGAATCTTGGTTTAGAAAAGAGAGACCAAAAAGAAAAAGAAATGATTTAAGTACCTCCTGCGACAAGTCCTTCAACCCTCCGCATAGCTGAAATACGCATCGACCAGTCTTTCTCTGGGACAAGTGTTGAAGCAACTTTCTCAAATTCTCGTATCAGCTCCTTCTCTGAGTACACTTTGATTGGCTCGATGGGTTTTTCGGTGATGTCGGCATCTCCTGAAATGCGCATAGACAACACCAATCAGCCGAGAAGGAAGTACCACAAAAACCTATTTGAAGACTAAAATCCTTGGGAGAAGGATCATAACCTCCAAATAAAGAGTTCTCTCTCGTGGAAGTCTTTGCCTTGGGACTGCTTTTCTTGGGATTGACACTTGATGCCTTAACCTCATTAACAACATGGTGACCACTACGAGCATCTGTAGAACGTGGTTGTGGCTGAATACGTTCCAGTCTAGCATTAATATCCTTCACCTGATTCAAAACAGAGAAGGAGTTGTAGGAAAGAGCGCCCCGAGACTGCAATTCTACTATTCTTTATCAAAGTATGATGCAGTCTGATACATAGTATGCATTCTCTCGCACAGCACATGGAATGGATCAAAACAAAATCTGAGAGATTTACCATATATGATGGAAGATGGTGGCGCTGAAGCTCTTCCCGGAATTGAGACCCACCTTGCATGTACATCTCCTGAGAGAAGACAGAGGAAGTATGATATTAAAAGGCGAACAGGAGACAGAGCAACTGAAGTCTGAATTGGAGTCGGCAAATAACCAGGTATGCTTTTAGAAGCTAATAGAAAGCTGAAGAAAGCACTTGAGTACGAGTTAGGTTTACCTCAATGCACAGAATTGCAGCTTCCCTGACTGCTTGGTTCGGGTCATTCAACATCTGAAGTATCTGATAAACAAGAAAAACACCCCCGAGATCAAATCCGGCTCCATAGGGAAACAAGAGTCGTTTTGGTTAGAAGGAATCATCGATACCGGAGCAAGAATAACACGCTGAAGCGGGAGCTCCGTGGATGCAAAAAGGCCAATGGCCGACGTGACAGTACGCGCAAACTCTTCCCGCACTCTCCAACTCTTATGCATCCAAGCATACGAACCCGCCCTTTCAACTACAATCGTAGGAGATGAGACCTAGAGAAGCAAAAGAAACGTGGGTACACGGAAGCCAATTGCAAAGGGACTCGCTAGGGTTCAAATTTAGTAATTTCACCTCCATGAGAGTAGTCAACAAACGCCTCGCCGCGTCCCTAACCGGTTGTTTGCTGTCTCCGAGCCGCTCCACGACGGCAGGCACAAGCGCGTTCAAATGAAGCTTCAGATGCTCACCGGCGAGCACGGCCGCGGAAGCAAGCGCCTGGAGCGCACCCTGAGAGACTCTAAAATTGCTGTCCTTGAGGAGATCCAAACAACAATCAACCAGTGACGTCACTTCCGCCGTGCTCAGGCTCTTTCTAGAAGCTTCCAGAAGCTGGTGCAGCCGCTCCACCGCCGCCATGCGCTCCTTCGTGTCCTTGGCTCGCGCCATTTCCAGCGCTTCCTCCATCACCAACCACCGTTTCGATTCCGATCTGGCCCTCCTCCTTTCAGATCTGCCTAATCCCCAATCAGTTCTATACAGCTACAGGAAACACACCAACCCCAATCGATCCAAGGAAAGAGTCGATGAACAAGAGAGCAAGAGAGAGAGAGAGAGAGAGAGAGTGGGTGTGTAGACTCTAGAGAGAGAGAGAACCAGAAGGGGATTTAGCGGAGAAGTGCCGCTTAATTATTTGCTAAGTAGTAGAAAGAAAGAGAGTAAAGAGAATTGAGACTTTAAACCCATTTGAAGAAGATAAACGAAACCATGTGGTTGGCTAGCGAATTGGAAACTTACCCTTCTTCTTTTTCATTATTACACTCATATGCCACTCTATTCGTGTATTATCCGTCCTATGGTCCGAACTTAAACGCCGGTTTAGTCCGGGTAGGTCGTTAGTCACAAAACAATTTACCCAAACTCGAGAGAAAGACGAAATTAATAAATAAAATACAATTTGAAAAACAAATGTAGATGAGCCTAATATATAGTTATACTAACAAAATTTTAAATCTATTAGTTTTTTTAGAAAAAATGGAAAACAAATCGATCAATAGAAAAAAGGTATATATTAGAAATACAAAATCAATATCTGAGAGTTATTTATTTGAATTCTTATTCATTTTCAATTAAAATATTCAGAATACATAATATATAGTTATATAAATATTAGGCAGGTTATAATAACAAAATTTTAAATCTATTAAGTTTTTAAAAAAATAGAAAGCAAATTCATCACTCATAAAAAGGTATATATTAGAAATACAAAATCAAAATTTGAAAGTTATTTATTTGAATTTTTATTTATTTTCAATTAAAATATTCAGAACATAGAATATGTTGTGGATCATTAGTAATTTTAACCCTACTTCTCTTGTAGTTCAACATTTTATCAATTATTTTTCTTATTTTGTTACGTAAAAAAATTAGATATGCAATTCAAGTGCTTTGAATATGTTAACTCTCTTCCTATTAATTCTTTCTAAGAAAACAAAGTTTCTCTTTCTCATCACATTCATCTTTCATATATATTCTCTTTGTTTTTTTAGAAAAATAAATGTAGATAAGCCTAAACAATACTATTATTTACCATGTAAAAATCATATGTGTCTCTTTCATATTCATTCTCACGATTTTTTTTTCCTTTCTACCCTTAATGAATATTTAATTTTAATCCTTTAGTTTATTTTAATTGATCCGGTTATTGTTACCGCTGCTGATTATCCAATTTGTTGGTTAACTATAACGAAGAATCTGTGTCGAATCCTAGGTCTTTAGGACTGATTTTGGTTTTACTCCTTCGGTTCTTTATTTGATCGTTTATCTGTATTAATCTTTGGTTGGCATAATCGCCACAAACTATGGTGATTATATTGGTTAAGCTAAGTTGGCCAATTATAGTGAAACCTAGGTCATTGGGAGGCTATATATATAATCTTTTCTAAGGCTTGATTCAGAACCATTTATGGACACCTTTTTTATTATTTTGGGGATTTGTATTGTTAGGGTAAAAGCTACTTTTGAGTTTTCCTTCTTTATTTGCCACTGTTGTGTTTTGTTTCTTCTTTCTTTTGTTGTCTGGTATAAATTGCTCGATGTATAGACTTTAATTATATGTGTTTGATATATTTGGTAACAGCGCCAAAAACTTATACACAGAATTTAATTTTATAGAACTACTGCAAATGTACAGTAAATGTTATAGTAAAGTATGGATCAAGTCCACAAAAACTAAGTGTCACACTGCAAATCTTAATAAATGAAACTAAGCTAAGACAAGATTATGAATATGATTTCTAATGTAAAATGAAATAGCAAATAAAATTGGTAAAAAGATAAAGTAAAACAAGTGTTAGGTCAAGGACAATTCGCAGGAATCAGAGATCATGAACCAGATATTTATTCAGTGATGAAATAAGCACAGTCTTGAACTCAAGCATAAATTAGTAACCAATCCATTGTCGTGCTATTAGAAACTTTATATAGCAACCTAAGATTTTAAATTGTCGTTTGAACATAGAATTATAAACAAGCATTAGTGATCATGTTCAATTTGTTCACAAATCGCCTTAGCATCAACTTTCGTTGGCTAATGACAATCTGCTCACCTATTTTCTTATCAAGCAATCTACAAAACTTTTAATGAATAGACTAAACCTTAATTAAGTCTAAGCAAGGAGCACAACAGTAGGTGAAAACAACAGATGAATAATCCATATCTATGTCTTATTCAATGATACATAAATCCTTTGAAATCATAAACCTAACTATTAAATTACTCAGATATGGATGTAGAAAACAAGCAAAGAGATGAAGAGAAACCCAAAAACCCAATATTTTTTTTGCCAGCAAACTCAAGTTAAAGTTTCTGAGATCTCGGAAACCCAAACCTCATTTATCTTCTAGTAAACAAATCTTATCTCAAGCAATCTAATGCATATTTTGCTTGTTTTTTTTTCGAACTCCACCAAAACATAACAATGGCACTTTGTAGTTTATTTATGATTTCATGTGGTAGAAGAAAACAAGACATTATATACGTTGGAATCGCTTGAGTCATTGATTTTATCAAAATTTCCTTCCCTCCCTTTAACAAAAGCTTAGTGGAATCTTGGTACCCAAGTCTTCAATTTCTTCTTATTTTATTTAAATGTTTTTTTTCTTCTGTCAAACTTTCTATTTAGGTGGGGGTATGAGATTTAGAAGTTGAATTGAATTGAAAGGAATTAAAGTTTCTATTAAATACTAGTGTTATTCAATGATATATTTTATCAATTTCTTTAAATATCTGTGTTATTGGATTAAATATTTTCATTCATGCTTTCGAAATCCTTTAAATATCATTGTTATTCAATATATTAATTTTTCAATTCTATTAAATATCTGTGTTATTCAATTTTGTAATAGCTTTGATTGTATTATCATTTAAAAGAAATTTAATAGAATCTCACATAAAATTTGTTAAGAACCAATTCCTACCATTTTACTAAGATTTTGATAGAATTAGTTTAAATTCTTACAAAATACTTTAAATTACTTAAAAATCAATTATTTTTGAATTCTTGTACATTCTATCAAATTCAATCATCCAATACCACCTCCTTAATTATATAAATAAGAGATTTAACAAATATTATTAATGAATAGTTGTATAGAAATGATTATGGCATCAAGGAAAACACTATGTAATATAGATTTGGTGCAACGTCGTCTTAAACAGTGATTGTTTAGTGACTATTTGATGGTTGTGAGCCTCGATGCATTGTTCATGTTAATGTTGAAAAGGGTATCATTTTTGTGATGGCTATGGTGTCATTGGCATTGGTTGGAGAAGAATTGTTAGAGCGGGATAAAGGTTTGCGGCGGCTATGTGGTAGGCGAGGAGAAATTGTTTGAAATCCAATTTTGAGATCGAATGGTTCTTATACCATACAGTGTTTAAATAAGTGCTTAATTTAAATAAATTTACATATTGATTTATATATTTTGTAAAATAGTAAATAAATTTAAAATTTTATATAAATAAAAAAAATTACAAAATATTTATAACTGACTTATTTTATAGTTACAGATTATATATTTAATACCATAATAAAAGAGCAACAATTTTTTTTGTATATTTATTATTATGAACAGTACACCACTAAGTATGTATTCATAAAACACAAAAATTAAAAAAAATCATATTTTTTTAGCGTTTAATTGGAAACTCATACTTCAGAATCTATGGAGTATGGGTTTTAGGTGTGGAAGTGTCGAGGGCGACTGTCAGATACTCGTCCGACGACCAAGACCACACTATCGCCAACTTACTATTTGATATGAGGCTTTGGCTTCAGAAATTTAGTCAAATTAATGTAACTTACATCCCAAGACATTGTAACTATGCAGCTCACTAGACATAGTTTACATAACAATCTTTTTGTTTCTGGTTGTAATAATCCTCCCCATTGGCTGATTCGCACTTTGGTCACTGACCTTTACAATTCTTGATTAATAAAGCAATTATTTCGACAAAAAAAAAAAATTGGAAAGTGAGAAACACCATATACGATATTATGTCTTTCCTTTGATGATTATTTATATTCTTTTCCATTCACCAAGTTTCTTCAATGGTTCTGTACTGTAAACTCCATCATCTTGAGCTATCCATAAGCGTTTCACGTTACATAGACTTACATCCCTTATAGCTGGTTCAGTTAGAATATACTTATAGAACCTAATAACCTGGCTACGCCCTCGTCCTTGTCCTTGCACTTGCACTTGCACTTGTTGCGTTAAATAAATGGACATATAAACCAATCTGTCCTTGCCTTGTGGGATAGTGCGATATGTTGGTGGACTATTGGGAATCAAAATGAACGATGGGCCGATATGGTTATAATTGCTTGCGATATTTAATTGCATTCCATGACTTAGTTTGTTTTGAAAACCTATCGTGAAATTGTCGCATTTTGTTGCTTCATTCAATCCAAAATATATGGCAACAGCTAAGATGAAAACACTTAGACAATTCACTTTTTTGAACATTTTTTTTTTTGAGTACTAAGAATAAAATTTATAATATTTATAGTTGTTTTGTGCGGTAAAGATTTTTTTGTTTATATTTAAATAATGTTTATGGCCTTAGCTAAATTTACACATAAACATAAACCAATAAAACTGGGTCTCCATAAAAAAAACGTATTGTCTATAAATAAAATTGACCACAAAAAACAAATCAGTTGATTTAGCTCTACAAATAGTAGTCATTACATAGCTTTTTTTTTTTTACCTATGATTGGTAAAATACGGAATGTTAGTATTCCATTGTAAAAAGTGATTTTTTAAAAACAATTTTGTATAATTAAAAAAATTCTAGGCAATAATAACAAAGTAAACAAATCAATAAAATTACATATTAATAGAAAACCTAACAGGCAATAAACTAAAAACTTATGGTCAAAATAGATAAATAAATTTGAAAAAATTTCTGAATATCAAAGTTGAAAAATGTCAAATCGTGGGTTGATCCAAAATGCTTTCATAAACACAAATATGTTTTACAATTGTTGGAGTTGGAACTAAAAGCAGACAACAAGATGGAACCAAACCAACGGATTCACCAGACCAGAGATGGAGGAATTGATCTACGGCTCGTCATCGTAAGGGACGTGCGAAGCCGAGGATGAAGGTAGAAGGAAGATGGGCTCTCCGCTGTGTTGAAATTCACCAAGGAGAGATGAAGAATGGCCAGCTTCGAGGCTGATGCAGCTATTCCCGGTCATGTCAAGACGTTTGAGATCACCTTAAGAGGATCATCATACACACACACACACAAAACAATTAGCAAAATGGCCCAAGAATCAAGCTGATCAACCCGATTTCAGATCACTATTACCTTTCGCGCTTCTCAAGGCATCGCATAGCATGAGCAAGGATTCGGGTGGCATAAGGTTGTAGGATGCGTCGACTGAGACGAGCTTCGGTGCCATGGGTATGAGCTTCGACAGAAACCTACCGGTCTCTACTCCTCCACGGTTTTTGCTGTACAAGAGAAACGTGAGGAAACTGAAGGCGAAAACAGAGACAAAGATTTGCTTTGAACCTTATATTGATACTCAGCAGCTTCTTCACCCCTTTAACAAGTTTTTCGCCTAGCTCAACAAACCCAACAGGACCAAGTCCTATACCCGAGATGTTGAGAGACTCGATGGAGACTGTCAATGAGCTTATTATGGCCTCCGCAACCTCGCTGAAAGAACACACTTTCATAATATCAGTATAAAGTGGTTTACGGTGTTTGTAACTTTACGATTACCTTCCGAGAGCGTTATCTGCAACAGACAGGAACTTTAGAGTTTTCTCCAGCGTTGAGAGGGTATCAAGAAACTCGATAACTCCACAACATGATAGCTCGCAGTTCTCCAAGTTCAAATCGGCTAGAAGAGAATTCGGATTCTTTGTGAAGTAAGATATTAAGCTTCTGCACCTCACGACAAGCATGTAAGAGAAATGTAACTCCGCTGATGTACTCTTTAACACTACAAATGCAGGAACTTTTAGGACACACCTGATCCCACCGTCTTCAATGGGGTTCCCGCTCAGGTCAAGAGATTCCAACACGGGCATATGAAGAAGCGCATGTGCAAGATTCTCGGCATCGTATTTGTCGAGCTCATTCCCCCTGGAAACACATTTTCGACAGTTTCACAAGGTTCAAGGCTTAAAACCATTACAGTTGTGACAAAAAAAGAAAGTACCTTAAGTTGAGCTTGCACAGCGACTCTAATGACTTCCCAGACGACAGAGAACCATTAACAGATCTCCAACTGAAAGTGGAAAGCCATCCTGAAACCTATGTAGTGGATATTTGGTCAGCAATGAAAAGCAAACCACATATCAGTTTGAGCATAAAGAGCCATGACGGTACCCACGTTGTTCTCAGAGAGGTCAAGGTACGAAAGATCTGAGGACGAATCAAGAAGTGTAGAGAAAACTATCCTCGCGATATGCCTGTCGAGGTGGCTATCGCAGATATGTAAAGAACGTAAGGACCTGAAAGAAAAGAAAAAAAGTTGCTCAATAGGAAAATCAGGAAAAAAGACAAGCTTCTTGGCACCAGTTTCACATGACACACCTCACCGAACTCAAGAACGAAATGAAAGCAGAAGGCGCAGCAAGTGGATCCATGTCAATGCTAGATGTCTTTATACAGAAACGCTGAATCCCACTTGTGTGAATGTCTTTTCCATGAAGAGAAGCGCAGATTGCACTGATGAAACTCGAAGAAAGCTTACAGTGAATAAATTCAAGCGAAGCTAATGTTTCTCGGCTCTGGATCAAGAGCTTGCACAAGGGCTCAACCTGTCGTATCACGGATCATCAGCAAATGTGATTCCACCTAATAAACTTATGAGACCGCTAAGTAGTGAAATTGCCTTACATGTTTCTCAGATCTGATCCAACGTAGAACCAGAGTTTGCAATCTACTTGTCCTCAGTAACTCCTACAGTAACAAAGGTTGGATGATTGATTTCATCTACATAGATCCAAATTTGAAGTTCCAAGCGAAGGGTAAACATCAAATACAGTATAAAACAGCGCATCGACCAATGATACTAATGCAAAAATAAAGCAAGGATGACTGCATTTACCATCAAAACCTGAGAGCATATTGTTAATGACTTACACAAGTTTCAGTAACGCAGAGCGCATTCAGAAGCCTCAGGCACCTGCAAAAAATGTCAGTCATGATTGAAAGTGACTATGGAAAGATCAATTCATCAGACAAACGTAAAAAAAACGTTACTACACCTAAGATACGGTCCAAATGTCTGGAGATGAAAAGAGAGTTCCGTGCAGACACATTGTTGACGACAACTGGTGTGCTCTTCATGGCAAATGTATCTCAGTATCTTGTCTGCAACAGAAGAGACACAACTAACTCAAGAATGAATGATCCCTTAACGCAGCTAAGACGAATCAACCTCAAGACCAGAAGAACACTTGCCTGATACACTAATGGAACCTATCCGACCACAAAACGTGGGACGCATAGCCGCCTCAGCTGCTTCATCAACACAACTGTCACTCGGATTAACGCGAGAACCAAAAAGGAAGAAGATAGTAAAACAACAAGTCATGGGTCAGGGCATACTCTTGAAGATGCTTTTCCCAGTAAAGCTGTCGCCATTCAGCTGGTGGTGGCTCCACGAGGTTAGTATGCTCAGGCCACCGCAGCTTGAACAAGCCCTTCCAAGAACTAGCGAGTACATCGTTTCTGCAGCTTAATCTCCTTTTTCTCAGTTCGAATAACTAAAAAAACAAAAACAAATGGGAATCAAAGAAAGGCTACCTTGCGCGTTTTCTCCCACTAATCAAGCAGTCATCACCACCAGATTCATAATCATCACATCGCTTGAACGGCCTATTAACACCAAAACGCGACGGGTTTGATCTTTATCTATCATATCAAAAATTCATTGAGCGCGTTAAAAACTCACATGTGCGTCTGGAAATTATGCAAAGCCAGTGCGGGCAAGCGTGCGACGACGGCATCAAGCAACTCCGATGGAAGCTCGTATACATCCGGAACTGGGTTGCCGCCTGAGGAGAATACTCAAAATCAGAGATCGTAACATGAAAGTACCAAATGACCAGAGCAGCTTTTCTCCGACTACCTTGAAGGAGCTCGAGCTTGAGGGCTTGGATGCAGAGAAGCGCAAGAGAAGGAGCTTTCCTCATTCTCTCCCACTCTCGAACGAGCCGAAAACACACACACTAATGTATCAGTTCCCTCTCTCTCTCTCCATTATTGGGCCGTTCTAATAATTATCCATCTGTACTTCAATCTATGTTACTATTTGAATTGGGCATCCCAATTAATATTCATATAAATTAATAATTACTACAAATTAATAATTTTTGCTGGTTTTTAAAAGTTTTATATAAAAATATAATCTTAATAATAATATAAGTTAATAATTATATATTTAAGAATATATTAATAATATAATATAGTAAATGTTGATTCAAATTTATAAAATTTGTTTGATTTATCTTCTAAATTTATTATAATATTTTTTGAATGAATTTTACATTGTTAAAAATATTAATTTTATTTTTTTATGAATATTAAAAATTCCAACTAAAAATATCTCGATAAATTTATCGATTAATTAATAATCCTAATATTACTAATATATAAAAATTTTACTGTAAATGTTATTATATATAACGGCTCAGCTATTTCATAATCTACGATTTGTATATATGTTTCGCGAATGCAAAACACTTGCATTACTAATAAATCTGTATGAATGCATCGTATATATACAGTACATTGTTTCATCGAGTAAGATCCAAGACTGCCTCTTGCACAAGCTCTTGCAACAACATCACTTCGATTTCAGTCCCCAAGTTGTTCACTTGGACTTGCAGGTTACGACTCCACAGTTTCCCGACGACCTCGTCCCTCACCAAACATTCTCCTTCCAGGCTGTTAGAGTCCTGAAGCGCCAAGCCCTTAAACTCTGTCCAAACGTGTTCCACCATGTCAAACCCCGAGGCCAAACCCGTGCCTGCTGCTGTTGATGCTGTCTCTGTTATGATGGCATTGACGCAGTCAAACACGAGCATGCGGTTTGATCGCTGCTTCCTGCGTTTGATGAGTTCTCTGTTGGCAAATGCGTCTCTCAATGATGGGTCCAAGGGGGTATCTGGTGAGTGCCACCGGGTCATAAGCGGGTCACTGCCGCCGCTGAAACCGGATGCTTTCAAGATCGCTTTGATGAAGTAATACCAGTCTTCATCTTCCTTGATTCCCGTTGCGGCTTTACTTGTGTCTGTGTATGACTCATCCTCCCATGAGCAAACCCGAGCGATCGATCCGATCGGAGGTGATTTGTCGATCAGACTAGATTTCAGGGACGTTTCTTCTCCTGTGAGATGCGAATTTGATCAAAACTCATAGAAAGTTTCATGCAGAGAGAGAGAGAGAGAGAGAGAGAGAGAGCTAAACCAACCTTGACTGGTCCATGGCTTTGTTGACCCACAACATTCTGTGTCTGTGTTTCCCACAACTTCCTCTTCGAAAGGCGGCTGTAAAACCGATACTGGACTCGGCTGGTCCTGGTTTTCACTCGGTGTAGCCACTTCTCCCTGCAAACAAACCAATGGCGGATGATTAAGACAAGAATGTCTTCGGAGCATTCCTAGATTCACAAACCAGTTTCAGGTTGTGGTTTACTACCTCGCTTGTAAGAATACTTTGTCGTTGTAATGCATCAGTGGGCATAGCCAATCGAGACAGAGCATCTGTCTTGTCCTTGTTTGCCTTTTTGTTCCTGAAGAAGAAGAAGCTTGAAACTTTCCATGATGACTTTAAGCTTCTTGACTCGGTAAGCTCTCGGCGAGCTTGTGCTTCTGAAGTTCCTGAAACCGACGTTGCACCATTGAGTCTAGTCTCAGGGACTGGTTTTGACCTCTCAAGGGTATCCAGAGGAGAACCGCTTCCGCTTTCGACTTGATCTACAGATCTTCTCGACTCCTGTTTCGCTTTGTTGCTCTCTTCACTGGATCTGGTTGGCGCCTTCGTTTCTGAAAGTGCAAGCATGTCGCCTAAGGCCTTTGAGGGCTTGGGGAGGCTTTTCTGTTGTTGTGTGTCTCCGTTTAGTGACATCATTGCCCATCTCTCAGAAAGCCGTCTCTTTGCCTCTCTGTAGACAGATGATGACTCTGGAGAAAACGAGACTCGGCTGAAGGATGAGGAAGAGAAAGGAGGCGACATGATCTCAGAGTTGCTAATGTTTCCCACTGGATATTCGTTGCTCCACCTGTTCAGCGAACCATCATCATCACCGATGTAGTCACTGGACAAGACAGAAGAAGAAGAAAGAGTGTCGTTCCTAAACGTCTCGCGTATCTGACGTGTAATTTCCTTAGCCACTTGTCTAGTCTCAGCATCTTCTACAGCCTCGTCAAAACAGGAAGAAGGCGACGAAGAAGCAATAGCCTTTATATCAAGAGCCTTCCCGGGACTAGGCTTCAAGACAACTATTCGAGTTGAAGCCCATCTTTTAATCTGCCTAGTATCTTTCTGAGCATTTGAAGGTCTCAATACCGTAATGCGCTTAGCCTCTGGATGAGGAGGAAAGCCAGAAAGATGCAACGAGTTTGGTTCCTGGACGAATAAATCTTTGTTGGAACTTAGAAACTCAAGCGCTTCTTGAAACTCCTTGGACCTGTGAGGCTTGCCCTCTGTTACCAGGCGCTTCGCTTCCATGAACTTTCGACGAACAAGATCCAACTTTGCATAATCACTCATGCTCCCATCACAGCTTCTTCCAGCTTCATGACCACACCGCCGTGGCGCAGCTGTCTCTAGACCCATTAGTTTAGCAACCACGTTACTAGAACTACTCTGTCTATCTTCAACCTCTTTCGACATTTCTCCAGCGATATGTTTCCTCATAGATGCACTTGTCTCCTTGGCTTTCCTTAAATCAGACATACCCTGTGATGTCAAGAAAAAGTGACGAAGATAGCACAAAAGTCTTAGGCCGCACTGAATCAAATTCGCTCGACAACAGTAAGAAAATGTGGGTCACATAAAATCGATGTAACGAAGCAAAATGGCAAACAAACAAGAAAATCAAGCCGACCAAATCGGAATCGGAAGAAAGAAAGAGAACTAATTTGCACATAAAGACAGCAGACAGCATAAAAGGCATCCGAAAGTGAGATCGGAGCTGCTAAAGTCAGACGTTTTCTGCGTCACTCTCATTGAGAGAGTGAGAGAGAGGGAGAGAGAAGGACCTGTTAGAAGCTAGCTAGGATAAGAAACATCTCCAAGCTCCGCCGGCGAGTTAGCTTCGCCGGAGTAAGGTTTTCTCTGAATCTAACAGTCGGAGAGCTATTTGGGGATGACGTCTGATACAAAAAGGGCTTTTTTTTATTAGAGGGAAAGCTGCAAATGACCTTTCTCCATGGCTTCACTTTTGTAATTTAAATAAATAAAATGCTGTTTAATAAATACATGTTCGACTTTTTAAATATAAAAAAAAATGTTTTCTGATACATTGTTTTTTTCTTTTCTTGAAAATTAGATAATAAATGGTTTGTATAGCGATTATAGGTATATTGAAATGTTTGTTGGCATGGATGCATCATGGTTTGTCTCAACTTAAAAGATATATAATTAGGAATTGGATGCATTACTAAAATTTTGATATGATCACATGATTCTCTACTAATTCTAATTTTGTTTGGTCAACCTTTACTAATTCTAATTTCATTGCACAGTTGAGTTTCTTTCTCTCAACCATTCTATAAATGGATTCACCATTTTTGTTTTTCTAGCCAACTAAATCGATTTAAGTTAATAAGTTTTATTTACTAAAGATTTTGTGAACTTCTAAAAATAGTCCAACAATGCGTTGGGTTTGTATTTTAAAAAAGCTCCTAGAGGTAGTTTAAACTTATAGTGGTAGTTTTGTAAAACGCCAAAGGAAAAATGGTAATTTTGAAAAATCTCCCATAATTGTTTGTTAATTCAATGCTAAATATCTTTTCTCTCGTAAACGAGGAATATTTGGCGCAGTATATGAAATATTGCAGTTGATAATAAATGATCCAAGAATCCATAAAACAAAAGCATGTTATATGTTTTATCAAATATATGCAAGCAAATATAAAAGAATAATGATAATCTACTCTAATATGTGTATTTTACATACCCAATATAATCGGGACCAGGAATATCTTAAATGGACCAACCAACTTATTCTCGCAATGTCTTTTTTTTTCTTGTCCAAATGTTAAACAAACCAAAAATTTCACACTGAGATGCAATTTGTAGACCACGTGGACACATTCCCACGGTTTAATTCTCATTTCTCTGGTTAGACTTCATGTCGTAACCAAACCATCAAACTTTCAACCGGTTCGTAGAATTTCGGTTCCATTGCATTAACTACGAACTAACTTCGTTAGTCCATTCCAAAAATTCGATTTTCAGTAGACACACAAACTTCGTTGAACATTACAGTTTTCATCTGACCATACACAAAAAAAAATTCATAATTACGAAATTTATTGTGTAGAGTAATTGATGATTGATGGAAAATGAAGTACCATCACAATCATCAAAGAACCAACCATATATATATACACCTCCAATTACATATTACATTCCTTTTATTATTCATTTCTATTAACTCCAAGCTTTCTCTCAATCTGGTTAGTGATTATTATTTAGAAAATGAGTTCCAACTACTTTGGTAGTTGAGAAGGGTCTAAGAGATTCATCAAAGCAAAGAAAAAAAAAACAAAGAATGGCAACCAATTACCAATGTCCCCATGAATAACTCTGGGTTAAAGATCATTTACCATCTCAACCATATAGCAGTCTATGTCGGATCATCAACATCTGAACTTGAATGTGATATCGATTCTTATGTCTTTCTGAACTTGAGTGTGTTATCTAAACGAATATAGAAACAATGACATGACACAAAATCTCCAGAACAGTGCGAGTAGGAACCTGTTGTTGTTGGCAAAGAGGAAATTGCCTGAAGTGTAATGAGAGAGCAGAGGAATGACATGAAACTGATCCACACGATCCACTCATGCTTTATTATAACAGATCGTGTCATGCTCTTGATAATCCCGAGCCAGTCTTCCTTCCAACAAGTTGTCTTCATCTTCAACAGCTTCCAATCTAAACTCACCAATCTCTACTAGTGAAGACAAGTTCTTGGCCTCCTTAACCAAAAAATCGACATAGAGAGATTATTTGCAAGAAACGTTAATGCTATGAAAGCGTTTTACTTATAGTTATCACAGTTTGAAGGCAGATGTTAAAAAGTAAATATTCAGTAACAACTTTTCTGAAATGTACACCTTCAGGATTTGAATTTCGGAACTCAAATACACTTATCAAGTTGTTAAGTCAGATCAACAACATAGCAAGTACTAGTTCTTCAGCTGCTGTCTTAAGCTCATGGCTACCACAAGGGATTCTACTTGTATGAATCAATCCAAGCTTGAGGTGACTAAAACCTTTAAAAGCGCATCCAATCATGAGAGCTAAAACGATCGCTCTGTGATGGACTTGAATTTGAATTGCTGGTGCTGGAAACTGGAAAGGGTACTATTTCACATCCAGGGACTTCAAAAGGGCAATGATCCACTGGAGAGTATGTGTAGTCGTCTCTGCTTAACCAATTTGCGCTATTTGTATGATGAAACCTCTGGAGATTCTGGTTTGCAGCAGCCACATCTTTGTCATCAATAACACGCCTCTCGAATTCATGCTCAAAAGGCCTGGATTGGTTGGTTTCTGGTAAGAGGGAGCGGCCGATAGTGTAATGAGAGAGCAGAGGTAAAGGGTACAGCTCTCTTGCGACCAAATCATGGGATGAAGAATAGCCAGAGCTCCATGGATTATTATCAGTCAAAGATAACGAGGTGGATCCATTGGGATATGCGGTGAGTTCCGTGTGATAACTTAGTGGCAAATCATCTGTCCTTGCGGTTTCGTTATTCCACTCGAGAAGTAATGCAGAGGAAGGCTCTGTGCAATCAAGTGATAAGTTCTCCGACCTGTATCCACTTTCTTCTGTGTGATAACCCAGTGAAAGAGGCTTGTAGTGTCTGAAATGGAGGCTAGACATGGGGGAACAGTCCAGAGTTTCTTCAGAATGAAACGACAGGGACGCCTTCTGTTTCAACAATGGAGCTCGATAAACCGATTCCTTAGGATATGAGATTGAAAAGCTAATCTCTTCCGGATCTTTAGCAAACTGCAGACTCGGTGCAATGCTATCTTCTAGCCATCCCTGACAAGAAATCGATCTGTCCCTTTCCATTAGACCGTGGTCAGCTTCTGTATGGGACCTCTTGAGAAACTTTGGTCCAGGAGAATCAAAATCCCTTCTTCTTTTGATTCCATCTGTCCCCTCCTTGGAAAACCTAGAAGGCTGAGAGGAAATTCAAAAGTGATTAGGATTGATCAAGATAAGCAGTGCAGGATTCTATCAAAGCTTACATGTGTCTCCTCGTTTCCAGGGAACAGCCGAGTTAGGAGAAGAGAAACTAAATCCCCCCTGAAAAAAATGATTTTCTTCTGAGTACATTATTATAGACTATACACAGGTGTTGAGATACAAGAAATGAAAGAAACAAAAACTATTGTGTACCCGTTTGAGGTAAGCTCCGGGAACCATGTATCTTTGACCCACTGATTCAATCTCTTCCTCTTCACAGAGAATAAGTCTCCTTTCTCATCACATCTCAGGTTATTGATGTCCTTGACTCTACTGAATCCTGAAGAAGATTTCCCAGGACCTTCCTCTAAAGACAAGAGCAACACAGACGAGTGTTTTGTGACGGAAACAAAACTGACACACCGATCCTGATAAGAGAGACAAGGGTTTGCACCAAGTAACGACCTTTATCCTTTCGAGTGAAGTTGGCAGGTGACATAGACAAGCCACATGCAGTATGAATGGGCGTGGAGAAGCTATAACCATCGCGTTTATCTTTAGCTTCGCGGTCCGTTCCTGCACATTCTGGTTCCAGTGCAAACACAATCATCATCATCATCATCATCACAAGTCACAACAAGAAGAGATGATAAAACACAAACCACCGTGGCTTCTGGATTCCGAGGTTTTCGGGTTTTGCTTGACTTTATTCGATGGTTCAGAGCCACGAGACTCAGAGCAGAGGCCAAAACCAGATTTTAACTTGTTAAAGAACGCAAACTCCGAGGTCTTGGCATCAAGCCCTGGAAGTGATAAATCGAATTCAACAATCAGATCGACGAAATTAATTCGGAGCTAGAGATGAATCCAGGAGAGACGCGAACTCACATTGACCGGTTTGGGCTTCTGGGGAATCATCGTTCAAGGGGATCCGATCGACGAAACTCACCCTTCTCCTGCGTTTCAAATCTAAAACCAAAAGACGAGAAAAATATTCAATCAACACACGAAAATCCGCACCCACGGAAACGAAATCGAGGAATCAAATACCTGAATTTGCTCTAGAGCTCCAAGGATCAGGATTCGCGAACCCAAATTGCGGATCCATCTTTTTTAGGGTTTCGGCCGCTTTCGTTCGGTGGTTCCTTCTTCTCATCACGGATTAGCTCAAACCATTCAGCTCTTGAGCTGATTCAAGAAGGCGATGGAGAATGAAGGATAGGTTTCAGGCTTTCATGGCGGTTCATAGGAATTTGAAATTGGGGAAGAGAAACGAAATTTGGCGGCAAGGCAAGGCAGCCCTAATCTACAGGATGTTTTTCTATCGAATTAAAAAAAAAAATTAATTGTTCATTTTAAGGTTGCCATGTCATCACATTATCTTGAAAAACCGAGATGTGATAACACGTGTCATATCTCAAGTGGGAGAAAACGATTCGTTTTAACCCCCAACACATCTCTCAAGCTTTGTCCTCATTTCCTCTCTTCTTTAGCCTTTTGGATCACACAACCAACCAACACCGTAATCACACAGATGGCGATGACGTCAGCAGCCACCGGATTTACTCTGACGACCAACGTCACTGCTGCTGTATCCGGCGGTTCTTCGGCGACTCCAAAGATCGCTGCCGTGTCTTTCTTGCCTATGAGAAGCTTCGGTTCGAGGCTAGTCGTCAGAGCCTCCGAGGAAGCACCTCCCTCCTCGGAGCCTTCTTCGACCACCGTAGCTGCTCCTGCGGCGGAAGCTCCTGCCACGAAGCCTAAACCTCCTCCCATTGGCCCCAAGAGAGGATCTAAGGTCAGCTCTTCTTTAGCTCATCATGTACATATCAATCGGTGCGTATACATATATAATCTGTACGATCTATGATACATGTTTATGCATTGTATAGGCTCTTCGAAAAAACCGAGTTCTTACAGATGTTATTACTTATCTTCAATAAGTTCTTGGTCAATTTGGAATTTCATTAAGTTATTGGTCAATTTGGAATTTCATTAAGTTATTGGTCAATTTGGAATATTATAAGAATCATGGGGTTAATTTGCAAATTGTATCATATTTTTGGGACTTTGCACGTCAAGATTTTAAGAAAAGAACTCAACTGGTGGGTACAAGAGAAATTTGTAACAACATTTGAGCTAAATTATGTATCGGCAATAAGTTCTTCTTGGTCTACTTAGAACATTTTAAGAGTTGTGGGGCTAATGTCAAAGTTGTATGTCATTTTGGGGGCTTACAGGTCAAGATTCTAAGGAGAGAATCCTACTGGTACAAGAACGTTGGATCAGTTGTGGCCGTTGATCAGGTAATGCATCTATGTACTTTCCGAGTTGACAATCCGACAGTTAGATTTGGTTTCATCTTATATTCCGGTTTAAATTGATAGGACCCGAAGACCCGATATCCGGTTGTAGTCCGGTTCTCAAAGGTGAATTACGCGAATATATCGACCAACAACTACGCATTGGACGAGATCGAAGAAGTCAAATGAGAAAATTTGGTTTATCTCCGGTTTGTTTGTTTGTAATCTTGAACCAAACCGTATGTACCAAAAAGCTTTACCAACAATCCATCTCTATCTTTTCCAGTCTCCAAATTCGATTGCAAAATCCGGTTTAACAACGGAAACACAATAGATTCTTGTATAGACAGTAAATCCAAACACCAAATCGGTCTTAGACTTGAATAATTTATTCAGAGGTGATTAAACAAAAAGGAAAAAAAAAAAACATGAACAAATTTCCAAACCAGTTTCATCTCAAAATCTCTCTCAAGGCTGACCGGTTTTGCCTTTGGCTGCAGCTAACATTGTCTCTAGCTCTCCTTTATTGTACAGCTGCAATGTATCTGTTCAACAATAGTGAGATGCAGATCAAGTAAGGCCAATATACACAAGATCTCATTTTTTTACGATATGAGATCAAAAAGCTCGGTGTTGAGGTAAGAGAGGAAGAGAGAGAGTGTACCTGAGCAGCCACCAATGTGCTTGCCTCCTGGTCATGATATAAAGATAGATTTGTCAAAAAGACATCAAGAACAATCTTCGGGAGTGTGAGTTAGTGAGTGATGCAAATGATGAAACAACTAACCGATGAAAACATTGGGAACAGTGTATTGTCCGGTAAGTCTCTCCAGCACATTTTGCAGCTGCGACCCTTGTGTACCTGGAAATGTCGAAAAAAACACCAAAGCATTCGTAACAGCAACTCAAAAATGTTTCAGACCGAGAGATAGTTTAGCCAGAAAAACACTCAGCAAGACAACAAAGAACAAATGTTTTCGTCAAGTATCAAAATCTCGACAAGCCACGAAAACGAAGAACAAAGAAAAGGTTTAAGCCATTAGTAAACCTTTGACGGTGAACAAGATTATCCAATTCATTTACACAAGCCAAGACGAGCAGGAATCATATCTACTTGGGAACAGGTGATCCAATGTAAAATGCTTGCTGAAACTATTAAGTTACTCTAACAAGCTTCGATCAAAACAATAATTTTACAAACATGAGTAATTTTCAAAAAAAACATATCACAGAAGCTAATCTCTCGGGCCATTACAAACCCCTCTAAGCATTACAATCCTACATCACAATCTTAAACATAAACATACAAACATACAAACATAAAGATTGTAACCCATAAACATACAATTATACAACCAAAAAACCAACTATAGGAAGACGACCATGAATCATATCTCTATCTGGTAGTAACAGGAGTATTAACTAGATCCAATCTAAAATGCTTGCTGATTCTAACAAAGCTTCGATCAGAACAATATCACAGATAATCGAAACCAAATTAGCACAAGTCAGTGTAGAATAAAGCATACCAAGTTCATCCAATTCAACGACAAGTGGATTCACTTGAAGCCTCTTGAACAACGTCTTCACTTCCGAGGAGTACCTTCCACCGCATCAAAACAAATTTAGCAAATTGAAGAAAACGCATTGCGATTAAGAGGAGAAGAGTATGAGAAGAGTGAACCTACGAGCACCAGCTTTTGGAGTAGACAACGACAGGGTTATCTGCCACCGTCGTTTTAACGGTCTCCTCCAGCGACGACGGAGAAGAAGACGATGACGTGGCCCTAACCGAAGAGCCGTGTGGTGGCCACGACGCGAGTCGGAGAGGTGTGGGCTTTACACGTGTCCTCAGGGGTAATATGAAAGAGTTTCTGATTCCGCTTAGCATGGAGAAAGAGAATGGCCGATTCGCAATTAGCGACGACGACGATGATGTCAGGTTCGCCGCGAGATTGGCTGATGCGGCTACCATGGCGACTTATGTTTTTCTTATTGGGGGATCTGTCTCTCTGATTTCTCCTCCTTTTAATCTCATCCAGTTATTCCCTTTATATATATTTTGGTAATTTCTCTAATAATAATAATATAATATCTATGAATTTTGTGAAATTAAAGAATCCCTACTCTTTGATTATTCTCCCCTCTCACTACAACTCAGAAGAGCATTTCAGATAGATTTTTTCTGACTTTTCATCTAAATGGTACAGATAAACAACATTAAGAACAAAAAGAAGAATAAAAAAGACACTACTAAGTAGTCCTTGAGATCTTTTTAAGACAACAACAGATTATTCCAACACCTGAAACAGGTTTGTGTCTGCAATATCCAATCTATCGAAAGTACACAAAGCAAAACATGTGCTTTCTCTCTCTCTCCTCCACATCTCACAGATATTTCCATCTCAAGATGATCCTTCATTGTTTGGCTCACGAATCTGGATCGATGTTTTCGACAAGCTTGCTTCCAATTCATCCAGCTCATCCATGTCTAAATCATCATCATCATCATCATCATCATCATCGTCATCTTCACCGACTTGTTTCGAACTCTCTTCAGCATCACCGCTACTCCTGCTTGTCCCTGCCTCTGTTTCTTTGTTCTTTGCCTGAGAATCAAAAACTCAAGATTACATTTAACATGACTTGGCTGTTTGTTGGTTTAAATGACGAGAGAGAGAGAGAGAGAGAGAGAGTTCACCTTCTGTTCACTCTCTTCCTCTTCCTTTTCCCTCTGGTATTCTTCAAAAGCTTCAGCATCATCCACGAACAAGCTTGCATTGGCCAGAAACAGCTCCCGACCACTGAGAGATTACATGTCCACGCAATGAATCAGCTTACGAGGGAAAAAAAACAGAGTCACACTGGACGTGGATAGACAACAAAACGATGAATGTGATTACCTCATACGGTCGTTCTTAGCTCTCTCCGCTTGAGAAGCAGCCAAACCTGCATCCCTCTCAGCTATTTTCTTCCTCTTCCATTCCATAAATAGCGCAGGAGTCATCTGGGTCGCAGTTTTCAGTTTTGCACGCTGAAACACAGAACAAGAAAACAGTTTTGAGTCTCACGAATCAACTCCAGGGACCTAGCAATAGCGAAAATACTGCAATGCGTGCGTATGAAACCTCATTTTCGATCTCTTCTTCAACCGGCATCTTTTGTGACTCCTCTTCCAAGAGGGCCTTCATTTGAGATTTAAGGATATACCCAGGAGGAAGAGCGTGTCTGTAATGACACTCTTTGGCTCCATTGGGGCAAGCCCAGAACCACCCATACTGTTTCTTCTCCACCGCATCCAGAAAATACTTGCATACCTGTTATTATATATAGCCAACCACGAAAATTAGCATATTTACGGTAGCTCAATGAACTCATGCGTGACAAAGACTTCATCATGTGTTTGTTTAGGATAAACTTTATGAAGATGTGCTAATGAGTTAACACGCCAAGTTATTACTTCTTTTAGTATATAATTAGCTAACAGAAACAGTCCCATCATGAAAATATATGTCGTTTCATCACCCCCACGTATGAGTTATTGTCAGGCATGATCCAAATGAAGAGAAAGCAACAAGGAACAGAGGGAGGAAAGAGGACGTGAAATAGCTCTTAAGATGAACCGTACTACTCGCTAAAAGGCCACATTTTAAACTAAACCCCCATAACATCTAAACCTTTGATCACAGTAAAAAGACCAAACGCAACCGAAACTGATGCATCACTCTGGATAATCTATGAGTCGCCATCACATACTAATGGCTGAACATCTGTACAAAAAATATCACTTCGGACTTTTGCATAGTGCATTGACATGAGAAACTCTTACTGATAGGCATGTACAATTGCGAAACCAGAAGCCCTCAATCAACAAGTCCCCAACTATCAAATTTGAGATAGACAGAAGTAAGAAAACAACTTACAATATCTGTCGGCTTATTCTGGTTATATTCATTCTTCTTTGATTCCACAACCTTTTCAAGGGTCTCTTGATCCCACTCCTCCATCGTTCCATCTAAACCAATATAGAGTAAAAAAAAAAGCAAAAGTAAGACCACTGTTAAAGTGAGCGAATATAAGGTACTTTCGCCACACTTGGCCTTTTTACCTTCATCACGTTTATCACTGTAAATGTCGATCTTTGCACCCTTCCTTTGAATGTTCAAATCATGAGAGAACTTGCACTTGAACCCCTTTTGACACTGCCCGGCCTTGAAAAACTCACACAGGATGGACTTTGGATCCACACCTGCCAAGAAACATCACCAAAACCACCGCCACATTCTTATAACACATCTAAACCCAGAGTGGACAAGAAAGAGAATAAACAGCAACATCAAAACAACACAGGGAAGATCAATTTGCATATCAGAGCATCTTTTCATGAAAAAAACATACATACCTACAGGAACTTTGGGCTGGCTAATCGCTACCTTGAACAACTCATTCAATTCCTGTTCTCTCGCTTTCTCTTCCTCTTTCTTTTTCTGTTTTTTTTTTTTTTAAAACAAAACAAACAAACAAAAAACCATTTTCTTCTGTAAGAATCTAAAACCCGAAGAAACAATCAAACTGTTTCAGTATTACATGATCTCTAAATCAATAAATAAAAATATATAAAAACATCTACTTTACTATCAAGCTCACTCTCAATCAGCAAAAACCCCCATTTCAGGATATCATACAGATTCAAGCGTACCTTGGCAGCAGCTTTAGCCGCATCGGGTTTAGGCTGAACAGATTGCTGGAGACTCTGAACATACTTCTGAACATTCTTGCTCTTGTTCTTGTTTTTCAGCCCGAAAGTTTTGTCTTCCACTTGTTTCTGTTTTTTCGCCAAATCGGCCTTCGGTTGCTTTGGAGGCATCTTCTTACACGAATCAATTCAATCGAAAAAAACTCGCAACTTTTTTTTTGTTTTTAATGTACACGGATCGATGGAAGGTTCTGAAGCTAATGTATCAAAATTAGGGTTTTTAAGGCGGAGTGAAAAAAAAAATTAAAACGAAAACACAAATTCAATCGGTAAAAAAAAAAAACCCTCCAGAATCAAATATCCAACCAAAACGGCGGAGATTCAGAACTTCCCCACCCAGAAGCAGACCCTAATGACTATTACCGATCGAGATAGAAGCAAAAGGAGATGAGACTACTAGAGAGGAACAACATTTGTCTGGTATAAGCCATATGCTCGTTTAATATTTTTGGGCCTGTTATAGGCTCGTTTAATGTTAGTAGGCCTACCTTAAGGCCCATAGTATGTCTCGCTTAATGGCCCAATTTTAGGTCTATTAAGTTTATAAGTTGCAACGGTCTTTTTCGGCGCGCAAGTCATTCATTCATTTCATTATCAACTGACAACATTATTTTACACATGCAAATCGATTTTCAAAATACTCAACAGAGAATTTTTTAAAAAAAACACAGATAAATGCATGTCAATTCATAAAATTATCATCGATTTTGTTTTCCATTAAAACTTGTTTTCTTTTGTACATACAGTAACATATGGATGGAGACAACTTCTCAGACCCAACATAACTGCACAACACCAACAAGAAGAGACCATAACCAATGTCTTTCTTTTTGTTTCTCCCAGCAAAACAACCTTTATAAAAAAAATCTCTGGGATAATGAGAGAGCTTGAATGAGGAACAAACAAACAAATCGGCGAATCTTAGTAAAAAAAAATTCTTCGCGGCGATTTTCTCTCTCTCTGAGAATCTTCCTCCTGTTTGTGAATGGTGTTCTTGAAGGGGGCAGTTTTGGTTTCTCTGAATTACACTATTGCAAGAAAATGAAAGATGGGTTTTCCAGGAGTTCCTCAGCAGGTTTCACTTGGGCAAAGTCCTTATCTTGCATTGAACTAGATAAGTCATCGATCAAGAAGGAAATGCTGTTGCTGCGCAAGGCCAAAAGGAACGGTTTTGTTCAGTTTCCAGAAAGAAAGAAAAAAGGTCATGGATTTGATTCATAGCAGCAACAAAAGAGATTCAAAGCTTCTTCCTCCTCTATTGGCTTTTACACTAAGAAGATACATGCAAAGCGAAAGCCACACGTTACCTAGAATCATCTTTTAACAAGAAGTCGCTGCTGTCTGTCATAACTCCTGTCATGCATGAGATGACCTGTTCCATCGATGAGCGAGCGTCAAAACTACTAGAGCAAAGGATCTTAAAAGAGTACATAGAGAAGTATTTCCACAGAGAGCTTACATCTTGGGAAACACTTTTCGTGTTGTAGATTTCATCCTTGTACAGAGTACATAGTTTGAAATGCTGCTGTATTCTAAGGATCTGAGTGAAGGATAAAAAAATGGTGTCAGCGTAATCGTATATTGGTAAAAGTTCATCAGATATTGGTAAAAGAGTTGGTTGATAGAGACTTACTGGGCACAGATCATTTGCAATCTCATCGTATGAGATTTTGTATTTCTTATGGATGAGCTGTAGTAGAGGCGAATTCAAGGGTGAGAAACGCAAACTCTTACTTAGATTCAAGTGAAGTTTAAGTTGATTTGCTTAAAACATACCAAGAATCCAACAGCCTGTCTGGTATGTTTGAGTTCATCCCAGGATGAGCCAGCATACTATCAAAGACGAGTGACATAGGTGAGATAATGTGATAACAACAGATGAAAAAAAAAAAGCTGCTCTTGGGAATACCTCTTCTTTTGTTTCGGAGCACCATTTCTCCAACTTTTCTAAACCAGATTTTACAAATTCTCCATTGATAAATGAACAGCTATCTGGCCGCGTGACAAGGCTACAGATCAGAAAGAAGAAGTCGATTAAACGCTGCTTATCATAGAGATGCATATTCCATAATAGACAAATAAACAATCTCTCACCTGTTGCATAGTTGGATATTGATGAGTGAGAAAGCCTGAGAGAATATCTTCTGGATAAGAACCGGAGGAACCTGAAACAAGAAGAATAAGCTATAAGAATCTCTTCGACATTCAAAGAGATGAGAGATGTGAGTGGAAACGAGTTTCACATACAAAATTCTCTTTAAGCGTGCTTAGCAGTGCATCCAGGCCTTCAATAATTCCTTGCCAGTATTTAGCAGTGCTTGTAGATAATAGTGCGGTCCCCTTGAATGTTTTTGGTGCCTAGAGAGATTCTCTCATGTCAGCTCACAACACTTACATACAAAGTCAAGATGAAAGCAGAGAAGCATTGTGGATCATAAGCACCTGGATGCAGAGAGTAAGTAAAGTGTTCAACTCCTTTTTCAGGTTATCCCAAATAATCCCAATAATATTTTCAACATATGCTGCAAGCTGCTGCTTGAAATGCAAAGCTGGTTCCTTGGCATCAACTGGTCGAATCGCTTCAGCCGCTGGAGAACGGAAACCCTAATACATTAAAGGTAAGAATTAAGAAAAGACTGTTTAGTTTTTGGAGCAGAAACGCATCAACACAAGACAAAACAAAACAAACAAACGAAGGTTATACACACCTTAGTCATCCATCGGACCAAGGAAGGTGACTTTCGAAGAGGAGTGGACCCGGTTCCACCTGATTTCAGACTTTGTTGGAGCATGAACAATAAGGTCGAAGTATTGGATAACCAATATGCCAAGTTAGCGTTGTCATCTTCCTCCTGTTAGTAAGAGTCGTTGATCATTCAACTCTGATCAACAAAAACAAAACAAGGAAGTTGACAAGACAAGACAGCCTCTCATTGTAGTACCTTAATAGCAGAGCCAATCACTTGAACAAGACGGTCAAACAAATTAGTTCTTTCTGCTTCAAAGGATTTCCAATGAAGAAGACATTTGTAGATGGTAAATGCAGCTACAGGCTTTCCCTGGCTGAATCCAACATTTTTTGTGACACAGTTGATAAGAGCATCCACATCCTCCTGTACCAATTAAAAGAGAAAATGACTCTTCAACCAAGGTCCAAAGAGGGGACATATTAAAGATTGAAAGCACATAACCGAGTAATTTGACTAAACAGCATACATGTTGAGGATCAACAGGGGATCCCCTTGACTTAGTGTCAGATCCTGATTCTTGTATCCTTGGCGGTGTTGTAAACTCAGCTCCCTGCAGAGACGGATTTTAAAGGATAAACAAACAGATGGAGCATACTTTCAGATAAAAGTAGACGACAAGGCAAAGACATAGCTTACATTGAGTTGGTTTTCTTTGCTAGGATGGTTCTGCGCGAACAAGAGCAATATTGTAATTAGGATGATTGAGAGAGAGACTCAGATGTAGTCATCCAAAAATATTTCTCTGGATATATCTACCTTTACTGGAGTATAAGGGAAACGTCCTGGTGCTGTCTTAACAGGTGTGCTTAAGAATGATTGCTTCAAAAGTTGATTTTCATATTTCACATCCTCTAATGTCTCTTCGAGTCTGCAAATGAAGAGCAAGCGCATACGTTGACTGTCAGTGAGTTATGAAAACCTTAAAATCTCTGTGGAAATTCAATAGCTACGAGACCAATAGTTAATACTTGTGCATGGCGGTCTTCAAATTAACAAATTTCTTTTCAGCTTCTAAAGCCTGCTTCAGCCTCTCTTCACTAATTTTGCTGGTCTCCTTGAATTTTTTCTCTGTTTCATCAATCTTATACTCCAGCGAACTTACCATGGACTGCATATGAAAGAGAAATGAAATTCCAAATATTGTTTTGTTTTCTACGGCTTTGAAAACCTTTGTAAAATAAACATTAGAAAATAGAGTAGAATAGAGCAAATTCCCTACCTTGAGGTTTTCATTTTCACTCCTGAGTTTCTCCACTAGCTCGGTGTCAACAATGGGAACCTCCTTTATCACAGGAACAATTTCTGCAGTCTTTTTCGCAGTTTCCACTTCTTTTAGGAGAGACGCTTTGGTTTCCTTGAACTGGAGTTGTATTTTCTCCAATGCTAATTGCAGTTCTGCGTTTTCTTGTGTTTTACTTTCTTGCACTTCCACCTGCAACGTCAAAGCCACAATAACAGATGTGTAAATCAGCATCCAGAGAAATGTTTTCAGAAGACAAAATTTTCAAAAATGGGTAGAAAACCAAAAAAAAGAAAGGGCTGTGTTTTATCGGACCCTCTTGCGTTTCTCTAGCTGCAGTCTCCATGTGAGATCTTCCACTTGCTTCTCAAGCTTACTCTTGGCTGCCTGAAGTGCTCCAGTTTCCTTTGCAGCCTGCAGGAGATATTAAGGTATCATTGTTGCAGTTTTTCATTTTGGGGAAAAGCGAGCCATATTCTGTCTCTGTGTTCAAGACAATCAAATGGAAAGGGCAATTTCCAGCTGCTAACTCCATTATCTAAACCCATCCAATCCCATTGTTTAACCTCATCAAAGACCAAATATTATTTGAGGTGTTACAGATTCCATCTGAAATGCTTAGAACTGAAACGTGAGAAAACCAGAAGAGGTAGAAAATTCTCACCATTTTAAGCTCTCGCAATTCTTTACGGGCTAGCCTCGCTCTCCATGCACTTTGTGTTGTAATCGCTGCTTTCTTCAGCTTCTTGTAGTGCGACTCAGCCAGGAGTCTACGGCAATGGACCTAGTGTATATGCAATGAAAAATTGAAATCAGAGTCTAGAAATAATATGCAAAGCTCAGAGATGAAAAGGAAAAGAAAAGAGACATGTTTTCTTCCATCAATAAAAAAGATTTCGCCACCTGAATCACAACTGTGGCCTTGATCTTCCTTCGCAGTACATCACGAGCAGCCATACCGCGCAAACCTGACTGAACGGTAACAACAGCTTCTGTGTAAGACCTCCTATCAAGGTAGATCCGCAAAGCTCTCTGGATCTTCAAAGCAGCAGCTTCTTTTCTGCGCAAGTCCTCAAATATATGCCGAGCAAGTTGACCTGTATATGATGGAAAACAAAGCAAATAACATATGAAACAGTCACATCTATTCTCTAACTGTCTGAATAGCTAATATTCTCTACAGCTTTTAGATACCTCTGCACACAGCCTGCATATTTATTGCAGCCTTGAGGAGAATGTAGGAGCGGAATTTCCACTGTATAATTCTGGCTGCTCTTCCCAAGACCTCAGTCCTCCGAGCATCTAATTCAGCCATCTGCCCAGCCATGAGGAGAACTTTCGTCTTTCCAATCTGCAAAACAAGAACGTTAAGCTCCACCATAAAAAACATAAAGTTCCCAAGCTCGCCTGCACAGAAAAGTATTCAACTCATGACGTTCACAAAACGAGTACCTGGTATCCTTTGAGTCCAACTGCCTCCAGAAGTTTCTTGCAGGCTGCTTTCTCATCAGAACTGGTAGGAACAAGCCAAAGAGTGAGAACGTTTTTGATATCTATGTAAGCTTTCAACCTCTGAATTGAGAAAGTCAAACCTCTTATCCAAAGTAACAGAAGCTAGGATACTAAATCTGTCGAGGAATTCATCAAAATGCTTTCGTGTAGGATATCCAGCACGACAAATCCTGATTGCCTCCATCATACCCTGAAAAATATGCTTACACAGAAGTTTAAAAACTCTTCACGAAATAATAACAAGGAAGTGTGTTCAGACAAACCAAAAATGTCCGTGAATCTCACCCCACAACGTAGCTGTTGCAGAACATTTTGGTTCTCAAAGATAGACGGCTTCAGGAGATTATTAGGCTTCACGCAACGTATATAGCGAGGCTCGGTAGTACTAAGACGTTCAATCAATAATGCCAATTGTTGCTGCATAAAGTAAGACAATGACTTCATCAATCCTGTGATGAAACCGAACGATTATCTATATAAGAAGTGTCTCATTTTACTGCACCTTAAATTGTGAAGCTACAGAAGAGAACTTTGACTGTTTGCTAGCATCTTCCATTATAAGAGGAAATAGACCGGCAATGAAAGTGCACCTAGAAGCACCTAGCAGAGCCTGATGCTCAGCAACAACATAATCTTTGTTCTTTTCCAGAAACTGCTCCGTCTGATAAGTGACCTGAAAAGAAAACTCAGCACTTTCAGGATATTTTTATTTTAGACATGATTGCATTACTAAAAATTCAGAGTGCTAAAGCAGTTTGTACTCACATCACCAGCATAGTGACAAACTGTGAAGTCAGTACGTGCTAATTTTGGCTTGCTGAAGTACTTGTTCTTTACTAATGTTCCGTACAGCTTTTGAGAAAATGTTTCATGTGTTGATCTTGGGAACATGCTGCAATATACACGTTTAAAACGTCAATTTCAAAGCAGAGACAGACAATACATGTGGAATAATAGCGATTGGAGCTCTTAGGCTTACCAAGCCTCGTCCAGAAGAGCAATAATACCACCAGGTTTCTGAAACGTGAGAAAATAGTGATGAACATGCGAGTTCAAGTTGAAATGAAAACTATTCACAAAGAGTTCGCATGTAAAACTAGCTACCTTCTCAATAAGTTCCAAAACCTTTTGATTATCTGGGAACTCAATGTGGTTCCACTCAATTTCTTCTTTCTTGTACTCATCTTGTTCCATTTTTAAGACGTGCTGCTCAAAAGAAAGTACCATGGATCAAGAAGGAGTAAGGCTGAATAAAAGGCAACTAAGAAAGAGCAGACTTCAGACAAACCTCATTAAAATGGTGCTGAAGTTTCTCATTGGTCAAATTGATGCAAAATTGCTCAAAACTGCAAAACCCCATGCATTAGTGACCATCAGAAGCAACAAGCACTTGGAACTTTTCACCTCTGAGCTAAGCGATGTCTTATGAATAAATAATTCAAATATCGAAAACCCCCGATTTTCAATTGAAAGAGAATAATGACTTTATCGCTTCCTAACATTAGATTCATTATCATGTGTCTGGTATTTCATGTGAGCCTTCGTTCCATTACTAAACCGGTTTCATTGCCTTAAATCAAAACATAAGGCAAGCTGCTTAAGCACCTGTTTGTCTTGAAACTCTCAAATCCATAAATATCCAGCACCCCGATCATGTTTTTTGAGTCAGGATCTTGCCCAATTGAATTATTGATCTTGTTTACGATCCTACAAGAGCAATAGGGAAACTCAGCAAAGAGTAATGAAAGTAACATTTGGGAAACAAGAAAGAGATACATACCAATCAAACAATCTTGAGTACACAAATTTTGCCAAGGCGTCTCTGCTGAATGCTGCCGATTCAGGATCCAGACATCTGGAAATTGTTTCTTCAGGTGTCACCATTACACGTTTACAAAGAGAATCTTTCAGTGCCTGCTCATCACACCTGCCGAAATCCAAAGAGTCAAGAATAGTTTCTTTTCACATTCAAAGTCATAGAGTCAATTAGTAGTAAGTAACGCACATAAAAAGCTCAGCCGCAATCTTCAGTGGCTTCTTGTCTTTTGGAACTGACGAGTCTGCTTCTTCCCCGTTTGCAAACTCTATGTTACCTAGATGAAGAATTGCCGCCAAAACTCGAAATATTGCTTCCTGAAAAGAGAGTGATATCAAAGACACTCAAATATCACCATTTTTACTAGGAGAAAGGAAAATAAACTACCTGCTCCTCTGAGCTTATCCCGACAATGCCCATTGCTTCTCGGGTTTTAGTATACTCCTCCGAGTCATCCATCCCCTCTAACTTAATACAACGAGATTGGTTCAGATAACGGTATGTTGTTGGATCCTCTAATTTCAGTTTTCTAATGTCCTGTCAAATAATAGAAGGCAAAATGAGAAACAACGAGACAATAATTTCAGAGAAAACACTGCCACTCGAGCTGGAAGCCATATGTACCTCTGGTGGTGCAGCACAAAGCATGTAAAAACAGTGATAGTTTCTCTCAGAATCTGACACTTGGCACACCCTTGATCTCTCTAACAAATAAGTCTTGATAGCAGCTCCAGATATCCTTCCCCTTTGATCGAACTGAATCTCCACGAATTTACCAAATCGACTGCAACATGATAACGGTTATATAGATGAAAATTTGGCCAACGGCTATTCAGTTTATTTTAAAAGATGATGAAACGTGTGTTTGTGTGCTACATTCACCTCGAATTGTTGTTCCTGACGGTTTTTGCATTCCCAAATGCTTCTAAAACAGGGTTGGACTGCACAAAGAACATAAACCATTCATGTCAACTTCTATTTGACAATCCAGAAGAAGGTCTATAATAAAAGTGTTTGTTTGTCACCAGTTACCTCCAAAACTTGATCTTCAACACTTCTTCTGTCAGAAACAGCTCGACCTCCCATTTTCGCCAGATATTTCATAAGCGTTTTAGCAGTCTCAGTCTTCCCTGCTCCACTTTCACCACTTACCAATATGGACTGACTAATTCCCTCATTAATCATTTGTCTACACCCAATAGAAAACAAGAAAAATGTTGTGTAAAGCAGGAAACGATCAAAAGACTTCAAAGTTGAGTGGCAGTTACCTGTAAGCTGCATCCGCAACTGCAAACGGATGGGGCCTCAATGCTCCAAAGGGGACTCCTTTATAGTGTGCAATCATATGGTCATTGTAAAGGTTCTCTAGTTGTTTAAAAGGGTTCACCGCAATCAAAATATCTCCTGTGTAAGTCTAAGAAAGAGAAGAACAATCTCAATCCAAATCTCTTACAGAGCCAACAACACAGCAAGGGGAAAAACAAAAAGGAAGCTCACATATATTTCGTCTATACAATATCTCGACTTCAAATTTTGCAGGACCCCTGGTTCATGTAAATACGCCAGCGTTGTCATATCGTCCACTCCACAAGGTGGAACTTCCATATCTTTCGGATGTGTGTTTGAAACTCTGACAAGGACCTGAAAAAAACATTCCAACAATCCCATTGAATAACATATACAGATTCCTTCCTTAAGGCATAGTTCAAATGTATCTGAAGTCGGTTATGCATACCGTCTTCCCTGAGGTACATTGGACCTTTATATCTTCTCCATTCACCTCAATAGCCTCACCATCTATCCACACCTCCTCCGGATCTTCCACCCAAACGAACGAGCCAGCTTTAACTGTAGAAGAAGCCTGAAGAGCCAACAATTGAACAAATAAAAGCTGTCAAGACATAATTTCAGAGTATCAAAACCTTTTCAGACTATGTGAGTGAAACACATTTACAATAGCACAAGATTGAATAAAACAGAGCATAGTTGCCAGAAGAAGCAGAATACATTGAAATCGATAACACAAATGTTGGAAAAACAAAAAATATCAACAAAAGTTTATACATTTGCCGTTTGAACGAAAAAAAGAAAACAAAAATCCCAACTTTGAAATCGAAATGCGTAAAACAAACGCCCGAATAGGATTGAAACCCAAACAGAAGAAGCGTACCATTTTCACCGGAGATTAATCAAATCAGAAAGAATCATTCAGTTGCTCAAGCTGGAGACGGAGTTATGTGACTCAGGGCGAGTGCAAAGAATAGATTCCACAGAAACAACAAAAGCGAACAAATCTCAGAAACGGGTTTATATCTTATAGAGTGGGTATGTGTGAAAGCTTAAAGTCATTTGAGCAAATTCGGATAAAAATTGCTCCTGAAGAAATCGTAAATCTTCCATTTTTATTTGTCCTCCTATTTCTTTTTTTACCTATATTTTCGGTTTTCTTTTAATTTCTTCAATCTTTCTACTTACGTGAGACATATTTGTCCTCCACAGTAAAGGGTAATTAAGCGTTAATTATTTTTTTGTTAAAGAATTAAGCGTTAATTAACAAACAAGAGAATTCCAAAAACAACATTTTGCTTCTAACAAATTACTCACTTTTTTTTTAATTTAGAGATGAAATAGGAAAATCCAAATTTACCATTCAATAATAAAATTCCCTATGTTGCTTCTTTTTTTTTTAAAGTTGCTAACTTTTCCCTTTTACACTCTATCTTATCAAATTTATTCTCTCTAAACTCTATGTGAAACGTCATATTCACATTAATATAATAATATCATATTTGATTAACAAATTTCTAAATACTTATTAATTAGATGTGAAAAAATTAATATCATAAATGTGATTTGGAAACTAGTCTTACATGTCAAATAAATAAATAAAAATGTTAGTAAAAGATATTAGTGAGCCAATTATATGATTACATGTGACTTAATTGCAAGTTTAAAGCCATCTTATAAGAGAGAAAAAAATGTTAACTTTTTCTTAGTACGTTAGATAATATTTATTAAAGAGATATATATTTCATAATGACTATTATAATTTTTATTTTAATATGGTCATGTTTACATAAAATTACATATTAAAAATTATTTGTTAATTACAGTGAAAAATAATTTATTGTAAGATAAAGTTAACAAGCATTTAATGGTAAGGTGATCATTGTTAATTTGATCTTGAATTAATTAATTTTCCTCTTTAGTAACATTAAATTGAGTTAGATTTATCTTTGTTTTCCTTACAAAATTCAGTATATGAAATTAAATCACTTTGTATTTATGTGACTTAACTTTATTGGTTAATAATTCCTGTAGGAAGATTATAACTTCATAGCAAAATACATACGTGTCTCAATTCATAAATAAGTCTTATCTTCATAGTTCTTGTTTTTGGTAGTTACTTGTGAAGAACATATGAAGATTGCCAAAATGTCCGGTCAAGGTGGTTTAACTTAATCCACGAGCCTACATTACCTTCCACATTTTTTTTGTGTTCAAGATTAGGAAATTAGCACAACTGCCAAATAATATTTATTTTTGTGGTCATAAGAAATTTTTGGTGACCAGTTCAACTGAAAAAAAAAGCATTTGCTAAGTGTAAATATCGGAAGTGACACGAGGAATTTTACCTTATGACTAAATTTTTGATAGGAATATTATTTTATTTCATTTGATTGTTTTTAAGTGTTTATACGAAATTAATATGTATTTAATTTTTGTGATAGTTTATATTTTGAAATATCTTTTCTATTTTTTTTTATTAAATTGTATTTTTAACGATGTTTTTTATGTTCAAAACATATATAATTTGTGTAATTTTCTAATATTCATTGTGTTTAACTTATGAAAGAAAACATTTTATGTAACAAACTTGATTTCCGTATGGACTACACTGTCTGTTTATAGTTGGACTGTTGTGTTTAAACTGGACATTATGCTCTAACGGTTCACCCGCCCGAACGCAAGCTTGCTGTCATTAAGCGCGTTTAATGACGGATAGGGTCCACGCAATCAGCCAATTAGAGGCGCGTGTGGGACTTAGGATTATACTTCTCTTTTTTAATCACCAAGCTCTCTCTTATTTAACGGTTTGGTCTTGTATCCCGGCCCAACTACAAACTATATCTCAACTCAACACTCCCTAATGCCCCAAACCATTCAAAAGCTTATTAAAAATGCCTTTTTTATATTGTTCAAAACCGAATGAACCGAGACAGAAGTATGTTCAACCCAAAAACTGTCTCAGGTTTTTAAGATTTTAAACCAGAAAACTAACAATAAGATTCATAGAATCAAAACTTGAAACTTTTTAAAAAATTAGGTAACTACTAACTTCAGTAAAAAAAAAAAGTTTTTTTCAGAGAAAAAAAATAAAAAAATAGATATAAATGTTTTTCGAGAATGTTATGTTTTTGCATTTTCACAAAAATTAGATGGGAGATTTAGGCTAAGCTTCCTCTTATCCCTAATCTTTTTTGGAGATTGAAGTTAATTTTTGGAAGTTAGTTTCTTATTAATCAATAAAGAGATCTTTATATAGATTCTTATATGAAAGTAAGATACCAAGCTCACACACCTAAAACTAACAATTATTAGTCCATTTGTAGAAAGCAAAAAGAAAACAAGAAATACGACATAGAACTCACACACCTCAAGCATTTGTATGCCTTCCTCAAATGAAAGTCTTGTTGGAACAAATTCTAGGGATTCGAAAGTGTGTTGCCTCTTAATTGCTTCAAGTTGGCTTCCGTGAAGATGTAAAGAAAAAACTCATTTACTAATTCCATAACCTTGCAAAGATTGAAATAAGTATTGTTATCAGAATTTTTTTTTCAAATATTGTTATAGTTGCAGCTCAAAATTAATTTTACCTCATTGTAGTGGTTCTTGAGTTCCATCTCAACATCGAGACACACAAACTCAATGAGATGGCAGTTTGTGGATGAACTTTCAGCTTGAAAATAGGTGCCGATGTCAAACACTTTTGTGAATCCGCTGGAAATGGCCACGATGTCAAACACCTTTGTGATCGAGTCATCATTTCTTCAAACATTTAATCATTTTGAATTTCCATCTATGTACAATAGTTGTGCGGTGCTCTACAATTTTTTGATAGAAAATACCATAAATTCATACTATTCAAGATGATTTTCAATTTTTATCATAAGATACCACGATGTCATTCTTGTATACGATTAACAATGAAATATTACTCATCAAAGCATATCTAACATGTAAACATGATACTAAGAACTTGAGGTTCTATCATGGTATTGGTAGAAGATGCTATTATATGGGCTCAAGAACATTCGCAAAGTGTTGCTCTTCCCTTGTGACCCTAAGAGGCACAGACGCTAGATGTGGGGTCAATCATCATCAGCTGTTAGTAGTTAGTCTCATCTGATCCTTCTGACTTAAATTTAGATTTTAGACTCGAAAACTTAACTAATTTAGATTCTGGATAAGTAAGTTTCCTTTTACTCTCATTTATTTTGATTATCATTTTTCATACCTGGTTGTTGTATGTTGCTATAAACTTATGATCTGTAACAGATATCATACAGACTTCTTCACGCTCTACCGCTTTCCTTTGGCAGCGAGGCCGTTCTTCACAATGTCCTGTTCAGAGGATTGTAGGTACAGTAACTCGTTTAATGTCTTCATCAGAAGAAGATCATATCAGGAGCTCAACGTATCCACGACGCAGATTTCTTGAAGCAAAGTGCAGTGGCCAAGGGAATTGGTGTCAAGACAATATCCACCTACCTAGAGTCATTCAAGTAAGTTACAAATCGGACCAATTAGGTTCCATCTTGTTGGTATCTAACCCTGCCTTGGGTTCTAATAATGTAGGTACGGCATGCCTCTGCATGGTGGATTCGAAGCATGTCTGGATCGTGTGGTGATGCTATTCTGTGGGCTCAAGAACATTTGCAAAGTGTCCCTTTTTCCGCGTGACCCTAAGAGGCTTGGACCCTAGATGTGGTGCCAAACATCACCAGCTCTTAGTACTTAGTTCCATCTGATCCTTCTGATCTAAATTTAGATTTTGGATTCGAAAACTTAACTAATCGGTCTTATTTTGTAATGATGTGGGCATTATATGGGGCAGTCCCGTAATTTATTATTCGATTCGGTGTGAATCAAATAATTTGAAACGCCTGAATGCAAAATTTATTCGACCCAAAAACATTATAGATTTATCTAATAAATTCGAGAACCGGAAACTAAACAGCAAAATTCAAAGAACTAACTTAATACTTTCTAAACAAAAACTAAAAAATTAGGCAACACTAACTTCACTAAAAAAGAATTAAGAAGTTTTTTTTTTTTTGTGGGGGAAGAAGAAAATAGAGAAATAGATACAGACGTCTTCAACATACAACCCTCCCTCTCCCTGTGCTGTTGCTTTTGCATCCTCGCAAAAACAAACAATTAAATCTATTTTGCTGAAAATATGAAACGTGAAAAACAAAAACAAAAAGAAACTCCCTAACCGGAATGTCTTTACCCAGCCAGATACACCGAACCAAACTGGATTAAACCAAACCTAACCATGCAGCTCAAGAGTTGTGAGCCCTTTTCCTTCCTTTTAACCCTTTTCCTCACTGTACATTATCTGGTTTCTCAGAACCAGTCACCATTCCCGGACCAGAGATGTCTAGATGATGATGGTCCACCGTGTTCGCTCATGCTTCCTCTCAATCTAAAGAAGTTTCTTCTACTTCGAACTGGCCTCAACGGACCCGACCTGTTTGGTAGAAACAGGCCACCTTCTCTAGGAATGCTAGAGGCAGAGTGAGGCCGGTTCTCCATGTCCTCAAGCGGTCCTGAGCTATAATCCATGGTTATGAACGAAGACGCTTGACCATACCTTAACCGAGGTGTCAAGTTCCACCAGCTGCTATCCGAGGGAGCCATATCGCCTTTGAAGTCTGCAGAGTCCGGCACGGATGACTCCTTCTGGCTGCAATAGTCTCCACAGGTCTCATCTGCATCGTTGTATATAAGCTTCAGTGCCTGCACCACTTCACCCATGAACGGCCTGTGCGAGACCTCTTGGTGGACGCACATGGAGGCAATCGCAGCCACTTTCGCCATGTCATCAAAGTCGTACGTTCCAGCCAATGTCGGGTCCACCAGTTGCTCCAGGCCCTCTCTGTTGGCTAGTAAAGGCCTCGCCCACGTCACCAGGTTTTCCTCTCCCGAAGGTTGAGACATGTCTACCGGTTTTCTACCGGTGAGAAGCTCGAGTAGAACCACACCGTAACTATAGACATCGCTTTTCACAAGGAGATGCCCCGTCATAGCATACTCAGGAGCCACATACCTGCAATTATTTCCCAAAATGGTCATTATAGATCCAATATTTAGCCAGAGTGTCTGTATTCTTCATATGATCATGACAAGTAGAAAGAAGCTTTACCCAAAGGTCCCCATGACTCGAGTTGAAATATGTTGACTTCCTTCAGTGGCTTCTCTCGCCAGCCCAAAGTCCGAGACTTTTGGGGTGAAGTCATGTTCTAGAAGAACATTGCTGGCCTTGAAATCCCGGTGGATTACTCGGGGATTCGAATCTTCATGTAAATAGGCCAGTCCTCTAGCTGCTCCGAGAGCAATCTTTAACCGCGCATCCCAATCAAGCGTTCCTTCTGTTTGGTTAACACCGGGAAAACCAAGCTTTAGAAGGTGATACAAGGAGAAGTGATGGATATCGTTGGGAAATATTGCTATTAAAAAAAGTGCAGAGAATAGATTATGTCACCGTGCAAGTGGGACTCGACACTCCCATTGTGGACGAGCTCGTAGATCAAGCATCGTGTACGGCCTTCAATGCATATTCCAATCAGTTTCACAAGGTTTCGGTGGTGCAAACGGCTTAGCATCTCGACCTCTGCTATAAATTCACGGTCACGGTTCTGATTGTCCCTAGTTAGCAGCTTAACTGCAATCTCGGTTCCATCTTCCATGTTGCCCTGATAAACACGACCAAATCCCCCCTCGCCCAAAACCCGCTCGGCACTGAATTTATCAGTCGCCTTCTCGAGCTCTGAAAGTGTGAAGGTCTTCACTGATAAAGCACATGTAGCCATCGATGACATCAAAGAATCTGATCCAGAGCTTCTGGCGCTACTGGAAAACATAGATCCAGCACCTGCAAGGCGTGTAAAGATTCAGAAACAAATTCGCAGAGGAAAATGCACATTGTATTTAATAGCTACAAAAAGAAGTATCCGTTACAAAATCAGAATGAGACATTTACCCGGCTTTTTGTTCATCGATGGAGCCAGTGCAGGGCCAACAGCATTAGATGACTTTCCAACATTATTCCATTTCCTGACTACAAATACAGCTCCAGCCAAAACCATAGCGAGCACGAAACCTGACAAGACAATGATTGCAATCGTTCTAAAGCCTATTCCCTGGCTTTTGTTGGCAAAGTTTGCAGTGAGTGGAAGCCCTCCAGTACTTGCACTTGGTGCACTTCCCACAGAATCTCCATATGGTGAAGAAGAAGGGATTCCTGAAGCGAAGTTACCTAACTCAAAACACAATGAAAGGAAAAAAAAACGGTAGAAAAACTTGTATTGCAAAGAAATCAGTCTACCTGGATAACTTATGTGTGTAACATCATAATCACCAAAGATAGACTCATTTAGAGGCACTTTCTTGTGCCGGAACCTTTGATAAATAAGTGTCGCCGTAGTGTTGTCAAACTTTTCCCCAAGTGGGACAAGGTTAATATCCACCACTGTTTTGCCTTGATTTTCACTGTCGGCACTGGCCCCCATTATTTTCACCTGGCTTTGTTCCAAGTATGTTCCAGCAGCAACCTCAATTTCTAACTCGTTGGTGACGGGGAAAATAGAAAAAGGCGCGACACTTAGCAGAAGCTGAACTTTCATGGGGAAAACACAGCCACAAGGTGAACCAAAGGGAGTTGAAGTAAGAGGCTCCACGCATGTCTGTTGACAGTCTATCAAACAGAAAAAAAAGAGTAATCACTACATTTTCATCCATCAATTGAAGACTGACGCAATAAACACTAAGTCTTAATCAAGGAAGAAAAAAGTATGCATACAAAAAGTTATCCAATGAAGACCTAGCAAAATTACCATTTGAGGAAGGTGAGACTGCCGTCACATTGCGTCTTAAATGCCAACGACGATGATGGTGATGACCCTTGTGTTTTGGAGGTGGAATGCGACTTCGGTTGGGGGGAAAAGCTGAAAACGGAAAGAAGAAAACAAAAAATACCATTGAATACTCCTTGGCAGAAAATGATTTACACTATAACTTGGTCCAGAGTCTATGTTACTAAAAAAGGATAGGATGCCTTTGGCTGACCTGGTGAAGGTGCAGGAGCAACAGATGGATTCAGATGAGGATGAAAAAAATGCATTTGATGCGATTTTGATCTGGTAAATGACAAGCTCATAGGAAATAGCCGAGCTGCAAACGATAGAGCAAGCTGATAAAGTCATCCACATGTCGAATATTCATAGCACCCGAAACAGTAGAATGGTCTCTCTAAGAGTATACAATACTACAACCTCTCTTAGGGAGTGAGAGTACATATGCCTAGGTTAAAGACTATATTGCTAGCCCAAGAGAGAAAGTGTGAGCCATTTTTTACAAGCTATCTTAAGGTTGGCTGCCAAATAAGGCACAAAAGCTTCACAGTCACAGATTTTCCAAACTTAATGAATCCTAATCGTACAGCTAAACCCTTTTGCTTACTTTATACTTAAATAAAAGTTAGCTTCTAATTATATCCAATAAACAATTCTAAATATAGCTAATCCTGAGCTGTCAAGTAAGAGCAGCAAAAACTAAGCTAGGTTAATTATCATTTATTTCTCAATTGCATCCTAATTTGTTTTTTTTTTTTTTGTCACCAAGCAAAGACATCAAAATCTGTTTACAAGTTCATACCAAAGCAGATGGGAAACGAGCCGAGAGAATGAAGGAGGGGAAATAGCAGCAGAAGCATCGCAACGTTGCGCATCTTATCTCACCGGAAGATACTCTAAAACCACACATTCGTCAGCAGCATAGACACCGAACCTCCGCGTCCTCGCCGGACACTCTCCGAATACTCAAAAAATCGAGACGAAGCCTCTCCAGAACCAGACGTCTAACCATAGCTTCCTCAGAGCTTCGCAGACATTGATTTCCTCCCCTCCCAAAAAAATAATAAAAATAAAACCCTAAAGCCGAGTGGGTTTAACGCGATTTACACAGATCCACGAAATGCGGCTCGAGATCTGTACACAGCAGGAAACAGAGTCGGGCGTTGCGAGTTAGGTTGGAGATTGAGGGAGCGAGAGCGAGAGCGAGAGCGAGAGCTTCTCCGGCGAATGTAACACAGTGAGAGAGAGAGAGAGAGAGAGTAAAGTGATTTCGAACCAGAGAAGAGAAGCGAAGAGAGAGAGAGACTTTAATGCTGATGGTGGGGAGGGCGTAGGGTAGTGTGTTGCCGTAGTGAGACTGCTTTCAGAGAAAGGAAAAAAAAAAGCGATGATGATGCATCAGCAACACACAATCGCGCGTGGCCTCTACGCTCCTCGAAACGACAAAACTGGTGGCCGTTTGCCACCGTCACATCGACAAAACCGTTTCTTTTTTGGGCGTTAGTCGGAGGAACTTCTCCGACCTCTACTGGGCTCGTAAAATGATCCATGGGCCTTACTGAAATATGTTGCCCAATCCGGTTTATATAATAATAGGCCTTACTGAAATTTTTTGCCAATCCGGTTATATAGTAACCGAACTTTAATTTTGTATTGAACTGATTGGTTCTATAAATTTAACCGAACACACCAAATTTAACAAACAAAATGTTATATGCATTCTTATGTAGTTATATACACAATAGTAATTCAATCACGCATCTAAACTAACTCAAGTTGATACACTAGACTCTAGTGACTAGAGTGTACTGATTTAATCATTTAAAAACGTTTCAAAATCAAATGTCGGCGGACTGACATAATCTTCACCTACCGGTTCAGGCACCGGACCAACTGGGCCGGTTTGGTTAGAGCTGTCCATAAACCAGCTCTCAAAATCCGACAATTTGGTGTGCAAGACGCTTTCGATGGTTCCCGGTTGCTGTCCAACCGTCTGTGCTTGTGAATCCCCGGTGGTGAGATGAGTTTCCGGTAGAGCAAACAGATCTGCATTCGCCTGAAACAAACAATTACCACCGACACTTTTGGTGTACACATTGCTCTGAGACCCCGTCACCGCTGCGCAATACTCAGTGGCATGTTGTTGCTGAGTGTACATTTCCGGTGCCACTACGGAGGAGCTACGGTGGGTGGATTGTGAAGCTTGAGGAGCACTGGTATGTAGAGCAGCCTTGATGTAGTCACTGTTTGGTGCACCATACCGAGTTCCTGAAGAGGCCACGCGGGACCTTAGATTGCCCATATAACAACTTTTATCCTTTTGGATGACGTTGCTGCGAACACTGCTCAGTGACTGCGCAGGGCGAGTCTGCAGCCCGTGATTGTGGCTGTGTGGAATCGGCTGCTTGATCCTAGACCTGGCTCGGCTAGATGATGAGCAAGGCCTGATCCCAACCTGGTTTCGCGGCAAGAGTTTCTGAGACAGCCGTATGATGTTTTGAGCAGGAGACCGTGAAAACTGGCGGCTCACTGTCGCAGAAGCTGGGAGGGGCGTGCAAGGCTTTGGAGATGGTTGGGTGGGCATAACTCCGGTCCTGAAGTACTCGCGTTGATTCTTCCACATCTTGTCTTTATCATTAGCATGACAATGATCAATGGTGGAGACACCGATACACCAGTACGGACATGGAGCACGGGTGTCACACACATAACAGTGACACTTCAAAGTGAAGCAAAATAAGGATTAGCCGGGAAAAGAAAAAAAGAATCGAATATTTCTCAGGGGAAACTTTTGAGATGAGATGCTTACCATGTCGCAGTATTTCTCATGTGGTGTTGAGTTAAATGAGTACTTAGCACATGAGTGTCGGGGGTGAGGAAAATCTCTACATGCTATCTACAAAACAAATATTTCGCTTTTCCATATTAGAGGGAACTTAGTATATAAAGATCATACATTCTTAAACAAGAACAGTTCAATGATCATGCATTCTTAAAACAGTCTCAAGAAAATAAGCAGTTCAATGACATCCAATACAAGAATTGGTTACAGAAAACGAAGGGCTTCAAATACTTCTACTCGTGAAATTACCAATCCTGATGAGCTAATCAAGAACACGAGACAAACGCAGAATCTAAGTGAATTTGATAGACAAAAACAAAAGAGAAGCAAGAAACTGAGGTGGGTTCGAATTCGCTACCTCGCCCTTCTGCCCAACTACAAGCACATCATCATCATCATCGTCGTCGTCTTCATTCTTTGCTAACTTATCATCCTCGTCAACTGCGCCCGTGTTCGTCGTCTTGTCGGGATCACCGTCCAAAATCACACAGTCGTCGTCTTCAGCTTGATTCGAAGAATTGGGCTTCCGATACCGAGAATCTACGACGCCTTTCACCTCAGAAACCACCTCGACTACATCGGTACTGTCTGATTTCTCATCGGCCACTTCTATAACCTCGTTTAGCCATTCCAAGTAGTCTCTGTCTCCACGTGTATCGACCTCCTCGTCTGAACTAACATCGACGACAACATGATTCCCCGAACCCATCGAAACGATTTTCGAACAGATCACACGAGATTCCTCAAATAAACGCGAAACCCAAAAGGATTTCCAAGAAGAAGACGAAGATCACACGGCATTTACGGACACCAGAATTTAGAAAACTGATCGAATTACAAAAAAATTTCCAGGGCTTGATTTTCACTTGGATTCCGATTCTAAACGAGGAAGCTCGAGATCTTGGTGAAAAAAAAAAAAAAGGAAACACAAAATTATTAGGGTTTGGAGAGAGAGCGGAAATCGAGTGAGGTAACACACCCGTCAATCTCAACAGACGATAGGTGGTGGTGAAGCATAAATTGGGCCTGGTGCAACATGTTTTATAGACTCTAGTTAAGTCCAGCCCCAAAAGGTGGCTCGCATTCGACTCATCATAACAATAACCCATAAATTTCTCCAGATGACACATAAGCTTTTTAAGGCTTTCTAAATATTACATCTCAGCAAAAAAATCAATCAATAAAAATATTTTATTAATACAATTTATTTAAAAAAAACTTTCAATTCATTTGGGTCAAAAAATTTATCCAAGATTAACAACTAAATAAAACTCATTACATTTGAAAGCCCATAAGATCCTTTGACATAAATAATTATTTAAAACAAAACAAAATTTCTCTCTTTTTTTCTTCAAATTATTATTAAATATCAGGTCTCCTCAATCTTATTTTATTACTCTACCTGCTGCATCAGATTTATGAGTTCTTCTTTATAAAGAAATATGGATAAACAACAAGATATTACTAGCAATTTTTTAGTTTACTTTCTCAGAAAATAATCTTTTAATTTTAAGTTTGATAATTATTTTGCTTTCTTTTTAGGTAGAAAGATTCCCAAATTATTATCCTAATATAGTTCAACTTTTGACTCACTTTTCGCAAGAAAATACAATTTCACAGTTTTTTTGAGAAAATGCAATTTGGCGATTTTGGCGGAAAAATACAATTTCTCAGTTTTGTTAGAAAAATACGATATTTCGGTTTGACAAGAAAATAATTTTTCTAGGCTTTGGCGGGAATATGGAATTTCTCAGTTTGGCGGAAATAGGGGATTTCTTGGTTTCGATAGAAAAATGTGATTATTAGTTTTGGTAAGAAAACATAATTTTAGGTTATTGTTGGAAAAACAAATTCTCGAGTTTGGTGTAAAAATGTGAATTTTCAGTTTTGGTAAGAAAAAAAAATGATTTTGATGATAAAACAAAATATCTTAATTTTGACGAGAAAATATGATTTTCGGTTGTGATAGGAAATGCAACTTTTCAATTTTGACTAAAAAATGTGATTTCTCTGTTTTGATAGGAAACACAAATTTTCAACTTTTGATGGATAATATGATTTCTTGGTTCTCGCGAAAAAATGGGTTTTCTTAGTTTTCGAGAGAAATTGCAATTTCTCAATTTTGATGAGAAATGTACATTTTCAGTTTTTGACAAATAATGCGATTTTTTGGTTTTCGTGGGAAAAAAAATTCCTCAGGAGATAATTTAATTTTTGGTTTTTGCGAGAAATTATAGTTTATTGGTTTTGGTCGGAAAGCGTAGTTTTTGGATTGACGAGAAAATAAATTATTTGGTTTTGGTGTGAATAGACGATTTCTCTGTTTTCGCGGAAAAATGAATTTTTCGGTTTTGACGGGAAAATACGATTTTTAAGTTTTTGTAGGAAGATGAAATTTTTTGGTTTTGGTGAAAAAACGTAATTTCTCGATTTTGGCGGAAAAACACAGTCTCTTGCGAAAAAATGTGGTTTCTTGGTTTTTGCGAAAAAATACAATTTCTTTGTTTTAGTGGGAAAATAAAATTTTATGTTTGACGATAAAATGAATTTTTTTTTTGTTTTGGCAGGAATATGTGATTTCTCAGTTTTCGTAGGAATATGTAGTTTTTTTGTTTTGACGGGATATGCGATTTCTCGGTTTTTGTAAGAAGATGAAATTTTTTTTTACTAAAATTTTAAGTTACAATATGTTTACAGTAACCAAAATTTAATTATTTAACTTCAACTAAATCGAAAGTTCAAGAGTTTAAATAGAATATTCGGTTTGGTTCGAAAGCAATAACAATGGTTTTAATATGAATGTTAGTGATTATAGTTTGGTGGTTTTAGAAACATATGTTTATAATAAATATTTGATAAATAAATAAATTTTGTACTTCAAAATAATCATATTAATTAATAATTTTTTTTTAAATGGCATTTTGCTTTACATAATTACAACGGAGGATGAAATGATAATTTAGTAGAGAAAATATATTACATTTACCATTAGCATGAAAGTACTTAAAATGGTATTGCTTTATTCTTATATATACATTTATAGTTAGTTAGCTAAACAAATTTAATAGCTATTTATAATTTTAAAAAATTAAAATGTTTATTCAGATTTAAAACATATAAATATATAACTTAAGCTAATAAAAAAAATAAAAAATACTCATTCACATTATAAAAATAATTTTATTATATTAAAAATATATACAAAATTTAGAAAAATATCCTGCAGCTTAGCGCGGATAAATACCTAGTTTCATCAAATAAAGATTTCTACTAATGTTCAAGATTCGATCCAGGATGTTGGATATATTACAAAAGAAAAATCATTAAGCTAAAATTAAGCTTTTGAAATTTATTCGTTCCGTTCAACAAAAGTTATATTTAATATACAGTTGAGTTATATCAGGATAGATTTACACCGCATATTCTTTTCAGCATAATTACATGTGATGAGTTTTATGGTTAAACACATAAGATTGACTCAATTTAATAGCTGTTTTAAGAGTTTCAACACGACGATCTTTCTTTATTTATTCAAGTCAACGGGATCTCGTAACAGTCAAATCCAACGGCTGAGATCAACGGAAGAAACTAGCGCGTGAGGGAGACATCTAAACCAATGTGTGTATCTTCAACCGTTGGGTTCGGTAAAGCGCCATCACATTCGCACGTCCAAAGTCAATTCAACTTTTCCAACGTTTACAAATTACAAGCTACCACCTTTAACTCTTCTTTTTTTATTAATTAGTGTGCGTATTATAGAGTTATTCAGTTTTTGTCCAAATAGTTTTACATCGTCAAAATCACGCCTCCGACAATTAATGGTTTTGTAATAATATTAAAGGGTAAGCCTGTTTATATTATTATAAGGGTAAATTTCGTCCAAATGTTATTAAATTTAGGGACTGTAGCTCATTCATAGCATTGTCGACATTTACGTTCGTGTTTAATAATTACTCCATATAATTAAGATTCGTTTACTAATTATTCCTTTTTTTAATTAAATATCGTTGACCATCCATATACTGTAGAGTTATTGTTCTTTTTTATTGTGTGTGTATTAGAGTTATTGTTCTGTTTTATTGTGAATATTACTCTTTCTGTTTTAAAATAAGTGTTACTTTGACACTTTTCACATAAGTTAAGAAAACTATTAAAAGTTTTGTTTTACCATTTGTTCACATAAATTAACATTTCGTTTTTAATTAAAACAATAAAATTTAAAGGTTAAAATTGTATATTTATTTAAAATTATGCATTAAAAATATAAATGATATTTTTTTATGAAACAAAAATAAAACCATAAAATGATACTTATTTTGAAACGGAGGAAATAGAATTTTTGTATTGTGTGAGTATTAGTGTTATTGTTCTATTTAAAGAAAATAAAATTATGAATAATAAGTTTGGGTGTTTACTGATGACGACATGAAGACCACGTTTAGTAGAATTGAAGGAAAACGTTAGGGGCTAAAATGAAAATAAATATAACAAAAGATTTTTGCACCTGAGCTGTTCTTCTCCTGGTCTCAAGTCTAACCTCCCCTTTTACGTAAAATTCTATTTTTAGTACAAACTTTATTTATCTGTATTTTTCGCCCCCACAGACAAAATGAAAAAAAAATCGAAAAGAAGATTCAATTCCATTTTTGTTTCTCAAATAATCTCTCTCCCCTAATCCTCACGCCGCGCATTCATTTCGTTCCCTCCATAATCCAAGCTTCCGTTACAAGATTTTTCCCCTTTTTTCTTCGATTTTCATGTTTGAATATTCGTGAAATAAAAAAAACTAAATCCCCAGGGAGCATTGATTTTGCTGGAGGAGGATTTTCGAGGTATCTCTCCTTCTTAGATTCTTCACAAAATTCACTATTGTCGTGATCAATATTCTGTTGATTCGAGGTTTAATTGCTTTTTCAATTAGCTGGAACCTTAAATTACACTGGACTCTTTATTTATTTAGCTTGGGGTTAGATGTTTGAACTTCTTATGATTTCAACTGATTTCGGAAATTAGGGTTTCGCTAGAGAAGAGGATTTTTCTACATAGGACCCAAGCAGGCGTTTTTTTTTTTTTGGGTTTGAAAGGAATCGCAATTTTTGTTATACTCTCTGCGAAAAGGTTGTTTAAGTTCATCTTCTTCTTGTTGCTTATGTATTAGCAGAGATTTGGATATGTGGGGAAACGTGTTCGCGATTCTTCCGGGAGATAGAAACATAGATGATATTTTAGGGTACCCGAAGAAGACGGATGTAGAGGATGAACGTGCAAGTGAGGCCGAATGGAGAGCATCGAGTAGAGATGAGGTCGACCATGAGCAGAGTACACTGGACATGGTTCAGGAAGCTAGGTCGTCGAAGAGAGATGAAGAAGAGGAAGATGAAGTGGATACAACATCTTGCGATGAGAGGGTGTCGATAAGTAGAGAAGAAGTTTGTACCCCGAGGAGGAACGGCGTTAAGAAAGAAGATGGGCCTGACGAACAAGCTGCGTTGGAGAGAGATGAGAAGAAGATCAAAGAAGTGTGTACACAAGTGTCAAACGGTCAAGAACATGTAACATGTAGTAGATGTGAGGACAGAGTGTTGGGAAAGGACGGTGGGGATGATGAACCGGAGAGTCTAAGATGTGAGACGGCACAGGTTGCTGCTGAGACAGAGATGGAAACGAGAGGAGTGAGAGGGGAGCAAGACTCTCCCTCGTGTACTCCGGATGCAGTGAAAGCAGCTGGGGAGACATTTCAGAACGTGTACTTCAATGGGCCGGTCTTACCACAGTCACCATCACTGGGACAGCACAGGCGGGCACAGAGCGAGATAGGGACTCCGGGACACAGGCGCACAAACAGTTTCCAGAGACTGAAGACACAGATGCAGAAGGCTTGGCGTGGGGTCAGCAATCTACGCGAGGACAATCGGCCCACTTTCAATCCTGAGGTCTTAGCAAACCAGAAGAGACAGTGGTACCAGCTCCACTCTTCAAAAGCTCTGGTATTTCATCTCTCCCATCAAAAACACTTTTCTTTTTTTTGGCTAAAAACGTCTGGTCTGGTATCATCTGACTACTGTTTTCCAATTTGGTGAACACTCTAGGATCAAACTAAATACAAGGAGCCGACCTCACTGTTTGAACATTTCATCATTGTGGGGCTTCATCCGGAAACGGATTTGAGGCCAGTGGAGGAGGCATTTCGTAGAAGGAAGAAGTGGGAGATGGAAATGTCAAGGTATGAAGTGGCGGACTACAGAATACTCCGTCACCGTGGGCCTCAGTTTCCGATACTGGAGCCACAGGTTTGTGCTACGTTGTTGTTTTTTTTGCTTCGTGTTCTCACAGTTTGGGTTTGCTTAGAGATGTAACATGAGACTCATGTTCTGTTTTTTTATTCATCATTATTTTAGTTGGTTTCTTTCTTTATCAACTTTCATTCCATGCACAGATACTTTTTAAATATCCTCCTGGGAAGAAGGTGGCAATGCGTCCAAAGGATCTAGCAACTTTCTGCTTTCCTGGTGGTGTCAAGGTATGATATGTATGGTCTGTGTCTCTTAATATATATCTGATGGCGTCAATGTGCATTAGTATGTTATTAGTTATGAGCCATCTTAGTTAATCAGAGAATTGATTCGTAGTGCTAGTCATTATATGCATCATGTTAGTTGGCATAATTATTGGGTTGTTCTGTGTGATTTATGCAGCAAATAAGACAGTTTAAACGTGATTTTTTTTTTCTTATCAGGCACGACTTTTGGAGAGGACCCCATCTCTCAGTGATCTGAATGAGCTTGTGTATGGACAGGTCCGAAATTATTTCTGAATAAAAATATCTGTTTGAGCTTCTGTAGATCATCTATGTTACTTAGGATACAGGTTTACATATCATGATACTTTTGAGTTTACTGCAGGAACACTTAGGCACCGATGATTCATCATTCATATTTTCGTTCAAGGTAATCTATTTTTCCATTATGCCAGACATCCACTCCCCACGCAAACACTTACATGATGCCCTCCTTTTCAGGTAGCAGATGACGCGACACTGTATGGTGTTTGCTTACACGTCTCGGAGATTGTTCAGAGACCCCCTGGTGTACTAAGCACTGCGTCACCCTTGCATTCATCTGGAGGAGGCAGTCGTTTTTTGGTTTCTGCACCTCGATGCTATTGCTTGCTGACCAGAGTTCCTTTTTTCGAGCTACACTTTGAAATGTTGAACAGGTACAAAAGTGGCTTGTCCTTGCATTGATAAGAGACCGAAAGAACTTGAGCTGATGGTGTTTTACTTGTTGCTGCAGTATGATTGCACAGGAGCGTCTAAAACGGATTACCGAGTTTGTTAGTGAGATGTCTCTTGCAGCTGCATGCCACCGTCCATCAGTTTCCAGATTGAATGATCAAATGAATGGCTGTGTTTCTTCGCCACGTAGCAACCCTGATGATTGGATGGCTTCTGCGATACCTGTTGATGGAGTCATGGCACTCACGGCCGCTGCTGCAGGGTTGATATCTGACTGTGACATTGCAAACTTTTCGGAGCCTCAGTCTCCAGATAGTGTTGTCACCAGTGATACTTCAGAGGTTAGTCAGATCAAGGAAATAGAAAGAGATGGGAGGAAAGTTTTCCATTGTTGCGATGATAATTCTTCTGAAGTATTTGATAACCACTTGGATACCCCCGAAAGAACGTCCCACAGCTATGAGAATGGCCACGCTTCTCCAGAGATTACCTGTGTTGATCCTAGGACTCAACCGATAGAGCGTATTGAAAGCTGCGAGTCTGTGTTTAGGTAAGCTAACACAGTTTTATTTAGCAAAAGAATGATCTTACCACTTCTTATATCTCCCATGCGGTTGTCTTTTTGCCACTATAATTTCAGATTTACCTTTCTTTATATATGGCAGTTCAGCTAGAAGCGTGTTGTCTGATGAGGTTGATGAATTATCAAATAGCGAAAATGATTTCGGAGATGATCTAATACTGGAATGGGCTAAAGTAAGGAGATAGAAAACCAGTTGCTTCACCAGTTCGTCACTCTGTTATCTCTTGTTCATCGTTCTCATTTTACTGTTATTTGGTATCTATTCTTCATAGGAACACAATAATGATTCGTTACAATTGATTTGCGGCTACCACTCACTGCCGATTCCTTCCCATGGAAGTGCAGTAGTTTTCCACCCGCTGGAACATTTACAATCCATCGAGTATACTCGTCCCCCTGTCTCAGCTCTAGGATTGTCAGAAGAATATAGCTGCTCTTCTGATTCTTCCGGGGTAAATTATATATCGGAGATTATCCTAATTTATTAGCCTTGTCTCTAATTTAGGATCTCATCTCAACCACTTTTTTTTTTTTTCTTCTCTGCCAAAGATAAATGCAAGGTTGGCAGCTGCTGAGGAGGCAATGGGTCTCTCGATGTGGACAACGGCAACAGTTTGCCGTATTCTCTCTCTTGAAACTGTACGGCCTCTTCTCAGCTTTCTTTCTCTTCTTTTGGTGGTTCAGTGTCGGTTTTAGGAACAACATATCGATAGATATTTACTATTTTGCGTGTTGGATGCAATCTCTTCTTTGTGCCTTGAGTTAGTGTTTTCAAAGGTAGCAAATATCTGAAGTTTCCAAGCATTTTGTTCCTTCCAGATTATGTCACTGCTTGCTGGAGTATTATTAGAGAAGCAAATTGTGGTAATCTGCCCAAATCTGGTTAGTTGAATCTGTCCTCTGGTCGTTTGGGAGATTGAAAATCGAAAAGGCCACTTCAACTAACCAACGACTATTGCAGGGTGTTTTGTCAGCAATAGTACTGTCTCTCGTCCCAATGATTCGGCCGTTTCAGTGGCAGAGTTTATTGCTTCCGGTAAGTATGACAACACTGAGAAAAGCAGCCCACCCAATCAAACTGTGGCTGTCCTTTGTCCTAACTTCTCTCTGTTGTCTTCAGGTTCTGCCTGGAAGGATGTTTGATTTCCTGGAGGCACCGGTTCCCTTCCTTGTAAGTTTATTTTTCACATGAAGCAACTCGCGCCGTGTCTTTAATAGCAACATGATTACTTATTCCGAGGAGTTAAAATGTTCATCAGTCTATATATAACAAAACCATTAAAATCATGAACTATATTATATGTTTCTCGTTACTCACATGGTCTGCGTTTGCGCCACCTGTCAGGTCGGTATACACAGTAAACCTATTGATTGGAAGGTCAAGACGTCTAATCTAATTCTAGTTAACATCCTCAACAATCAGGTTTGGTGGCATTATCATGAAAGTCTCTTATTTATCATGAAAGTATCCAAAACCGATATAACTCAAGGCTTGCTATGTTTCTTCAGGTGAAAATATGTAACATGCCAGCATTGCCTCAGCGTAGAGAACTTATGGCTCAGTTGGCTCCAATCCATGAAACACTGTCACATCATAGCTCGACAGCTAGAAGACATCCGGTTTACAAATGCAATGAAGTACAAGTAAGTAGCTACCTTATGCATGGCCTTAAATTGTACCATGAACCGGATTTCATATGACCGAATGTTCTCAGGTAGAGGCTGCGACCAGATTCTTGAGAGTAATGAGAGATTACATGGAGTCTCTTTGCTCAGATTTACATTCTCACACCATAACAAGTGTTCAATCCAACAGCGACAGGGTACTTTACTTCTCCTCAAAGCGTAACCAAAACTACTTCTTTACTTCTCGCAGGCTCTTAACTGAATATCTAAATCTTTCTTTCTCAGGTTTCTCTACTTCTAAAGGACAGTTTTATCGATTCATTTCCTGGTAGAGACCGACCCTTCGTTAAGGTACAAAATCTTTTATCCTGATCTTTGCTCCAGTTTCTGATATTCTCACATTGTAATCCAAAGGCTTACACAAGCTTTCTTTTCTTGAAACTGGGTTTTGTAGTTATTTGTAGACACGCAACTGTTTAGTGTTTTATCAGACTCGCGGCTATCGAGCTTTGAGAATGGTCGTCTCTAAAGCTCATTTTGTCATCAACTTATACAATACGAACCGAAGAAACCAACCATTGTCTAATTATACGAAGAAACAACCAAAAAAAGAAGCACAAGAGGGTAACTTCACTACCCCTTATACGCAGAAGACACTACAGGTGCTGAATACAAATGTTTTTAACTCAAATTTTACTGCAGTTGAAAAACGCAAAAAACAGAGACATATGCTTATCGTGTCTGGATCTCTGATTCTGGATCTTTGAAAACTTGTTTTTGCTCTTGTAAATTAATCACCTCTCAATAGAAGCTTTTGTTCGTCAAAGTTGTACAGAACACTTGTAAACCCTTTTTTTTTCTTTAATTCGAGTGCTTGATTTGATGTTTTAAGATAGTTTTGTAGTACGTTTCTAAAATTAGGTTTTACATCTAGATTTTACATTTGTATAAAACTTTGTTCGTTTAATAAAGAAAAAAATCTGATGACTATAAACAAAAATGTTCTGCTAATATTTTTTTCGTAAGTAAATTGCTTTTTCCCCCACTTAAACTGATGTAATCAACATAAATGTGATTCTGCAAAACAAAATGTGCCTCCATGATTTTGAGATGAAAAATAATGCGATTATGCAAATTAAAAGCTAAGAATTGGGAAATGTCAAAATGCAATTCAGGATAATGTAAGTGGTCTTTCTCTAGTTTTCTTTCATTATACAAACAAAATACAAGGATGGTCGTTGAGAAAAAGTCTTTTTAATTATTTTTTGACGTCACCTTCTTCTTCTTCATCGTCGGATTTAGCAAAGATGGTCTTGGGCTGGGTCTGAGAGTAAGCAGGTGCAATAAACTTAGGATCTTTGACAGCAACTTCTGCGTATTTCAATATCGCTTCTCTTGGATCTTCCTCCATCCAGGTCTCTTTTATCATCCCACCTTGCTGCAAAACACACAACAACAACAACATTTCATTACAATACAACCCGAGTCGAAAAACTCGGAAGAAGATAGCGAAGCGCCCTTACCTTGAGAAGATACTGAGTTAATAAGCTACTGCCAGTGGTTCCGACTCTTCCACCATGACCAGGACCAGTCATGGGGAGCTCAGGCTTATGGGCTTTAGCAGGATCCTTCAATGTTTTCTCTCTCTGTCGTTTACGGCTTGGTGGGTCTCTGAACAGTGGCAGTGCATGAGGATTGTGTATCACTGGTTCTGGTTGGTAGTCGTCTACAGATTGCTTCCTCGGCGCACGTGCAACACAGACGCATGCGCCTCTCTCGCTCTGAGTTGGATCGTAGAGAATGTGAGTTCCTCCTTGGCTCTTGTCGCCTGATGTTGCAAATATCTACAAAACAATAAATAGAGACCTGTTAGTGTGAAGTCGAAGGATAATAAGATTCGGAAACACTGCTTTTGCTATCGTTGTTGTTTTTCACCTGATTCAACCTCGGGTGCCAAGCGCACTGCACCACGCTGCAAGTTGGAGATATTCCGACTTTTTGAACGATCTCGAGCTTGGTGCGGTCGTAAAAGCAGAGCAATCCTCCTGTTGTACTGTCTTTCTCAACGGATGTTCCGGTCAGGATGATTTGCTCGTCTGGACTAAAGGCCACGTTTGTTTGGGGGTAATTATTAGGCAGGCCCTCGAAAGACTTCAGAGCTTCTTTCATCTGCCGCAAGTCCCACACCTGATCAAGGTTCAAGAAAGACTTCAGTTTCTACTGCTGACCAAACAGGATAATGATGATGTTAAGGTTTTTACCTTCAGAGAACCATCAAAACTTCTTGACAGCAGAATTCTCCCATCGCTAGAGAACTTGACAGAGGTTATATCATCGGTGTGGGCTTTCCCAACGTATACATCGGGTCGGCTTCCCCATCCCGGCTTGAGACTCCAAATCTGGATCGATATACAACAAATATATAAGAACCATTCCTCTAGGAAAAAAGAAAGATATGACAATTCATCTACGCAAATGTAATCAGGAGATCATAGCAAAGCATCTAGACATGAAAAAGAAAGAGAAAGAGAGAGAGGATAATCATTACCTGTATAGAGCCATCTCCAATGCCACCAGCGATACGCTTTCCTTCACGATCCCAAGCACATGTTGTGACTGGAATCCTCCCTGGTCTAGCAAGCTTCGGCTTAATAACCTGTCCAAGAACCAGTTAAAATGATGTCACTTGCATGCTATATAATCAAACCAAGATTTTCCTTGTTACACACGTACCTGCGTTTGGCTTAGGAAGTTGTTGACATCCCATATACGCAAAGACCCGTCTTCGGAAGAAGTCAGAATCGTTTCCTTGGTCCTCGGATGCCATTCCCCGTAAGTCAACCCGCAGATATGTCCCTTGGTGTTCTTCAGATCACGGATGTACATATCCCCTTTCATGAACTCACCAAGGGTAAGACCATCACGATCGTAAATCTGAGACACAGAAAGAACAAACGAGTGTGAGCAATCCAGAGATGATAGATGATAACTGTACAAGAGAGTCAGAGACAAAACGTTTTCATGAGGCAAACCTTAGCTTGTGCAGAGCCAGTAACGCAGAGAAACTGACCAGAAGTGGGGCTCCAGCTCAAGCTGCGAACTTGGTGGCCTTCAGATGGTTCGATCTGCCTAAAAGACTGAAGCCTCGAATTCATCCCTTGGAAATCGTACATACGCACAGTGTAGTCGTAGCTTCCCGAGAGAACCCTAGCTCCGGCACTATCAACAGCCAGAGATGAAACAATCTGTTCCACGAAAGCATTCAATTTTCGAATTCAGCATCTCCATGAAAAGTACTTCAAAAGCATTGAAACCCAGTACCGCGAATTTAGATTATACCTTGGTGTGCCCCTTGAGCTGAATCTCGTTGCTCAATGGGATCTTGTACCGATTCTCCTCGTCGTCATAAACATCGTCTTCATCGGAATCTTCATCGGAATCTACAACAGCCGGAGGCGGCGGCGGAGGACCGATCATTTCTTCCTCGTCATCAGAATCATTACCGTTCCCGGGTCCCTTTGCTGGCGGCGGTGGTGGTCCCATCATGACTCCGTCATCCTCCTCCTCTTCCTCTCGCGTCGGTTTAGACGGAGGCGGTGGTGGTCCCATGGCTACGTCATCTTTTAGGCTGGAGCTATTAGGGTTACGATTCGGACCGCGAGCAGTTCGGAGCCAGGTCTCAGAGGAAGAAGTCAGAGACGGGAATCCGGAATCAGGTTTCTTCGTGGCGAAATCCGAGGAAACTCCAGCGTCTGCGCCTGCATCCGTGCGGCGAGTTGCGCTGTGGATGGATTCGATTGGCGCCGAAACCTTCGATGTCTTACCAAACGAAAGAGGAAAATTAGCTCGCAGACCTTCCAGTTCATCCTCCATTACTGATCTCTTCTTCTTCAGATGAAAACCTTGTCAGAAATTTGATCTGGGAAATTGGAAAATCCTTATATAACGTCCGGTGACCTCGCCGCCATGGAGAAACCCGTTGCTGTGCCGGCGAGGAAAGACGATGACGAGTTAAGTCCATAAACATAAAATATATCATAGTGGGCTTGAAAATAAAGGCCCAATAAACCCACTTAAGCTCATTTAATATGTTTACAGTTTTACATACCCAAATTTCAAAAGGGTTATGGCCGCTAATCTCTCCTTTGACCAAAATTAAACAAAGTTGGTCAAACTGTTAAGTATGCTGAATTGGATGTTGAATCAGCAGCTGTCACGTAAGCGAAAATATCTATAATTGTTGAATCAAATTCCATATCAGATGATACATCAATCAAAAATTCAATTTAAAATAGAACAAAATCAGAGTAAAATTGTTATGTTATTTTCTAGATTTTTTATCTCAAAACAGCATGATCCATAAGATCTCTTAACATTCTGTCGAAGGTTCTTATGGAGTCGTCTTTAGGTGTTCATGAACACCTATTCTCTTAACATTACTCTGATTTATGAATATGTGATCACATATTCGCTAAACAGAAACAACAACAAAAAGAGAGTTTATAATCCAATACTATTGGTATTTTGATGAGTAATCTTATTGGCATACGTGAAAATGTTATGTGAACTGTAAGATTATACTCTCATCATATCCAGTGGACTATTCGCTATATACACAATGTCAACACATGCATCTAGATTAATACAATACATTTACAAATAATCATGATCATGGTTATAAGTAACGCATCTCGATCCTTTTTCTTTTTCATATGTTTGTTTCAAATGTATGCTAAGTCGTTTCTATCTTTTAAACTTTACAAAAAACACTGTATCATTTACGAATCATAGTTTTAATATCTAACTTATTTTGAGATGATGCTTTAATGGTGGTTATTTCTTTCATATGATAAAGAATCAGATTCCAAAATTTAGTCCTAATTGATATTTAATAACAAAACCATCTCTGCATGGACATGATATATTCGTTAATGAAAATGAGATGGACGAGAGGGAAAAAAACGAAATGGCCAAAACTTAGGTGAAATTCAAAAAAATCATAATTCGGTGCTATCAGTTCTTTTGTCCGCCAATATAACCAAAGAGAGGAGCTGAAGTTCACATATATCTGTCATTTCAGTTTTAGTGTTGTTATTAAAAGTAAATTATGCTTATTTTTAGATTGTACTATGATATGTGGAGGTTGTGAGGGTTTCCTTCTTAGTTTTGTTATTAAAAAAAAGTAATTTGTGTTTATTTTTAGACTGTACTATGTGTTTATGTATGTGGAGTTTGTGGGGGATTTCCTTTTTAGTTTTTGTTATTAAAAAAATTGTACATACTTTTAGTATGTACTATGTGTTATGTGGAGGATTTCCATTTAAGTTTTTGTTATTAGAAGATTGTACATATTATTAGATTGTACTATGTTATGTGGAGTTTGTGGGTATTTCTTTATATAACATCATTTCTTAGAACGGTATGTTTTAGGCACTTCAAATTAGAAAGATACTAAATTTCAATCAATAGAAGAATTTGGTAAACTTGACAGGATCAGCTATATGTTATGTTATTTTAGATTTATGCAGTATACATATAAGATTTGCGTCTTTACATGAATTCTTTTTTTTTTTTAAGGATTTTTTCTACAATAACTCAAATCCATCATTAGCTCATTAGCTCAAGTGGCCAAGTGAGCCTAACACAATTGAAGCCCATTTCTCCTGTCTTCTTCGATACCGAATCCATTGGCTGGCTGCTTAGCCCTCCTTATATACTGCATATTGTTAAGAAAATATTTATTAAGTTCTCATATTTTTTTTTTCTTTAAAGGATTTTAATCTATTTAAAATCAGAATTCTAACATGAATATGTTCATACTAGTTAGTTGACTCTAATATATTTTAATTGGTAAGTTATTTTGTTTTGGTGTTTTATCATTAACAAACATAAATCATCGTCAGAGCTGTGCGTACATGCATTCAAAAGAAACATTGACGTAGGGACAGAGCCGTTCCAAGATAATTTGATGCCATAGACGATAACAAAGTTTTTTTAATTATACAAAAAATTAATTCATAAAAAAAAAAATTTAATTAAAAATGTTTAATATAATAAATATTATCATATAATAAATAAAAAACTAAACACGATAATAATTCAAAACATAATTCTTCTTTTTTTTCCATAAAATCATTAACCAATCTTTCAAAATCAATTTCTCTAACCAGCTATCTTTCGATAGATAAAATCATCAAATCACTCAATCTCTTTTTTTGTATATTCAGGAGAAGATATGGTTTTATCAATTTTAACTTTGAAAAACTTCTTTCAGTAGATACAACAGAAATTGGAAACGTCAACAATACTTGATAAGCGATCCATGAGTTAAAATAAAAAGTTTTGCTGCTGGGTAAAGCTTATCTCATTATTGATAATGTCTGAATGCTCTTCATGAGTTAAAGACATTGGGAAGCAAATTGTTTTTTAAATCATAGAGCAGCAATTTTTAAAAAAATTGTTTACTAATCTATTTTTATTATTAGTTATATTGTATTAATCTCAAATATGAGTAAAGGCTTATACATATATGAGTTTACAAAAGAAAAACTAACAACAATAAGTTAAATTGTTATTAGGAGAAATGACCCAAAAATCAAAGAATTAAAGTAAAGAAAAAATGAAACCGTATAATTTCTTTCTTTCCTTCTTTATATTTGCACTGATCTGAAATTAAAAAGTTTATTACTATAAATTTTATGGAAAGTACACAAAACGTCGTCGGTCTACGAGCATGGGGTTAAAACATCTTTGTAATTGTCTGCATCATAAGATGTTTTAACCCCATGATCTCCTTCTTCTCTCAAGTTGCATGATCCCTTGATTATGACTCCATTGTTAGACAGAGCTCTTCTATAAAGTTTAAACTCACTTATTGTCCTTTTAGTTGCCCTACTTGACCATCTTTCTTACTGTGGCTGATACTTTAATATCGTGGAACCACAAACTCTTCACAAACTCTTAACCCTAGGCAAAATGCATAATTCAACCTAAATAATTATATTAGATCTACAAATTGAAATAGAAAAGCTTACAATTTGTACACAAAATCTCACCATTGCAACCTGACATATACAATCATTTCTCATTACTCTCTTGATAACGATTTGGGTGGACAACATCAAATCTTGAAGAGAGTCATTCGATAGTACTATTATTATTTTTTAATTATTAAAAATATTTTATATTGTTATTTACAAACAATTTAAAATCAACAAAAAAAACCCGGTCCTATAAATAAGAGATATCTCTCTACTCCATCTGAAACACAAACCATTCAGAAAGCTACTGAGACGTATACACACGAATTCAAATCGACCCCAGAGAAACAAAATGTGAGTTCTTTACAATTCTGGGATGCAGAGATTTTTTTCTTTTTTTCAGATGAATCTTGTCTGAGTTTGTTGTTGTCTTCTTGTTCTTCTTATGGAACAGGGAAAATGGTAGTAGTAGGAACGTGTTGAAGCCGATGGATTCCGAGCAACTGAGAGAGTACGGACATCGAATGGTCGATTTCATTGCCGATTATTACAAAACCATCGAGAATTTCCCTGTTCTTAGCCAAGTTCAGGTCACTTTCTTGTTCCTCGGAAAAACCAATTTGATGTTGAGCGTTGTGTCGAACTCGGATTGTTGTGAGAGCTTGGGCTTCAAAAAGTCTCTTAATTTCTGTGGAATTTGATAAATTTTCTATATGTCTTAGGGTTTTTACCAAATTTGGCATTGGGCTTTGCTATTGTGTGTTTTAAAAATTGAATCTCTCTGCTTTATTCACAATGTTGAATCTCTGTGCTTTATTCACAATGTTGAATCTCTCTGGTTTGATGCAGCCTGGTTATCTCCATAACCTTTTGCCTGATTCCGCACCAGACCACCCTGAAACACTGGAACAAGTTCTTGATGGTGAATTTTTTTCTGAATTTACAGTTTAAATCTAAAGCGTTTCTGATGAACATAGATACTAAACTGGATCTGTATGTGAGTTTGCTTTTTGCAGATGTTAAGGCGAAGATACTGCCAGGTGTAACGCACTGGCAAAGCCCGAGTTTCTTTGCTTATTACCCTTCAAACAGCAGCGTTGCAGGGTTCTTGGGTGAGATGTTGAGTGCTGGTCTTGGGATTGTTGGTTTCAGTTGGGTTACTTCTCCTGCTGCCACTGAGCTCGAAATGATTGTTCTTGATTGGCTCGCAAAGCTTCTCAACCTACCCGAGGAGTTTATGTCCAAAGGTAATGATAACAAAACACTGAGTTTCTTTTGTCAGAACAATATCCTCAAGTGTTGGTTTAAGTTGTATTGTAGGAAATGGAGGTGGAGTAATCCAAGGGTCAGCTAGTGAAGCTGTTCTTGTTGTTCTGATTGCTGCCCGAGATAAGGTTTTACGAAGCGTTGGCAAGAACGCGCTTGAGAAGCTTGTTGTCTACTCTTCTGACCAGACACATTCAGCTTTGCAGAAAGCTTGCCAGGTGAAAACTATGCAGGTTCTGAGATTTGATCAAACAAAGTTTAGTTTAAAAAGAAAGCTAAACTTTTTTTTTGTGTGTGTTATATGGTTGACAGATAGCAGGAATCCATCCAGAGAATTGCAGGGTGCTGAAAGCAGATTCCTCTACAAATTACGCTCTGCGTCCAGAATTGCTTCAAGAAGCTGTTTCTCGGGATCTCGAAGCTGGATTGATTCCATTCTTCTTATGTGCTAATGTAAGAACTAGCCTCTGTCACTTACTTACTTACTTACTTAACGTTCTTGAAGCCATGTTTGTCTGAAACGTTTCATTTGTTATTTGCAGGTTGGAACCACTTCTTCAACCGCGGTTGATCCATTAGCTGCACTGGGAAAGATCGCAAAGGTTATATTTTGTTTCTTTCTTCACACTTCCGACAAGATTAAGGCAAAGAAACTGATGCTGTTTCTCTGACTGCATTCTCAGTGCAATGAGATGTGGTTTCACGTGGATGCAGCGTATGCGGGAAGCGCTTGTATATGTCCAGAGTATCGACAGTACATTGACGGAGTAGAAACTGCAGACTCTTTTAACATGAATGCTCACAAATGGTTCCTCACTAATTTCGACTGTTCCCTACTTTGGGTCAAGGTACATATATATGCCTTTCTAATCTCACTTTCTCTGTTCTTTCTCTTCGCTGTACTGGAAATATAAATGCTTGATATTTGATAAACAGGACCAGTATGCTCTCACTGAAGCTCTTTCAACAAATCCAGAGTTTCTCAAAAACAAGGTAAGAATGATATTGATTTTCACAAGAAATCGCCCAATCTTTCTTCTTCGAATCTGTTAGATCCACTTTCTTTTTTTTGGCCAGGCCTCTCAGGCAAACTTGGTTGTTGATTACAAAGATTGGCAAATCCCTCTCGGGAGAAGATTCAGGTTCTTTTTGCTTTCGCAGAAACTATATTTAAAGTTTTGTAAGAACATTTCACATTTGCATATCTACACAATCTGAGTTTTATTTGTGTGTGTTTTAAACAGATCATTGAAACTATGGATGGTTTTAAGGCTCTATGGATCTGAGACCTTGAAGAGCTACATAAGAAACCATATCAAACTGGCTAAAGATTTCGAACAACTTGCCTCTCAAGATCCTAACTTTGAGGTATAACTCAGAAAATCTCATCAAAAACTTTCTGTGATAAGAGATCCTAACTTTATCCTCGTTTGCAGATTGTCACTCCTCGGATCTTCTCTCTCGTCTGTTTCCGCATGGTACCTGCGGAAAACGATGAGCAGAAATGTAATAACCGAAACCGCAAGCTCCTAGACGCAGTGAACTCTTCAGGGAAACTCTTCATTTCTCACACGGTAAGTGATCTCTCTCTCTCTCTCTTTTGTTCTTCCTTCTTCTTGTTGGACAATGTTCTTAACTAAGATGTATTGCTTTGCGTGGGAAACAGGCTTTGTCGGGAAAAATCGTACTACGTTGCGCCATAGGAGCGCCACTGACGGAGGAGAAACACGTGAAGGAGGCATGGAAGGTTATCCAGGAAGAAGCATCATACTTGCTTCGCAAGTAAATAAGATTAAAAAGACTACAATAAAAACCTATTTTTGCCAACAAACTGAATGATTGGTTTGGTTTGGTTTGGTTTAAATTGATTTGATATAATCATATAGAATAAAACAAAACTTACCGAAGCCGGACTTGTGAACTTGGGTAAGGTAATTTATGTGTGATCGTGTGTATTTTCTTTTCTCCCAATTGTGTGTATTTTTATCTTTTTTTTTGGTAAAAGTGTATTTTTATCTTATTTTCCCAATTGTGTGTAATTTATCTATTTCGTTTGGTTTGTATTATGGTTAACTACAAATGTAACCTATGACACAATAAACAAAAATCTATTTTATGATTATGACTCGAGCATGTAAGTTATTATTAGCTTGGTTTGTGTCAGATCACTAAAATTATCCGATGAGATTCGAGTGTAGGAGACGAGACGTGATGAGATTTGTAATTTGGGCGAACATATTTTCACAATTTGGTCTTCAGGATTGGCAACATCTTTACATGAATTTCAGTTAATCAATCTGGTTTTAAAATGTTCGGTCAATTTGGTTTATGATCGAGTGATTCGGTTTACAATCTTTTTATTTAGATTATAATCTGATTCAGTTTCAAAATTTTGGTACAACTTGAAAATTTATTAAGCATATGCATAAGTATCCGTTTGGATTCGGTTTTGGTTTTTCAAATATTTTAATACAAAATTTTAAAACACATTCAAGTATTTTTTTTATTCTGTTTGAATCTAGTTTAGTTCTATCTGAATTCGAATATATATCAGAACTATCTAAAATATATATGAATTATCATAAGAAAAACTAGTTTATTTTAACTAGTTTGGTTGGATTCAGTTTATTTTTAAGAATAAATTTTGATTAAAAATAAGTTTGTTTTAATAAATATAACTAAATATTTTAGAATATTTTAATTATGCGGGTATTATATTCTCGAGAAAGTCTAAAGCATTGGCTCAGTTTTTAGCGTTCGCGTTTGGAAACGAATGTGATCATGGAGATCACTTCCTAACAAGCAAGGAGATGTGTGGATGATGATCTAAAATTCAACTTCATACTTCAATCCAATGATATACACAAATCATATTACCTTAGTGATTCCAGGGGCAGTGGTTAACGGTAGGTCCAGAAAATAAGTACCTAGGAGAGGCAGAAATCATTTCATTATTGAAAGTTGTTGTAAGTCCTAATGGAGATCCGTTTGTGCATGACCTCTGTTGGGCCTATGCTGCTTGCAACTTGATCAGTTCTGTTAGGTATTTACATGGATTAGACAAAGAGTATATACCGCTTTCTCCTTTGTATTTGTGCGAGTGGGCTTGTGAAAAGAAGTATGAAGATAACTGTGCAAATGGAGGGCGGAAAAAGAAATTCAAATGATGGTGTTGGTGATCTTTTCCGCTTAATGATGGGTGATTTGAAAAATGATGTTATTGACACTGATGGCTTGGTATGCTCTGTCTCAAAATATGCTTTCAACTAGTATATTGTTTAATGCTTACGTATTTTCATATCTTGTTTACCAAGTATTTGATGAAAAAGTGCCTGCGAAGAATATGTTTCCTGGCATGTATTCTGCAACTTTCCAACGGCTGTGGTTTATATTATGCTGATGCTACTTGAGTGACTGACTTGATGCTCTGAGAATGATAATTTGTAATTAAAATGTTGAAAATGGGGACCGTGGCTTCTCAACTGAGTTAAACTTTGTATTAATTTATTAACTTCCAGGAAAATGCTTGTCTTGTAAATCTTACTATCCATTTGGCTACTGAGTTGGTTAATCACCAGTAGTAACTATGATTAGTCCACTGAGTACACTTTCCAGCAAGGAGTTGTTAAAGTTTTAGTCATCAAATTGTGCAGCTTCTTATATGATTTCTGAAGCTTGGCTTATTGTATTGTTTGTGTGTTGATGTTAACTCTCGCAGGATCCTAGCAAGTTTGCTGTTGCTGTAGCGGGGGATGCAGGTGGAGGTGCTTCAGCTGGAGCTGCCAAGGTAGAAGAGAAGAAGCAAGAGGTTGAGGAATCAGATGAAGAAGACTATGGTGGTTTCGATATGTTTGGTGATGAATAGATTGTTATATCTCACAAAAACCATTCAACTTAACAAACTTAGTCCAGCATTATTATTAATAATAATCTTTCAAACGCAGCACCACCAGGGTGTTACTCCACCATTGCGTCAGCGTCATAGTTCAGAGGCAGCTGATTTGGATCCTCAGAGATTTGATTTGCAAGTCCGGTGAGATGTAACTTGGTCCTTTTATTATCTGCCAAGGGTTCCCCGCAAAACTCGGGTCCCGTATCCTCATCAGAAGCAACTGTACGCTTGTTTGGTATAACTAGTGAACTCTCACGAGTAAGACCCACGAGAAGAAAGCATCCCGTAGCCTCATCAAAGCTTCTTCTAACAAGAGCGACGCGATCAGAAACCTTACCAAGCGACAAGTCATTGTACCTTATGTACAAGGTTGCATTATTCGCATTGAGTCCTCCCTCATCACCTATAGCCACCGTGACAATCTCCAAGTTGGAGAGAGCATCATCACTAGCTCCAGCGGAGGCAACAGCAAGTTCCAAATATAGACGAATCCAGTCATTGTCTTGCAGCTCTGATTTCTTGACCTAACCAAAAAAAAAACAACATACTTTATTCATCATGATGATGATGCCACCGTATCAATATATATATTCTTACCCGGTAATAAATATCAAAAGGATTCTCTGGCGGCCACTCAGGCATGGGAAAATTTGTAATCATCGCTGGGTCGTTATTTCTTATTCGAATATTTGCACGCATCGATGCTGGGTCGTCATCTCTTCTATCACCTGCTATACAAACATTAAATCAGCGTGTGTTGGATACAAATGAACAATTAGTGCTGTTACCTCGAATTCTTGTGATATCGCAGGTCAGAATAAATTTGCGATAGATTTCTTCAGATACTTTAGTCTGAAAAGTCTGAAGCAGCGAAGAGCCACCGGTTGTGTCCACTGCATCCAAAGTTATGTAATAAGGGCAAGCAGGACAACACACTGGTCTAATGTATTTCTTTACGCCATTGAGCTGAAACTTTGTACCCTGAAGAATATGTAAAAAAAATTGAATCTAGTATTATATATATACAGATAGAGAGAGCATGAAGAAAAAAAAAAAAAAAAAAAACCTCGAGCAAATTGTAACGATGAAGGCCCATCTTAGCATAGAGGGTGAGTAAGGTAGAACAAGGACGCAGTTCATGACATGTCACTTCCTGAAATCCGAGCGTACAACCCGGGAGATCGAACACCTAATACATATGATCCCGATTCATTTTCAATTCGGATGAGACAATGATCCATCAAAATATAAGGGTTATGAAAGAACGACTTACTTACACCGTATTTCTTCAGTTTTTGCCCAGTGGACTCCCCACCCATACCCAGCCTTCTGTACCGACCGAAGTTTTTTAATTTTTTTTTCAGCAGCAACAATTTCTCCTTCTCCATCCTCAACCGATTAGGGTTTAGGTTTCTCGACTGTAAATGCTTTTGAGCTTTGGTCGACTACGCGATTGTTTTACGGCCTAATATACGGCACGATGTCGTTTCGTTGGAACTGTCCCTTTTAGTTTAAAACAGCGTCGTATCAGTGCCCAAAACAAAACGGAACTGAGAGTCTTTGCATTCATGGGCCCTAGGACTTACGTAGTACGATCCAACCTAAAACGACGTGGTTTCTATATTGGGAGCGTTCTCTTGTTTTAGCCCAAAAAGTATATTATATTATGGCCCAGCCCATCTGCTTGTATCCTCCGGGCACCAAATCCCTCTCTCTCTCTTTCTCATCTGTGTTTGTTGTCTCTCGTATCGATCGTGCAACTGAGGAGGATACGAGGATGCAGGCAGTTTCCAGGAGATTAGTGCAACGGCCTCTCGCCGGAGGAGCTTCTTTCTACTCACCGTCTTCTCTCAGATCGCTCTATGGAGTCTCAGATCACCGTTAAGTTTCTGCGATTGATTTTCTTCGATTCGCATTTCTAGGTTGCCTGTGCTAATTTGATACATGATTTTTTTTATGCTGATCCTTCAGTTAATGGAACCGATAATCGTCGCTACTCGTCTTCCCTCGCCACAAAGGGCGTGGGACATCTCGCTCGCAAGGGTACTGGTGGGAGATCTTCCGTTAGGTATGACCTTTCTCTCTTCGCGTAAGGTTTTGGTTCCTGTAGAAAATGCTGGAGAATTCTCATGGGGAGATGAAATATTTATTCGTGTGTTAGGGTATCGATAGCTTAGTCTGTACATCTTTGTTTTGTTCTGAGCTTAGAGGATAGAGGATAGCTTCTCTCGAAATTTGCTCGAGTTATGGAGAAACGTATCATCTCTTTGGGGTTTTGCACTAGCTTCTGTACAGTGGAATCTTAATTTCTCCTTTGCTTTCCCAGTGGCATTGTAGCTACGGTGTTTGGAGCCACTGGATTTCTGGGTCGTTATCTCGTGCAGCAGCTAGGTGAGTTGGGTTTAACATTGTTATAACCCTATTCAATCTTGTTCTTCCTTTACACTTGTTTTCTTGCTAAGCTCAAATGAATCTCTTGTTCCAGCTAAAATGGGATCACAAGTGCTAGTTCCTTTCCGAGGCTCAGAGGACTCTCCTCGACATCTCAAGTTGATGGGAGATTTAGGCCAGGTAATATTTTTATTTGCTTTTAAGGGTATGCCAGGAACACACATTTTTTTGTAAAGTTATGCTTTGGATCGACAAATTTGATAATGTGTTCGTTGCTTGTGTATTCCAGGTAGTTCCGATGAAATTTGATCCACGAGATGAAGACTCGATTAAGGCTGTCATGGCAAAGGCTAATGTGGTTATCAATCTAATTGGTACATGTTTTGTCTATATAATTTTGGTCTTAACAATTATTGTTTAAAACTTGTAAAAAAGCCCTTCTAATCTCTTACTTTTCCGATGATATTTAATCTAATCCTCAGGGAGAGAGTACGAGACCAGAAATTTCAGTTTCGATGAGGCGAATCATCATATGGCTGAGAAACTTGCATTGGTATGTGTTTGAATCCTGACAAGTTGTCTCCAGAAACTCTGGTGACGAGATTTCCATTTTTTTTTTCGCTCAGATTGTTTGCCTTCTTTTGAAATGAGCGGCACATTTTTAACCTTCAGGATGATACAATCTGCTTTGGTATGCTCATCTGGTTATGTCTAAATACGTTGGGGCTCTGTTGATTTGTTGTTTCAGGTTGCCAAGGAACATGGTGGGATAATGAGATATATTCAAGTTTCGTGCCTAGGAGCTTCAGTGTCATCCCCTTCAAGAATGCAGAGGGCAAAAGCTGCTGCTGAGGAAGCTGTTTTGAATGCGCTCCCCGAGGTAAACTAATAGTACTTGCTTTCTGCAGACGGAACGCTTTTTTCCTATAACTATCATCTTAATATTTGACTCGTTATTTCCATGATCCTACTTTTCTTTAGAGATACGATCCTTTAGGTTTTCTTATTTAGAACTGGAAAAATCATATATGATGTAATACTAATGTCTATAATCTCATAAATTTTTGAAAGCAAACAATGTACCCGAGGATGGCTTAATTATGAGCTTTTTGTGATCAGACTCTATCACTCTAATCAGTAACTCATGTATATTTGTTTTCTAGGCCACAATCATGAGACCTGCCACCATGATCGGCACAGAGGACAGAATCTTGAACCCCTGGGCTCAGTTCGTTAAAAAATATGGTTTCCTCCCACTCATAGGTGGTGGTACCAACAAGTAAGCCTTAAACCCTTTTTTGCAGTTATGTTCACCGGTTCATAGCTAGCTACAGTGTAGATCCATTTCTTCCCTGACAATAACTTCATTGCAGATTCCAGCCCGTATATGTGGTCGATGTTGCTGCTGCGATCGTAGCAGCTCTAAAAGATGATGGCTCCAGCATGGGGAAAACCTACGAATTGGGTGGTCCAGATGTCTTTACCCCTCGTGATTTGGTAAATTATTATGGTCCTTTCATTCTCTGTCACTGTGTGGCATCTCAGTGGGCTTGACTTTATAAGTGTTCATTGCAGGCAGAGATCATGTTTGATATGATTCGTGAATGGCCTCGATATGTGAAGCTTCCATTTCCAATTGCTAAGGTAACAGATCAGATCGTTCACTGTTTATGGTAGAAACTCTAGTGATTTTTATGTGCTCATTTGTCAGACAAAACGTATCTGAAACTAATCTAATCTACAGAACCCCAAGTCGTGTTAGGATTCTTGTTCTTTCTGTAAATAATTATAATCTCACATGTCAAAAATTTGTTCCAGGCAATGGCAGGTCCTCGGGATTTCATGGTGAACAAAGTCCCTTTCCCTCTACCCTCTCCCCAGATCTTCAATCTGGATCAAATCAATGCACTTACAACCGATACACTTGTATCTGACAAGGGTTAGTCATTTTTTTTTCCACAGAAGTGAAATGAGTTTTTTTTTTATTATTCCTTGAGCTGTTTTGAGTCTCACTCTATATTATTCGTTCGACAATGGCTATTTCAGCCTTGACGTTTCAGGATTTGGACCTTGTCCCTCATAAATTGAAGGGATATCCGGTGGAGTTTCTTATCCAATATCGCAAGGGTGGTCCTAATTTCGGCTCTACAGTCAGTGAAAAGATACCAACAGACTTCTACAATTGATGATGCTGCTCAAAGGTCATTTTCCTGGACTAATTTTTATAATGCCGAAGTGTCACAATGAAGTTGCGGAAACTAGATTCGGTATGTTGTTGATGCCTTTCAATTTTAACTTGTGTCAATAATAAAAACGGTTCTCCTCTTTGTTGTGTTTCTGGTCATAAGTTATAGAGGGGGACATCATCTTTCTTGATGGGACGATATGGTCCCGTAGGAAATTACGCAGTTTCTGGTTCGTTTTCTTAAAAAAACTTCATGTGCTGCTACTTTGCTCTTGAGTATAAACTAAAGACATGTGCTTCCGTCTCTGTGTGGTGTTGTATGTTTTTACTTGCGCCAAAACGTTTCGACTTGTTTGAAACAAAAATACAAATCAGGTCGGTGCCAGGTGGGTAATGAATCTATTTATGCAAATCGTAGAATATAGCACTTTGCTTCTAGCTGTAGAAAAAAGTAAAGGAAACCGTAAGAACCAAGCAAAGCATATAGAGCTAATGTAATGTCACCGAAAGGGTAAGAGAGACTCATTTTACATCATCCGAGAAAAATGGAAGGCGAAGAAGAAGATTATCCCGGGGCTGGAATCAACTTGAACGGGAGAAATGTCGGGGCGGTGATGGTGGCACCGAGGGATGTACACATAGCGAGTGAAAGTGGTAGCAGGATCAACATCTATGTGAACAGCAACGTTCAAGGGACCTGTGGTTCGGTCTTGTTAGGTAGCAAGGTTAAGCTAAGAGATCCGGGTGTTCACCTCCACATCGAAGACGTTAGAACGACCCGAGACGATGGAACTAGACACAAGGAGATGAGGTTGATTAAGGTTGGGTTGTGTTTGGTCTGTCTCTTTAACATCTTTCTAGGCCTCTTTCTCTTGCTCTCCTATTGGTTCCGGAAGAAAACCGGTTCAACATAAAACGATATATAAGTTTAGATTGTTTTATTTTACATTTTCTAGATTGAATCCAATACCTTTGTTATATTCCGATAGTAGTCTAGTGAGGCAAACCGGAAACGAGATTACCGGATTGTAAGTTTTAACCAAGCATGTACCAATTTCAATCTCGACTACCGTATTCTCTAACTTGTATTTAAATATCGATTTTAAAACTTTTTAAGTATATCAATTAGAATCTACTTTTTTTATAAATACATATGCAATTGCCTGATAAGAGGACCGCGATTTCATTTGTTTTTTAATTGATTCAAGAATCTTTCAAGAAACATATATTTCTTAAGTTGCAAACTTGTGCAATTTTCAATCCTTACTTTTGCAACTCATCCTCACGTCACATGTTTACCAATTGTAACAAATAATCGAGGCATCAAAAGTGAATTCTTTTTTTATTATATTTATTGTTGGAAGAAACTTAATGCTAGGCCATTACTGTATTTACATTATTTAAAAAGAACTAACTAAGAACTTGGTGCTATCCATGTGAGTATTAACATTGGGGAGCACAAACTTCCCCACTCCCACAGGCCACGTTTGTCCCTTAAAGTTTCTGTTATTTATTGACTATGACAATGAGTTGTATCAAAATATCAAGTCTCCTCCTTGAACATTCTAAACTTTATACAAACTGCATCAAATTTTGAAGTTTCGGTGTAAATCTCCAAATTAGAGTAAACTGACATGTAGATTATTATTTAGATTTTGCATGCGAGTGCCTCTTTACTTACGTATACACAAAATATTTCATTTCTTGAGTCGTTTCGTTTTGAGTTTCAACCTATTTATTCATGTGATGTTGTTTCTGCAGAACTTTTCATCCGCTTACTGTGTCTGTCATCGTATAGTTGGACATTATGATGGATATTTATTTGGTCCCGATGAACAAAAAAATAGAGTCCTACAAAGTACAAAATTATTAATATACTGTAACCTTAAATATAAAATAAACATAACAATTACAACGGTCGATCATATAATTAATTAACGAGGGAAAGTTAACTATATAGTGGGCTTGAAGTTGAAGTAATCATGAACTGTTATTTTTATTTATTTAAAGTAATCATGTTGCGACGTGTTTTTGGTTTAGTTTACCATAAATTTCTATGATTTTGGGCTCTTTCCAACGTACTATTACGCTCTCAATCAAACCATACACATCCGTACACGTGGAGTCATTTCCACACGCTCGTCGCAATCACACGTTACGGACGAAGTTTGAGTCAAACGGGGGGTTTATAAATTATAATGCTTACGTCATCGACCTCTCGTTGCCGACATGTCAGCATAACAATATCATACGTGGCGAGGTCCCACTGGTCACCGACAACGTAGAAGAAGAACTGACGGCGCAGATTTAGCTGTCCGACTAACGTGCGCGCTCAATTGCATTTACATTTTACAGTCCAGTCTTCTTCTCTCTCTCTCCCTCTCTCTTTGACGGTGATGAGACCAACTCAAAATCCATCATCAATCTGAAAAAAACATCTTCCCCTTTCACACATCTTCAGATCTTTCCTTGCCTGAATGATCAAAAAAGCTCTTATATGATCCTTCTTCTTCCTCGTTGCTCCGTCTCTCGCGGATCCTTGTCGGTACACTTCTGCATTTTTAAATCTGTTTGATTTCTACTAAAAACTTCCCGATCGAAGCTTGGAGTTTTCTCGATTTAGCTCGGAATCGCTTCTAGAGCTTTTGAATCGGACTTGGGGCTTTCCTCTCTAGGATCTGGAAAGTCTAGGGCTTGTCTATGGTATCATCAATGTTGTGATCTCGTACACTCTCTATGATTCCGAGGGTTGCTATGAGGCGTCGCTCTGCAGAAGTTGCTCCTTCAGAGCCCACGGAGAAGGGAAATGGGAAGAATCAGACGAATCGAATCTGTGTGTTGGTGGCTTTATCACTCGTGTTCTGGGCATTGTTGCTGTACTTCCACTTTGTTGTCATAGGGAGCAACAGTATAGAGAAGCAGATCCAGTTGCAACCTAGCTATGCCCAATCTCAGCCTTCCTCTGTCTCTCTTCGGGTTGATAAGTTCCCTCTCGAGCCTCACAGAGTTCCTTCGAAACCTCCCAAAGAGCCTTTACTTGCTTTCGATGAACCACCACTGATCCCTCCTGCCCCAGTAGCCATCTCTACTTCCACCTTCGAGCATCCTAGAATCGCGGAGAAAGAGGAGTTTCCGTTTGTAAGAGCGTTGAAGACATCAGACAACAAAAGCGACCCTTGTGGTGGGAAGTACATTTATGTTCACGATCTGCCTTCGAGGTTCAACGAGGATATGCTTAGGGACTGTAAGAAGCTTAGTCTCTGGACTAACATGTGCAAGTTCACCACCAATGCTGGCCTCGGCCCTCCGCTTGAGAACGTTGAAGGTGTCTTCTCCGATGAAGGCTGGTACGCGACGAATCAGTTTACCGTTGACGTCATATTCAGCAACCGGATGAAGCAGTACAAATGCTTGACGAATGATTCTTCTCTCGCCGCTGCCATTTTCGTGCCCTTCTATGCTGGATTCGACATTGCTAGGTACCTGTGGGGATACAATATCTCGACCAGGGATGCTGCTTCGCTTGAGCTGGTCGATTGGCTCATGAAGCGCCCTGAGTGGGAGATTATGAGAGGTAAAGATCATTTCCTTGTGGCCGGAAGGATTACTTGGGACTTCAGGAGATTGTCTGAGGAAGAAACTGATTGGGGAAACAAGCTTCTCTTCTTACCGGCTGCCAAGAACATGTCTATGCTTGTGGTCGAGTCGAGCCCGTGGAACGCAAACGATTTCGGGATCCCGTACCCGACCTACTTCCACCCGGCAAAGGACTCGGAGGTGTTCGAGTGGCAGGAGCGCATGAGAAACCTGGAAAGGAAGTGGCTTTTCTCATTTGCAGGAGCCCCACGACCCGACAACCCGAAATCCATCAGAGGGCAGATCATCGATCAGTGCAGGAACTCGAAGGTTGGGAAGCTGTTGGAATGCGATTTTGGGGAAAGCAAGTGTCACGCACCGAGCAGCATTATGCAAATGTTTCAGGGCTCTCTCTTCTGTCTGCAGCCGCAGGGAGACTCCTACACCCGAAGATCGGCTTTTGACTCGATGCTTGCCGGTTGCATACCGGTCTTCTTCCACCCGGGCTCTGCTTACACGCAGTACACGTGGCATCTACCCAAGAACTACACAACCTACTCGGTTTTCATCCCGGAGGATGATATCCGGAAGAGAAACATGAGCATCGAGGAACGACTCCTCCAGATCCCACCCGAGCAGGTCAAGATAATGAGAGAGAACGTCATAAACCTCATCCCAGGGCTGATCTACGCAGACCCGAGGTCAGAACTGGAGACGCTGAAGGATGCATTCGATGTCTCGGTACAGGCAGTGATAGACAAGGTGACTCGGTTGAGGAAGAACATGATCGAGGGTCGAACCGAGTACGACAACTTCGTGGAGGAGAACAGCTGGAAGTATGCCTTGCTGGAGGAAGGCCAACGGGAAGCCGGGGGCCACGTGTGGGACCCGTTCTTCTCGAAGCCTAAGCCCGGAGAAGACAGCAGCAGCGACGGCAGTGGAGGCACGACCATTTCCGCAGACGCAGCTAAGAATTCATGGAAGAGTGAACAGAGAGATAAGACACAGTAAAAAAAGAGACATAATCCACTTTTTGTTTGAGATATAGTTTTTCGGTTATTATTATACGGAGGGGAAAAAAAAAGTTGATTTATTTTTGGTCGTATTGGTGTCGAATGTAGTTTCTGCAGCTTCATAGAGAGAAGTTTGTTTGTGATTCTTGTTGTATCAGAGTATCAGTAACCCACAGAGAGCTTAATAATAAGAAGTGGCCCTTTCCATGTTAAACTATGTTATGGTCTTTAGGCTTAGAAGCTCAATGTTATGATTCGCATTGAACTTTTGTATAGTCCCAAAAAGGATGTGTTTATTGGCAGTAAATAAAAGGATGTGTTGTAGGTATGCTTGTGGCACAAGAAATAATGGAATGGTATAAAACCCTAGCCAGGAGACTACGAATTCTTCCTCTTCTTAGCTCTTCTCTGGCTCTTGTGGTTCGGCAGGTTTGTTGTCGGTAACAGCCGAGGGAGCATCGAAGTCAGAGACGTTTATTCTCAAGGTTTGTTGAGGTCCATCGTTTGAAGGGACGTGGACAAGTGCGTCCATTATCAGAATATCCCAGTCCCTTTGCTGTAAAAACCCGAACAAGCTATCTTCTGTTCCAATGTAAAAACACGATCCAATGTCAAATGCGCATTTTGTCTCAATGGACACATTGTAAGTAATGAGAAGTTTTTACCTCCATTGCGAACGGCTTTGAGATGCAAGACCCCGGTGCCTTGTGGTCCAATAACAGGAAACGAACAAGACACTGAGTGCCTTTGCTGAGAAACAGCTAGTGATGCATTGTACCATGGCCCTTTTTCGATTGGCTCTCCGATGGCTTCAATCATAGCCTTACTATTCATCACCTTCTCCATCGCCTTGCTGCAAAAATTAAACACACAAAGACCACATTCTTGAAAAATCATGTCATGTTATTGATTTTCTGAGACAAGGACAAGAGTTTCGCACATAGATATTCACGAGGGGCACTGAAAGAATGCGAAACAGAACAACAAATGGGTGCACATAAAATTTCTCTGCTACTAGATCCACAAAAACAAGCCAAAATGAAAATGATGACTCAGTTATGATTGAATTATGAAACCGATTCACAAATCAACTACGAGTGAAGTTACGCATAGAATGTGCATTGCAATAGCTAAACCTAAACTTAAAAGGAAAGACAATGCATTTTTAAACGATGATGATGTGATTACCTGCTACATCCGCGATAGATAGAGAGGTCATCGAGCGCACTCAAAGCAACACCACCGGTGACTGTAATCAAGACAAAAGACACTGCCTTATGACCAAAAGAGCCCAATGTCCCATCTTTCGAAGCTTTGTCTGAGCTGTTCCAAAAACATTTCTTCAGCCCATTAAACTCATGGATAGCAGAAATTATACTGCGCATCCAATTCTCGATTCGAATAACTCAATACGTCTAAATGGGTATGGATCTTTCTACCAAAAGGGACATCCAGGGATTTTGAAATCGCGATAGAGATGAGATTCCCGATTCAAAAGGGATTCAAAAACAAGTCGGGTTTAAGATGCTCGACGATCGGATTCTAATTGCGACATCGAAATCCCGACACACAAGATGTTCTAATTTCGGTCAAAATAAACCAACAAGAAACGCAAAATCGAGCAAACAAGATCATAAGGGAAATTGGAGTCTGGATCAACATCTCGGGTACCTTGAGGTTGAAGATCGATTAAAGAGAGAAGTGAGCCGCCTCGTAAACATTTTCTCAGGTGAATTTTCCAGGACTTTGACCCGACTCGCTGATTCGACCCGGAGCAGCTCCGTATGGGGTGATCTGTAGGGTTTTGGGTTTTTGCAGCAACCATTTAGTTTTTTTTGCTGAAATCAATTAGATAAATGTTAAACCAACAAGGAAATATTTTGTTTCAAATTTATTTATTTTTTATTAAACGTAAATACATCAAGGAAAAGAACTAAAATCAACATAAAAATTTAAAACCTAAAAATTGTTAAATCAAATAGTATAAGATCAATTTTTTTTTGTCAACACAAATCCCATTATTCCCATCTCTAGTTGAAATTTCAGTGTTCTTACTCCAAATATTTATCTACAAAATTTACATTTAGAATTCAATAGTGAATTAATTTTACAATCTGATAATTGTGATTTGTGGGAAACATTATCATTTGCAAGCTTTGTACTTATCCTTCTCAAAACTTTTGGGCTGCAATACAAAAGAGAGTAAGCCTCTGTGCAGCCCACAATACAACTTTTTGGCCCACTAAGAACATTCTACGTAGGGAAGTTAGTGAGCCCAATACGGAATACGTTGCACGCGCCGTTCTCAGCGCTTGAGAGATATGACTGATCGCCTCTTGCTTTTTTAACACAGCCACCACCAGGAGAAGAAGGAACGAGAGAGAAAGAGAGAGAGAGCGATCCCTATTTTCCCGCCAATACCGGTGGAAAATACACCCATCGAACGTTCTTCGCTTCTCGAGCTTCTTAGCGATTCGACTCTTCAACTGGTTCTGGGGTTCTCATGAATTTTTAGGTGAGAATATCGATTTTTGGAATTTGATCATCTCTAGGTTCCGAGAATAATTTGCTACTAAGTTTTTGGTGATTGGTGGATTCAGATTCGATTGGGTTAGGGTTAAGTGTTGGATTGGATAGTGTGTTTGCGTTGTCGATGACTCGCCACCCTCATGACGCTTTTAGCTTCTTCTCTGCTTTTCCGATTTCTCCTTGTATTTGAAAATTTGTTGTGACAGTGAACATTGAGTCATTTAGCATCTTCAAAGTCTGATTTTTCTGATATTAGATTAGTTCAGAGCTTGAGTGATGCATATATACTTTTGTATCTTATGATCACTCTGAATCTTACATAGATGTTTTTGATTTTTTTCTTCTAGAACAACAATGGAGACTCGCCCGAGGGACCAGAGTAACTTTGCACACACTTCTTCAATGCCATCTTTACAAAACCCTTCAGTAGATTCAGAGCACGATCAGCTCATGGCAGGGCCTTATCATCTCTATGCCAATGGTGGAGAAGTTGGTCATGTATATTCGAATGATCCCATTAACACTTCCGTGGTTTCGTCTCATGAGAATCACATTGGAAGCAGTGACACACCTCTCATCTCTGAGATATTAGACTGGGATATCTTCGATTTTCCTTTGGGTTCGCCCATTCAAAGCAATCAGATGGAGGATGGTCGCATCGTGGCATCTGATGATGACATTCACAAACCAAGTGACTTGGATGACGAATTGTTTAGCAATAATGAGAATCCTCTAATGTCTGCGTACTTGAACGATCTTCTCCTTGACACAAGTTCCACCTCAGCTTCAAAGGTCCGTTTTCTACTTGTATAGCTAATGGTAGAACACTACACTATGAAGAGACCCATGTAATGTTTTATAAGGATATTGTTTCAGGTCCAGAACCAAACTATGCAATCGCAGCTTCAACAGCCCCAAGTTGCTCTGCAGCAGCCTTCTCCTTGTGTTGAATTGCGACCTCTTGTTAGGACAGTATCCTCAAACAGCAACAGTTGCAGCAGTAATACTACTGCAGAAGCAGCTAAGAGACGTATGCGTTGGACGCCAGAACTTCATGAGGCTTTTGTTGACGCTGTTAACCAGCTTGGCGGCCATGGCAGTGAGCATCTCTCTCTCTCTCTCTCTGCTTCTCGCTCCTCGACTTTGTTTGTTCTGATTTAATGTCTTGTATTACGCAGAAGCGACTCCTAAGGATGTGCTGAAGCAAATGAATGTCCAAGGCTTGACTATATGTCATGTCAAAAGCCATTTGCAGGTTCCTTTTTTCTTCTTTATTCCTAGCATTTGTTTCACACTAATTCCACAGAATAGTCTGTTGATAAAAGCCGACAACTTCTCTTTTTTTTTTTTCTAATTGCAGAAATATAGGACATCTACATATAAACCAGAGCCATCAAAAGGTAACTAGATTCTGACTCCCACTTTTTATGATATGAGTTATGATGAGGAAAGTATTGTATGTTGGATTTTTTCACAAATTTGGACTTATTTTCTCTGATAATTAGTAGGCTCGCCGGAGACGAAGTTGACACCGCTTGAGCAAATTGCAACTCTTGATACGAAACGGTGAGCATCACGATTCGCAAGTGCTACACCATTTTCATTTTCTAACAAGATTCTGTCTAACGAATTCTCAATATTGATTTTTGCAGTGGGATATGTATGAGTATAACTGAGGCGCTGCGAATTCAGATGGAACTTCAGAAGCGACTGCATGAGCAGCTCGAGGTAAACCGATGAAGATAAATCTTTAGGTTTACGGTTTGTGTTCTTGGCAATCCTTGAAGTTGCAAAACAGTAAAAACAAAAATGGGTTGTGCTTTCAGATTCAGAGAAACATGCAACTTCGGATAGAAGAACAGGGAAAGGCCCTGTCGATGATTGTTGAGAATCAAAATATGGGTTTTGGCAAAGAAGACGAAACATGTGCCATTGGTTCAGAGGAGTCAGATATCCCGCGTTCAAAGCGTCCCAGAAAGGCAGGAACGATTGATTACTGAAGGAAAGGTTTCTGGTGATGGTAGATCATAAATAATAGGGTTTGACTTAGTAAGAAGAGATCTCTGACTTCTTCTTTAGGCCTTCGCTCTCTCTGTTTATTTTTTTCTTTAAAAAATAAATTTCTGATCCTCAGCATTCTAGGAAGAAACAGAAATAAAAAGAGCAATGAGTTTAGTAGATTTTTTCCATTCTTTGGGATGTAATCTGAATGCAGATTCTTGATTTAGTGTTTAGGTGAGTTAAAAACTAAATTATAATTCTAGCTTCTTCTTCCTATCTACTGCGTCTTTTTTTTTTTACATCAGCTCTTATAAAATGTTAAATCAAAAGCGTAAATCCATTGTATGATACAAAATGATATTAACATAAAAGTCTGATAAACGTAGCGAAGGTTAATAAGAAGGCGCAAAATGTTGTTTTTTTTGTCCCACATCGGGAACTCTGTAAAGCGTAGGTTATTACATTCGGGTATATAAAGAAACGTGAAGAATGTGGGCAACTCATACCTTTCTCGGCCTTTTGGCTAAGATCAAGTGTAGTATCTGTTCTTATCAGTTTAATATCTGATATGTGGGCCATCGGCCCACACGATATTAACTCTATTTTTTAAGGGAGAAGGCCCATCAAGATAGCTTGCTATCTGGGCCTTCACGAGTCGCCCATGCGTTGCACTATTGCACGGGCTTGGCTCAGCCCATCAACTAGTAGTACAATTTAATGTATTTATGCTTATTTTATTTACTCTAATCAACTGAATAACGCTGTATTAGGAACAATCTTAAAAGTAAACAAAAAGTTACAGTTTTACGGCTTTGTAAGTTCCGTCCTAGTAAAACCAACGTTTTTGAAGATGGTGGCATTCAACAATATGTGAAAATTAAATACAAATTTATTTAAGATAGATTGATAGGTACTACAAAAGATAATTTGTGAATCTAAACTCTGTATAAAAAATGGCAGTAATCAAATTATTAAAACTTTTTACTAATGCAAAGCCTAGAACAACTAGAAGATAAAATCAACATACTTGAAAAAAATACTTACATTGTGATTTTTTTGGTTTCTAATATATTTGTCGAGTAAAATCGAGATGGTGGTACAATTAGAAAATACAGAAACTGTACTAGGTTATGTCTTAATTTTTTTAATGGAAACTAATTGACCAGCCAAATTATTTTGTACAAAAAACAGTCTATTGTAAATATGTAATAAGATTGAAAATGTATATAAACAAATTTGTATACTTGTATAGAAAATTAGAAAGGGAGAAAGTAGTTTATTGTATTTTATGAATAATCTCCATTGCTTTTCGTATAATTTGTTTTTTAATAAAGAAAATAAAATGAAAAGAAAAATATTTTTAAGAAAGATCAATTGAGAGATAGTTTGGAAAGTAGGAGGGCTCATTTGAGATTAAAACCCTAGAATCGATCAACGCTGCGACTATTCTTCCCCTCTCTCTTTTCCTCTCCTTCTCTTTGTGTTAAAGCGATCGGTTCTTCGTCGTTGATTTCCGTAGACAAATCGAAAGATGAGGGGATTGGTGAACAAGCTCGTGTCCAGATCTCTCTCCGTCGCCGGCAAATGGCAGCAGCAACAGCTTCGCCGTCTCAACATCCACGAGTATCAGGTTCTCTTCATTTTGATCTTTTTAAAACATTCTATATTCTGAACAGTTGCGCAGATTCGCTTTTCAAGTGTGTGCACATGCGAATTTGAGTACGATCTGTGTCCTTGTCTGTTGTTTTGGGGTTGATCCATTGATTGATTTACGGGATAACTGACGGAGGCTAGAATTGTGGTGTATTGAGTTTATTGAATATTGAGTTTGCGAGCTTGTCTTCATCGAATAGTTTTGAGAAATGTAATTCGTTGCTCCTTTTCTGATACTGTCAGGGAGCTGAGTTGATGGGAAAATACGGAGTTAATGTGCCAAAGGGAGTCGCTGTGTCTTCTTTGGATGAAGTTAAAAAGGCTATCCAAGACGTTTTCCCTAATGAAAGCGAGGTAATGTCTACACAGCCTCTTTGTGAGGGACTTGTTCTGAAATTAGAGCTTAACTCTCTGCTGCATTGTACTCTATTAGTAGTTGCCTCATGGGAAGAGTTTCTTTTTCGTGATTACAGTTGGTCGTTAAGAGCCAGATTTTGGCTGGTGGAAGAGGTCTTGGAACATTCAAGAGTGGCCTCAAGGGTGGTGTTCACATTGTTAACCGTGACCAGGTTGAAGATATTGCGGGTATTGTGCAGAGTTTCTTGTTTATGACCCTCTTCAAAGTATTGTTGACATGTTTTTTGTTGTTGGTCTCTGAATGTATTGATTCAATTCAGATTTTTATCATTTGTAGGAAAGATGCTAGGACAAGTACTCGTCACCAAGCAAACTGGTCCTCAAGGCAAAGTAGTTAGCAAGGTTTGTTATTGGTTACTCATTAAGCTCATAGTCTCTTTCTCTTTTCTGCTCTTGTGACTAGCACTTGTATTGATTCATTGTTTCCCTTGGAAAGTTAACTTTTTTTGTATATTGAGCAGGTTTACTTGTGTGAGAAACTGTCACTCGTCAATGAGATGTACTTTTCCATAATTCTGGACCGTAAATCTGCTGGACCGGTATGCTACTACGCAAATGAAGAATTTGCTATCCGTTTCCCTACTTTTAGGCATGATGTTTTCTTCTTGCACCTGTCAGCAAACTCTAAAACGCTTTCCTTGCCTCTTTCAGCTGATAATTGCCTGCAAAAAGGGTGGTACCAGCATTGAAGATCTTGCTGAAAAGTTCCCTGACATGATTATTAAGGTGATTCTTACTGAATCATCCTTCTTAGATCCTTGCATCATGCGGTTGTTTATATTTCTGTGTAGGTGATCTTATTTGACACTAGTTTCATGGTTTTCTGTAGGTACCGATTGATGTATTTGCTGGAATTACTGACGAAGATGCTGCTAAGGTTGTGGATGGTCTGGCTCCCAAAGCTGCTGACAGAAAAGATTCTATTGAACAAGTGAAGAAGCTATACGAACTCTTCCGCAAGTCTGACTGCACAATGTTGGAAGTCAGTGCTCTCTCTCTGTGTCTTGTTTATAAACATTTTATTTCTTGTTCAATATATTTTGCTGAACCCTTGCATTTCTCTGTTAGATCAACCCCCTCGCTGAGACATCCACTAATCTATTGGTAGCTGCTGATGCCAAGTTGAACTTTGATGATAACGCTGCTTTCCGACAGAAAGAAGTTTTTGCTCTGCGTGATCCAACACAGGAGGATCCACGAGAGGTATGGTTCAGTCTCTGTCTCTCTCTTCACCATACTTTCTTTATGCTATGTCGAACGTATGGATGTGCTGTAGAATATTACGACTCTTGGATAGAATAACTCGTTTTGTTTAGTCGTTATTAGTCAAGTTATATTCTTCTGTACATAAGGTAATGTGTACATAACAATTAGCGGTTAATGAAAGCAGAAAGGTTACTATTTACTTCTTCTTCATCAAACCTCTAGCTTTTTCTGTTATAGTTTGCTTATATTATCAAGTTTGATAAAGGAGAGTGTGATTGCTTCTCGTAGGTGGCTGCTGCAAAAGTTGACCTGAACTACATCGGATTAGATGGAGAGATTGGTTGCATGGTGAATGGTGCTGGACTGGCCATGGCGACCATGGACATCATTAAATTGCACGGTGGTACTCCCGCCAACTTCCTTGACGTTGGTGGAAACGCTTCTGAACACCAGGTACAACACATATTACATTTCTTGATTCTTGTGGATTTGACCAAAGGTTTAATAAGCAGATGTTGTGATGTTAATAAAACACAATAGGTGGTGGAGGCGTTTAAGATACTGACATCGGACGATAAAGTGAGAGCAATCTTGGTGAACATATTCGGTGGGATAATGAAATGTGATGTGATTGCTAGTGGAATCGTGAACGCTGCAAAAGAGGTTAGTAGATGAATTATGCGTAATTTCATATAGCCTAATAATTGAATTACTGCTCTTACGTGATGAAACTTTGACAACGACGATATAGGTGTCACTGAAAGTACCAGTGGTGGTTCGTCTAGAAGGAACAAATGTGGAACAAGGGAAGAGAATCCTCAAGGAGAGTGGAATGAAACTCATTACAGCTGATGATTTGGATGATGCAGCAGAGAAAGCTGTTAAAGCTTTAGCTAATTAGGAGGCTTAAAGAAGGGATTACTCTCTCTCTCTCTCTCTCTCTCTCTCTCTCTGTCTCTGTTTTATACAAAAAAGCTTTCTTTTTTTGTTGGGTTTTTTTTTCTTTCTTAACCATTTTTATGGTCGACGACGCAATTGCATATTGTTGCGGATATAATTCGGTGGAACAGATCAATAATGAACTGGTCTCTTTTTTCTGTGTGTGATTCGGAGAAAATTTAAATCGGAGTTCTCAATTATTTCGCAAATTAAACCATTAAGTGACGGAATATTAAGGTTACTGTATTTACTTAGATCGTGATTTTTAGGTTCAGTTTCTCCTCCGGTTAATAAAAAGCACAAAACAAAGAAAAAGAATATTCTGGTAAAGTGAATAATATCAATAGTACAAGAATGAAGAAGACTAAAAATCTAATATTGGTGGTACTGTATATGATATGTTCAGTGAAAATTAATTAGTCATATGCATGCATCTCCGAGAAGCAAAGTCTCTCTCTCTCTCTCTCCATTTCAAAAATCATCTCTGTTGTCGAATTGAGGCATAGATCTCACGGAGCCAGTCTCAGACATGAGATCGGACATGTTATCGACCTCAGATCTTCTTGTCGATCTCGTGGATCCTCCGTTAAAGGTATCTTTCGTCTTCTTCTTCCTCCTCGATTTCTTGGGAACTTCCGGTAATACTCCTTTAGGCCACGAAGAAAAATCGTCTTGTCCGGACACTTCCTTTGGTCTCCTTGATGACGACGATGTTCCTTTGTTCGAAGACCGGCGTTTAGATTTGTCCGATGATCTTTCCTTTGTCGGAGAACCTTTCTCCGACGCCGCTTTCCTCGTTGATTTTGGTAGGTTTGGTAAATCTTTTGACCGACCGCCACATTCCGACATACATCTCGCGGAGGAGTCATCTTCTCCGCCTCCTTCTCCGGACTCGAATCCTCCGCCAGATTTGAACTCGTTCATCTTTCATTTTTAATTTATAAACACCACATTAAAACCATATATTAAAATGTTATAAATTTCCATTTTACAAGTTTCGATAATTGTAAATAGTAATAGTACCCAGCTTGGTGCGGTGGCAGCATTAGCGGATGGTCCATCCCAGCCAATATGGGCGACATGCTTTACGTCTGTTGGATTTCCGATCTCTATTTCTTCTTCTTTTCCACTTTCTACCATCATTTTAAGTAACCAACACAAATTTCATTTTAGAAATCTTTTTTTTTCATTCATACAAGTTTTATAGGGTTTTTATTTAAAGAAAAGAAACAAGAGAGGGATCGATACTTACCAAATACTTGAGAAATGTATCGGAGGCCTTTCAAGAGGCTTTTCATCTTGTTGCTTGACATTGTAAGTTGCATAGATATCTCTATTCAGTATTTTCGTTCTTTGTTTCCATAAGATAATGAAAAAAAGAGTGCTAGTAATCGAAAAAGAAAAGAAAAACTAAGAAGAAATAATAGAAATGTGTTGCATGCATGCAAGAACGGGGATTTTACAATCGCAAAATTAATGCTGGTTTCTTGACAAACTCAATTTTTTTCAGAAATCAGAAGTTGGCGGCAACCAAGATTGAAGAAAACGATTTGAAAAAAGAATATTGCATATATTGGTCAAGACTCCAAGATTCTCAGAATGTTGTAGGTTGATCTTTTAGCGAATTCTCCTATCAAAAAGAACGAATTTAAACAAAACAAACAAAAATATTTTTAATAAAAGAAAAATATATGTAGATTCACCTAAAAAAATCCTCGAATTTCAGGAGGAAAAAAAACAAAGGTTCATGAAACGAAGAAATGAAGAGGAAAAAAAAAATCAAAGAAACTAAAGAAAAATGATTTGTTTGAACTTTGAAGGATGGTGGAGAGAGCATAAAGGTGATACGCAAAAAACGAGTGGAAAATGTTTGTTTTAGACCAAAACTTTCGTTAATCCGATGGTTATGATTCTTTTACTTATTACTTTCAGAAACAATCAAATTTAGAATTCCTAATTAGAACTACGTTTATTTTTTTGTTCCATCAAATGTATGATCACAAAACATTATATTTTGTTTCATCTTATAAACTTATATATGTGTTTATTACTAATTTATAAAACATCATGTGCAACGTTAATGTTCATATTTTGTCTTCAGGAAAAACGAAGACACAAGAAGAGAGTTCCATGTGAGTGAAGATTGCTAGTGATATTTGGGTATAGGAGACAGAATCTACAACTAAATCCTGATCAAGTCGAGCCTGTTGAGAGTGAGAAGCAAGAAGTATAAAATGTTTTTTTTTTTTTATAAATTACGAAATAAATTGACTTAATCACGAAAAAATGACTACGGAACCACAGGCCACAATCGAGCCTGGCAGCGGCGCGTGTGTATTCTCTTCTTCTCTTTCAACCATTTGAACTAATGCCAATGTTAGTCTTTATATATACTAGTCAAAAAAATTCTGAATTTCTAATGTGGAACTTTGTTAGTTTCCACAAAAAATTATAACTAATGAATTTTTTATATTTATATGAGCTACAACATATTTTTTATTTACACATACACAAATTTATATAAAGCCCAACATATTTTTATTAAATTTTGTTCCAACTGTGAAGTATGTATCTTGAATATTATTGAGAATGTACATACATATATATACTTATACAATGAGAAGGTTCTAAGTTAATCTAATTATAGAAGATGCCGATTCTAGAGAATGAATAATAAAGAGCTTTCCTTCTTCTATTCTTAACATCTCCCCTTAAGATGGAGGGGTCGGAGCAACTCCAATCTTGTTACACAGCTCAATAAACCGTGCTCTCGAGAGTGACTTGGTTAGAGCATCAACAATTTAATCTCTTGTGGTAACATGAACAATACGAAGAGTGCGACGTTAAATGTGGCCACAGATGAAGTGAGAGAGATAACTGTAACCTAACTGAAGAGTGAAGAGAGACGTATCAGATAGGAAATTTTGAAACCCAAGGGAGAGAAGAAAAGTTTTCAACTCTGTATACCAGGTTCTCGGGGCCTGTTTCAGTTCGTAAATTTCCTTGTGTAGTCTGCAAACATGTGTGGGTTTATCAAAATCGAAATAACCTGGCGGTTGTTCCATGTACACTTCTTCAGTTAATGTGCCCTGAACAAACACGTTGTTGACATCTAACTGCTGAATCGGCCAGGATTTGACTACAGCAATGTCCAGGATAAGCCGAATTGTAGTAGACTTGATGACTGGGCTAAACGTTTCTGTATAATCCCGACCAAATTGTTGATTGTAGCCTTTTGCTACGAGTCACGCTTTGCAGCGATGGTGTTGTTCGTTGGGTAGAAAATTGTTTTTAAATACCCACTTGCAGCCCACAATATTTATATTCGGTGGCTTGGCAGCACTCCTTCATTTTTCGTCTTTCATGGTTTGTTTGATGGTCATCGGTTCCGACGGAATGTCGGTTGAGAGAGCAGTGACTTTGGCGTATTTGGGATTTGGTCGGACTATGTGATTTTTGACCTCTTGTTACGAATTGGTGATATACTGGAGGTAGGGAAGGTTTTCGTTTGCAGATCTGATGTTCGGAAGACAGCGATGAGGAGGTGGTTTGACTTTAGGAGTCACTTTGGGCCGAGGGAGTTGTGTTTAAGGATGTAGTTGGCCTTAACTCGTTTGGGCTTCAGTGTTTGGGGTTGGTGTATGGGTTTGTGTTTAGGCTTCATTGTTTGGGCTTGGTGTTTGGGTTAATGTTTGGGCTGAATTCAATAAATCCACATCTTTTATTTCGTGACCTGCAACAGAAATACTATGTGAGGGAATACTTTCCGACGATGGCTGCCCGTTTTGGTGAGAACCAGAGGTCGTGGGTCCAAGTTGCTGCGGTGGCGAAGACTTTGGTGTGATTACGAGTGGTCGTGGAAGAGGAATTTGATCAGCAGAGGGTGTGGGCTGTATTTGTGAGATGGAGGGGAGCGGTGAAGGATTTTGGTTAGGACTTTGAAATGGGAAGACTTGCTTATAAAATTTAACATGTCGCGAGACATAGATTTGATTGGTGCTGGGCTGAAGACAGAGATAGGCACTCTGGGTCAGGGAATACATGAGGAAGGCACATGGGATTGAGCGATTCTCCAGTTTATTGCTGTTGTATAGACCGTAATTCGGGTGGCAGGCAATTGATAAGGTATGTTGCAGTTGCAAAGGCGTAAGTCCAATACGATTTCAGCATACCGGCATGGGCGAGAAGAGATAAGCCAGTTTTGATGACGTGTCGGTGTTTCCTTTCTGAGATACCCTTATGTTCAGGCGTGTGTGGTGGAGAGGTGAAATGGGAGATTCCAGCGGCAGTAAGAACTGAGCGAAGTGCGATATATTCACTGCTGTTGTCAGTATGGGTTATCGACAGACCTGAACCATTGCCAATGAGGACGTTGTCGCCGCTTGCGTACGGTTGGTGAAGTGCTAAGTTTTGAAGATCACTCGTTATGTGATGTGTAACCCCGCTGCCCAGAGGCCAAAATGTCGTTGGGTCAGAGGAACCTAGAGTGATGTTTGCTCTTGGTTGACATGGAAGTTGGGACTGCTGATTGTTGTTGATGTTGCTATGTGGGCGTGGGGAGCAGAATTGAGGACATCGTTTTGCATTGTGACCAAATATCCCACAGATTTGGCACTTGTCTTGATATCCTTTTGGCCGAGCGTGTGTCTTGTTTCTGTCCATTGTATTAACTTTGCTGATTGATTGTATTGCAGGTTTGTTGGGAGCTGGAGCATTGTTGACCGTGATGGTTAGCATGGGAGGCAGAGTAGATCCATCAAGATAGCCTGCAAGGCCGTAGCCGTCAAGAAGAGCATGTACCTGAAGACTTCACATCAGGTAGAACTGAGTTTTGTAACATTTGACATGTTAACATTAAGAACTGTTTGATGATTAACGTCAACGATTTCGTTGATGTCCGCCATTAGAGGAGAAGTAGAGAAACCGAGAGGTAGAAACAGAGAGATTTGAAGCGAAAGGGAAGAGGCGGCAAAAATTTAGGTTATCAAAACCTGCTCTGATACTATGTAAAGTATATATATCTTGAATATTATTGAAAATGTACAAACATATATATATATATATATATATATATACTTGTACAATGAGAAGGTTCTAATTACTAATAGGTAAAAAAATATATAGTTAATATATATACTGATAAGATTATATTATGTATGAAAAAAAAACATAGTATAGATAATATTCAAAATATATTATAACAATTTAATTATTATTTAATATAACTTTTATATTTGCAATTATATGTTACTTTAAATGCAAAAATTCAAAAAAATAATTCACAAGACACAAAACAATATGAAACATTTGTATGATTCTTGTTAAAACACTAAAAAAATGTATATGTACAAAAATATAACACTTCCATAATATATAAGAAAATTAATCAATACTTAAATATTACAACTAATTATATCTATAAAAAATTTATATCAGCATATGTGTGCGTGCCAAAAATAAAAATTAATTAAACTGTTCTATATTTTATTAATTTTCATTTTATTTAATTATCTTATTAATACTTTTTATCTAAGGAATTATATTTTAAAGTCTTGGTTAATATTTTTATCCTTAATTTCTATTGAAATCTATAATATTTTTTATTTGATTTATCATTATTTTTTTATTATTAAATATTTATCTAATATTATTATTAATACATAATTAATCATATACAAATAAAACATCTTTAATATACTATATTAATCATATATTGAACATATAAAATATTTTATAGCATGCATAGGTCAACTATTTACTTAATTAATTGGTCAACTATGTAAGAATATATATATATATATATTGCAATCAATTCATTGTAATTAATGAATCTGTTAAATAATTTATACAGTCAAATATTTGCTATGGAAATTCATTCCGTAAAAGGAAGATTTATTATACAAAAAATCATACAAAATATTTATGGTCAATAATAATTCTTTTGAACAATTTCACAGTCAAATATATGTTATGGAAATCATTCTGTAAAAGGAATCTTTATTATAAAAATTATACAAAATTTATGGTCAATAATGAATCTTTTGAACAATTCTGCAGTCAAATATTTGTTATGGAAAATCATTCTGTAAAAGGAAGATTTATAATACAAAATGTTTACGGTCAATGATAAATCAGTTGAATAAGTTTACAAACATATGTTAAGGATGCTGTTACATAAAATATCCAAGGTTTGTTAGATAAGGTTTGTTATATATACTAGATATATACAATTGTTCAATTCATAAGCAGAAAATATATAAAAAACGAAAGGTAATTAGGTTATATATATATATATGTTAATTTTAGGAATTTTATGTTGAAGAAG